AGCCTATTGAATCAATGATATCAATAATGAAATAAGTTATTATGTAATACATATAATTGGATAATTATGTAATATGATACTTTTAACTCCTTTTCTTCAGGCCGATGACCCGGTATGTAGTTGGGAAGGCCTGTATCAATAACTTTCCTAATTAGGACAAAATGATATATCAGGAGATAGCCATCAAAAGTACTGATGGCAATCAAAAATGGTTCCACAATAAAATCATTATCTAGATAGGTGCATTACCACAAGCACTAGGATACCAGATAAGGAATAATAATATTTTTTTGTAAAAGTGTCACACATGTCACACATGTCACACATGTCACACATGTCACACATGTCACACATGTTACAAAGTGTCACATTTGGCTCTAACAGAGGCCAGTAAAGGGCTGCCTAGGTAGGGCTAATCCTCTAGGCAATGGGTTCCCTAGCTGTACCTACTGGTTTTAGCCTAAATCTTACCACTATGGCTTGACCGCGCCCGAACCACCGGAATAGGGGGAACGCGCTTCATAACCGGGGCCGTCGACTCGGAACCCTCCGGATCACTCTCGGGGCTCGGAAATTGATCATCCAACCAGGCCGCCAACGGGAGGAAGCTGAACGAAACACCCGCTTCCGCCTCATCCAACGAGGGGCCGCCCGAGAAGGCAAACTCCTCCCGAGGATCAGGCAAGGAAACCACCCGGATGAAGGACGACCACCGGTCGGGCATGAAGGAACGGCGGCACGAGAGATGGAGGGAGAGGACCCAGTAGTCGGGCCAGCATATCGGGCCGAGCTACGTTCTCTTCGGGAAACACGCGAAAAGCGGCCACGTGGGCTAGGACGAGGAATCGGTCTGAGACGAAGGAGGGGAGGCCGACGGAAGCGGCGCAAGACAAGGCGTGAAGGATGAGGCGCTGAACGGAGCCAGTCAGCACGCGGCCGAAAGCGCACAGAGAAGGAGACATACCACCCAACGCCACAGACGGGGAAAAAGCGAATCACTGGGCGGAGCAGCGTCGGCAGCGAGGAGGTGCGCAAGGAGGCCACGGCCCAGTTGTCCAAACAAAGGGCGAACATCCTGAAGAGAGCCGTCCTCGCGACGCCAGACGAAGGAGGAGGGGAACGCATCGAATAGAACACCGAAATAGAGGTGATGGGGCCCGAAGACAAGCGGCTGCCACAGACCGGCCTTCATTAGGCGGTCGACCACTGCCTGCCACAAGATTCGGCGGGAAGAAGACGACGGCCGCGGGGGCGCTGCGGGGGGGACTGGGAGAGCGGGAGCTCGATGTGAACGGACTACGGGGGCCAACAGAGGGAGCAGCTTGGAGGAATAGTCGTCGGCTTGAGACGGGGGCAAGTCCTCCAACAGGCGCAGGGGCTCGAACGACTCCCGGTACGACGGGTCTCGCCCTTGCACGATGGGCCAGGAAGCAGGAAACTCGACGAGAGACATAGAGGCGAAGCGGACGAACAGACGACCCGGCTCTGAGGATGGGGGAACCATCTGAGAGCTGAGAGGGGGCAACAACCCGGAGCGGTACAAGTTGGGGGACGACATAAAGAGGATTAGAAGGGGAAGCCCCGGCTTATATGGGGGAACGAACGCGTTCTATATCGAACTTCGACCGAGGCGCGCAGCACAGCCTACTCGCAAGCAATACGAACAAAGGACGCACAACTGAATTGAAAAAGACCTACGCTATACCGCACGTGACCGCGGTGAAACACTTGATGGACAGGAAGGATCGATCTGCGGACGCCACGAGGCGTCAGAAGCCGCGGGAGATTAAAATGCGCAGCCGAAGCTTAGCTTAAGCTTATGGGCTGGATGGAATTTGCGATTGGAAGGACGAGCTAGAGTCAAAATTAAACCCGAGAAACCGGGGCGACCGAGCCACGCCGACTCGAGACGAGTCGTTCCTAGGGAGGGGGTGATGTCACGGATAAGACCCGGCCCGTCCGCTCCGGTGCTGGTGTCGGGCCATTGCGGGCCCGTAACACGCAGCACGTGACGACGGGGAACATGCGCCCCAGTAGGAGGAACGCACACGTGGGAAGCACGTGACCGAGAACGACGCGTCGAGCCGTCGCCGAGCCCAACTCGACACCAGGGGAATGGGGAGGAGTGCTAGGAGGTCAGGAGTAGCGCCTGGCCCGCAAGGGATGTGCGATCGTCCCCTCTGCGGCCAGGAACGGGAGCGAGGAGGAGGAGGAGGGGCCAGGGTGTCTGATCACCCCCTTTGCGGGCCACGTATATAATGCGCGATAGTGTACCCTGTACTCTATCGCTTAGATCGTCTGAAGAACTACCTTACTCCGTGCGAGGAGACGCTATCGACTCATCGGGCCCGACACGACCCGATTCGAACCTTCGACCACCGACCACGGCAAGGGACCGAGTTCACGGGCCCTTTCGGTTTCGATCTACCCCCCGCCCGCCGTACTTGCGGGCCCGACTATCCGTCTGTTCTGTTCCGGGCGCGCGTTCTTAGGAGAAGTCCTTGCACGGCCCGACCCGCAGTCTGACAACTTCCTATCTCAGCTCTGACTACACTTGACACAGACAAGGTCTGTTCTGTAAGTACATTGCTTGAGGGCGGCCTAGTGATGCTCAGGTCCGGTTCGGTCCGGTTCTTGACCGCTTTTGGCCAAACCGAAAACCCTGGGTTTGGTTCAAAATCAGGATTTCCCGAACCTGAATGCCAAACCTCTGTCCGAACCAGCCTCTGAACCGGCGTTTGCAGTCTAATTTGGCCAAACCCGGCTGAACTTGGACCTCAGTTTGGTTCAAAACTGATGTTGGCCGAACCTGAACCCTGAACCTGAGTTCAGTCCGGTGTGGTTCGGGTTCGGACTGACTTTCCAAACCGGACCTGCCCATCACTATAAGGGCCTTGACTTTAGAGTAAGTAGTAAGTATTTGGGCAGATTCTTTTGGCATTGATAAACTTAACTTAAATATTCCACTGGCACATGAATATCCTATCGACTTTCAAGTCAGATTCCTGTCAATAGGGTACAGGATTTAACTCTGAATTGAATCCCCATTTCAAAATAGCTGTTTCAAAACATTGTTTTGAATTCTTCAGAGAAAACACCTGTTTTGAAACAGCAAGGGTATGGGAAAAAGTCAGTGTGCTCATAGCGTTTAAAGGAAAGTTGGCTGTAAAATCCCTATTGGCCTGCCCAAATGAGGATTTATTTTAGATCATACCTATCTATTAGAGTGTTACTGTCAGCTGCTCAGACTTTCAAAAGAGGAAGATATGTCATCAGTGATAGGATAATATGAGTGAAAACTAACTAAACATGTACATTTGAATATTCCGAGGTACTAATAAGGGTTATACAATGTGAGTAATTGTTGATATCAGGGACTTTGGCATTGAAAACTGGGTTGATGTCAGGGTTCGGGTCGGGCCAACGGGCCCTATACGGCCCATCGGGCCCTCACCACCCTTAGAGCCCTAGGGCTTGACAAGCCCTCATAATTCACAAGCTCAAAGCAATGAGCAACAACACTAATATCCCAGAGAAGGGACATAATCACGGATCGCGCTTTAGTCAGCCATCAAGCCATCATGACCCGCCATCAGGGATCATGATGCGCCGCCGGACGCCCTTGACAGCGGGCCCAATCGGCCCTAGACAACCACAGGGTCCAGGAGGGAGCTCCTTACTGTTGCATTGTCAAACACTCCTTAGTGTCGACATTGGCATGGCTCCTTTCCAGAGGAATGGTCCCTGGGCTCCTAGCGGAGCGACCAGGGACGACCAGAGACATCCCCTGCTCCATTCTGATCGACCCTCAGCGGGCCCGATCGGCCCCTAGCGCCCACAGTATATAAAGACCAGAGTATTACTCCTGTACCTTAGGTTTAGCATTGAAGTCTCTTCCTTTGAACCCTACTCCGGCCTGGTCCCCTAGAGCGGGGTTGCTGCAACCATACCCCGGGAAAGGGGCGTCTAGACGACTTCCAACACCCAGGCTAGCTTGCCTCATTGACCTGAGCCCTTGGTTGGGCTGGACAGCTCAGGCTCTTGTCTCTTATGTTCACCCTTGTCCTAGCCACTTCTTCCTGCTCTCTGGCCTCAAGCTCTGGGTTCCCCTGGTACGGGGCGATGGGAGGGTGGGGCCCGATCGGGCCCGCATGTCACGCGTCACACCGCGCCGTCACGCGGTGTCTAGGAGCCACAGCGACTCGTTACTCCAGGAAAGGAGATATGTCGCCCCTTGGACTGGCAACCCTTCTCAAGCGCTCCAGGGGTCTCGGGCCCGCAGCCCCTGTTGCGGGGCGACTCCCCCTCGACCCCCGAACCGTCGGGCGTGACCGCGTTACGTCACGCCCCGCCCCGAACGGCTTGTTCAACTGGCCCAGCCTATGCCTTGCCCTATGTCTTGGGCACCAACTCTACTAGGCAGCGATCTTTGGCTATGGACTCGTTCCCTTCAGCGGGGGTAGGAAACTCTAGACGACTACTCGTATCCTGTGACACCGCTGTCACACAACGTGGCAGCGGGGCGTCTCGAGTCGCCCCGAGCTGTCCCTACCCTGCTCTCTATTGCAGCAGTGGCACCATCTACGCTGCCTGGTTGCCAACCACCCAGCTATGGGGGTTGAACCATCTTTCCCACACTTGTCAGGCTGGCAGGAGACCGTCACGTGGGCCCGGGCCGGCCCTGTTCCTGACAGTTGAGAGCTCAAAATTTCTTTTTAGGCAATTTAATACATCCCTGTTCTAAAAACTGGTTCTTAAATGCCCCAGGTATATATTAAAAACAGGATGTAAATGTCCACATAAGTATTTCAATCCTATTCCTAACACTCTTATAACCTGCCAGTGCTTGTTTCAAAGTCCTACTGCCCACAAATGGGTTGTGGCCTAATAAATATTTGGCTTTTAACCACTCAGCTAGTAGCTGGGTAGTCTACTAGTAATCTAAGTACTTTAAGTTAAGTTGAGTTAAGTACTTACTATACATCAATTCTTTTTGATCACGCTCCACCATGCCCACCAACTCGAAAACGATATCTGTGAACGGGAGACAATACAAACTGTCCGAATTCCTGCCAGAGATGACCTCGTTGGCAGACATGCTGGCCAAGAACGCGCATCTGACGCCAGAAACGGCACTGCCTCCTGACACTGATTTTTCCGATGTGGACCACCAAGAGGTGTATGCCCAGGTGCGTCCCCTTCAAGTTTCCATGTGCTGTCCGAGGTGCTATCAAGGCTTTAGTCTGACTCTGTTGCACCTAGATTGGCGCCCTGGGAGTATTGCCACGGGAAGCGCTGGACATCTTCTCAAGTGTGTTTGCCGCGGCTCATCTCCCTAACCTCGCTGCTGCATTGCGCCGACTGTCCGCTGTGACCCAGCCGCGCGCGATGACCGCAACGATGCATATATTCAGTCTGATCCCCGACCCGAAGCACCAGCCATACTTGCGCAAGTTTCTGCGGAACACCGACGCCTCAAAGGGCCTGGGAAACATCATTGCGGACGGGCTTATTCGTGGGCTGACCTGGGGCGCCCCTGCTGGCTTCGATGCGCACTGCACGCTGATTATTCATACGCTGTTCTGGTGCGACCCCACCGGCGACGACGGCAAGGCCTCCATCGATGCTGAGATCCGTGACAAACTCGCCAAGGTGTTAGACGATATACTCGCCCGGGAGGATGTCCAGGCCATCCCGCGTGTCAAGCGTGTTGACATCGAGCGTTTGCGGGGACTGCTGGACCCCGTTGAGGCCATGCCTGCCGCGCATTTCCTCGACTCGACGCGGCAGCACTTGGAGGGCCAGGTGGACATGTGTGCAGGCGATTCGCTGGAGCGCATGTGTGACGAAGAGCCTGCGCTCGTCTGCTCGCGATGCAAAGTCGTCAAGTATTGTGGGGCAGCCTGTCAGAATTGGCATTGGAAGCACGGACACAAGGCGCATTGCCACCCGACGAACTATTGAGAGTGGTGTGCCAGTGGGACAGAAGAAATTTTGAAACTGTACTTATATACTGAGTTGAACATGTGTCTATGTGTACTGCCAAAATTACATGAGAAAATTGAAGGATTGACCTGTTCAAGTAGCATTGTTGTCTCCCTAGATAGACCCGTCGTCGTAGTCTCAAACTACACCGGTGTGGGATAGTAAGTCGGGAACCTTATTATGCGCAGAGGAGGACGGCGCTGGAGCATACTGCGGTCCCAATCATAAACAAGAGGACTGCTGGGGACCATATCGTAGTGACCTGAGAACACATATGTAACCCGAGACAGTAAGGGAAGCTCAGTGAAGAGTAGGTACATGGGCCGTGTGATGGGGTGGTCCAGGGTGGACATCGAGCAGAAAAAAAGACAGTGAATAGTATGTGATATGGCGCAATCTGGGGAACAAGCGGAGAAACTTGATTTGCCAATTGTTCTATTTGGGCTGGTGTTAGCAGACCATTCATATAGAAAAAAGCAACTTGCGCGTTGGAAGTCCACGAGCGCGAGCAAATCATCGTCGCGGGGGATGCAACCCAGTGTCAACGTTGTGAGGTTCGGCGCTGCAGCAGCAATGTCGTAAAAAACGCCCCTCCCGAAAAATTCATCCTTGAGAGTAACGGATAAGCACTCAAGATGTTGTAGCGTTCCTATGCGTCGCATGAGCGTTGATGTGTCCAGACGCGACTCCCAAGTGTCAAAGTGCAGCAAATCGTATCGGCGTACGTAAGGGACCTTGTGGTCATAAATGTCGCCCAAGGCTAAAAGATGGAGTTGGTGAAGGGCCGGTGCAAGATGATCGAATATTGGATCATCGACGCTGACGTTGGAGAAGGATATGGACGTGAGCTGGTCCATATACTGCATCTCGTCCCCTGCAGCTGTGACGGAAAATGGCGGAAGACGGTTATTCAACAGATCGGCGGTGAACAGCAGCTCAAGCATGCTCAGCAACGGCATCTGCCCAACCAGTCGATGGAGAGGAATGGCAGGGAAAGGCGGATGCTCCGTTATTGAAAAACCTTTCAGCTTAGGCCATGATATGCTCGTAAATGCAGGGGACAGAAAGTCCCCCGAAATCGTGAGGCTTCGCACACTCCATGCTATCGCTTCCAGAAACGCGTTGATGTTCGACTTTTCGGAGTCTACATTGACGTCTGAAGGTCGAGAGACCGTAAAGAACCCCGCCGTACGGATGACGAGAGAATCGAGAACATGATAGAATGGCGCCACGAGCATTTCGGGGGTGTCGAGTCGAGTCTGATAAAGTTCGAAAACGGACAGCGATTTCAGCTGACGGGTCACGGAGCTGTGAGATGAAATCCACAGGCAGCGTGCTTTGCGTGATGCGCACGGTAAGTTTCGTCAACCGAGGCATGGATTGAAGTGCAAGGTATACATGAGAGTCGAGGAAGAGCTGCTCCTGGGTGCTGTTCATGTCGCGAAGGTGAACAGTGCTGCAAAGCCATTTAGTATGCAATCATTTCAATGTCAGACAGAAAGGATAACGTACGCAATATACGGCCATAAAGAAGGCGGCCACACTGAATGACCGCTGTAGACAACCGAGAAGACCCAAGAAATTGCTCCAGCCCTCAAAGCGCGAGACGCTGTTGCGAGCGCAACTCCACAGGCACGACTCTTATCCTCCTTTCCGAGAGGCAGCGGTGTCGTGAATTGCGTCGAAGAGGATGCATGCAAATGGTCGAGTATCAGGTGCAGAAGCTCTGGAGGGAGGGAATGAAGCTGCATCTGCTGTTTTAAAACAGGTCAACATTCCTCGTCGTGGGACAGATAGGCAGAGACCGTGACGGCCGGACCGGCGGGAATCACATGACAAGGCCTCTTTGACGAGGTCACGACTCGGAGGGCCAGCCTTTTCGTCTTATCCTCCGACAATGGCTGGAACTGAATCTGTAGCTCAGGCTATACGCGACGCGTCGCCCCCCTTCTCCGCCACGTGCCCTGCAGACGACTCGAATCCTCCCACCGACGTCATTCTTCGCTCGTGCGACCTTGTCGATTACCACGTCCATAAGATGATTCTGTCCTTCTGTTCACCCTTCTTCCGCGAGATGTTCGCATTTCCCGAACCAGGTCCCGGAGACGCCGATGCTAATCCGACGAAAGACGGTAAACCTGTCGTGTTGATGGCTGAAAGTTGCGCAGCGCTGGAGAAAGTGCTCCTTGTGTGCTACCCGAGACTGGCTGGCGGGCATACGATACGAGATTTGGACGGAGTAGGGGAGGCATACGAGGCTGTGAAGAAGTATGATATCTCAGGAGGCACTGCGCTGCTTGAATCGGTCCTGTTGGATCCCATTTTCTCACAGCGGGAGCCGTTGCGGGTCTTTGCGCTGGGCTGTTGGCTGAATCTCGACGTCGTCATCAAAACGGCCGCTGAGGCGAGCCTCAAGCTATCTTCTATTCATCCTCCCGCGCCGGTGAAGGAGCTTGAATCAATCTCTGCGATCAAGTTATGGCAGTTTAACGAGTTGCACATAGCATTCACCACCAAGGTTCGCGGATTCTTATCCGGCTTTGCCGAGCCCCAGCCGCATGGCATGTCCGGCTATGGGAAAGGCTTCTCCTGGACATCGCGGACGTGGTGGCCAAATACATCGCACGACGACTGTCCGCTGGAGTTCGACACCGCGACCGCGACAGAATGGGCCATATACCCTGCGCCGTGGTTTATTGAGCATCTCACCCGGATTTGCCGTGCGCCACACATAAACGACATCCCCACCATCACCCAAGCTATCGTCCACCTCTCCACGGACACTGTAGCCGAAATCACCAAGTGCCCCATCTGTTTGGAACGCGTGCAGAATGACCTCCACACGCTAGCAAAGAATTTTGAGGATTGTGTAGAGTTAGCCCGCGAAACAGTGGGTCTTTCTTCATCACCCTCAGTCTATGTTTCTGTAAGATAACCTGTGCTTTGCCAGGAGCTCTCACGATTCATGAACGCGATCTCGAGGTAATACAAAGCTGCTGGGATTTTGTTTCTAATCCATTTTATTTGGCCTTCGCCCTAGGGCACGGTAGCTCGCCATCATACGCAATCTACAGTCTACTAGGTTCCGTACTTGTCCTCGCCATCGCAAATCTTGTTGTTTCTTCGTTATCATGTCCTCAGCCCAACATTTGGTCTGTTGGGCGGGCGCGCTCCAGAGTGCGAATAAGTGTGTATGTAGAGTACAGGACTAGTAGGTATAGTAGCCGTCTTATGCGGTGTTGCTGTTTGTTAGTTGGTTATAAATATGGGAGTGAATGTGAAGATGAAAAAAAGGAAAGATTCAAGAAAGGTATGATTTTCTCAAATTCAACGGTGCTTAGAGCAATGGAACCATTGAGATTAAATTGGTATTGCTAATGTATTGCAACAGAAACCATTCAGTCACACTTTTGACGTGTGGCGACGATTGCCGACTGCCAAGCAGGGACCCCAGGCCACCGTGGTACCTTCGGCGTCCGTGCCGACAGCACGTGACACTACACGTCACCGATCCTGCCAGCGCACACCTTCTCTCAGCACCACGTTCCGGCCCGCAACTGGGCTCCCGGCATCAACGATACAAGAGCGGCCTGTGCTGCGAGTGCGCCGCCTTGACGGTGTTCTATCCTTACTCACCAACCCGCCGGCAAACTTTGCTCGCCGCTCATGTCTCGCCTTCTCTTGATGCCGCGATGTTTGGCCCGCCCGTCAACGAGCTTCGGAAGTAGTCTTGGATGCTCCCGAAAACGCGATGTAAGATGGACTCCGACCTCTGGCTCAATCTCGCGCGTTCGATTGTAGCGCTACTGGTCACTGCCAGGTGAGAACTTGACGTCAAGAGTCCACTGGCACTCAGGCTCTTCGCTCGTTTGCCGCCGATGATTTTACAATAGTCAAGGCACTTGGCTTTTCTGGTGCTGCAATCTCTGGCGACCCTAACAAAGACACTACATGCAATGACTCGGACAAACTGGAACCCTCTGTGCGCTCTACAATCATATCTCTCCATGGCCCCAATTGACGCTGTATGGAGAGTCAGACAAGGTATCGAGTCACTAATACTATTGACGATAGGTGAGCATGCAAATCTTACTTTTTTTACCGTTTCATCTGAGTAAAGCTGACTGGTGTGGTCCAACACGGCCTTTACGCCTCTCTGGTGTCTCCGTGTCCCGCCCTGCTAACGATCGCCGCCGCTTGCTCCTAACTCGGATCGGTCATAACCTGGACGATGACCGCCGCTTCAATCTTAGGTTTATAGCACTGCCCGTTTGGCGACTTTGCCGCGGCCCACGCGCTGTCTCAGCTTAAGTAGCAGCAGCAAGTGGGCCGACCTTCTGGCAGTGCGGGAACTGGCACCCAGGCCAGCAGATGTGAGCGCTCACGAAAGTCGGACGGTTTACCGGGCGTGATGGCTCCGCTGCGAGCGGCGCAGGGAACACATTATCAAGTTTGGAGAACAGGTAAGGATTTTGATGCGCACCCATTTCAATACTACTAATCATTGTCTCTAGTCACCGACACACTCACGAGTCACTATTGGCGTTGAGATCGTGAGCCGGTACCATGGTCAGCTGGACAGCGCAGACGAGCGGGCTGTAACCTCTATTCCCCTGAATATCTCACATATCTCAACAAGATTCAAGAACGGTAAACCAGTGAGTGTATTCAGTTTATGTTTTTCCGTTGAGCGACTCGGACATGCGCAGGTAGTCGGAAGCACTGCCGCGCTTGCCAGTTGACCTCACCCTCTGTCTGGCCCAATTTCATACCGGCACGGCACCAGGTTTCGCGCCTTGTGTTATCGGGGCTTGTGCTTGGCGCGTGTCCTGGCCTGTTCAGCCTGAGTACCCTGGGACATGTTTCTCGGGTGAAGAACGACGAGCGGCTCTATTAGTCCGGCGGTCCGCGAACACGTATATATGTTGCCAATGCCAGTGGTGAGTGTGCCGAATTGCCAAAACTGTTTCAGCTCATTGAATTGCTCGGAATTCGGCTCCAGCCTGAGCGAAGCTGTTCTATGGGACCTGAAAACGTCTCGGGCTTCCCCAGGTGCGTCAGCTATATCTGCTGGCAGACTGCTGCTTCGCTTCATTGATTCCCAAGCCAGGATTACGACACGCGCAACCAGTAGGTGGCACTTGCGGACCCAGCGCGGAATCGCCACGTTTTGGGCTCGGCAACGGGGAGCTGCTGAGCACTTCAAGTTGTGTGCTGTAGTTTTTGTCAGCGCATCCGCCGCGGCCGCATTGTTCCAAGCATTGCCGGCGTGGGCTTTCATCTTAGGCCCTTGGCGACAGCGGTGAGTTCCGCAAATAGCTGCGCGCGGACCGGCGCGGTTGTTCGTTTGCTGGCCTAGCACCCGGGCAGGCTCTCAGTTGATTGCGGCCATGAGAAGTCGCAGTGCCCAAAAACTTGTGAGTTCCGCTGCCAGTGGCGGGTGGGGCAACTCAAACTTGTCAATGCAGTAGTCTGCTAACCCTTCCCGCACCGCCCACGGGTGCTCGGCCAGCGGCTCGAAAATCATTCGGGCCAGCGGCGGTGAGCCGGCCGACTTGTAGGCGCGCGCAGGGGGGAGGAGGGTCCGAGCAGCGCCGACGCCAGGTTGTCGCTTATAGTGGATATCAGGATTAGTACCTACATAAGTATACTCTATGGTTGCAAGTGCTACATACCAGTGGTCTCAAGCATCCGTGTGAACCGGCCCTAAAGACTGTCTGATTCCTATCTTTGGGGGCCTGATGGCTTGGCTTATTATCACACATCATCGCCTAACACTCGGCAACGCTCGACACACGTCAAAAATGTGACTGAATGGTTTCTGTTGCAATACTAATGATAGTAGAGAGAGGACGTATCCTATAGACAATCAGACGCTTTAGGCTACATTTTTAATTGACTGGAGAGCTGCGACGGGCGAGAACCTGAACAGGCGCATCGACTAGGGAAGCTGCGACGAGCAAGTACCCGAGAGTGGACTAGTGAGCTGCGGTGAGCAAGGAGTGGGGAGTCAACTGGGGAGCTGCGGCGAGCAAGGACTGGTGAATCAACTGGGGAGCTACGACGAGAGAGTACTGGGGCGGGAGTAGAAGTGGATGGAGCAGCAGAGCTCTGGGGGACGGATGATGGCTGAGCAGACTCGATCGCAGACTGCGAAGGAGCCGCTGCAGTTGAACTGGGAAGTGCGCTGGTGCTTGCGCCAGGAAGGTAGGGGTCACAGACATGGGGATCATGGAGCTGTGACGGGTCTTGGGTGAAGTAGCCACGCTCGAGACCCTCGAGGTAGGACCATTCGCGGGCAAGGTCGCCGGCAAGCGTCGATTTCTCGATCTTGAAGTTCCAGAACTGGAAACATTGCATTAGGTCAGAAGTAAATGCCGCATTAAGAGGAGTAACGCACAACCCAGCCGGCACCTTTGCTGTAGGCGAGCTTCTGTGCATCAGCCCATTTCTTGAGGAACTCGTCCGTCGCTTCGAACTGGGTGGGCAGACCCCATTCTGTCCAGTCAAAGTCAGCGCCGTTGAGGAAACTACATACGATCACCGCTCACCGCCAAAGTAGAGTGGGCTGTTGCCCTTGGCGGCATCGTTCTCTACGCGATCAAGATTGCAAATGTGCTTCATGTAGGCTTCAGGGTTGGCATCAGCGACACCGCCGAACACGTAGTAGAGGTGGTTGTCGTAGATCTGGGGCCCGATGGCTGCGTCAGCGGGGTTGGAGACGCTGCTTCCCCATTGCCAGCTAACGTCCATGAAGCTATTCAAGTTCTGCGATTGAGTAATTGTTCAAAAATATTTAAAAGAACAACATACTTGGTAATCAGTGGCTCCTTGCGGCCATTGACGAAGAGTCCGAGATAGCCCATTCCGAGCAAAATGGGAACAGACTCCAAGACGGCGGCGCGAACTTCAGGTGTGAAGATTTCGGAAACGTCAGAGATGCTGGGGAGGTCGGCGGTAAAGTTTCCCGTCAGTGTATTCTGTGCGGGAAGGGCGGCAGTCTTGAGGTTTCCGTTGGAGGGGATACCCATGCGGAGAAGGAACTCGACGGCGCGGACGACGCGGACAAAGTTCTTGGAGAAGTCGCCGTAACCAGGGGTCTTGGCCGCTTCCATGACAGGCTCGTTGACCGCCTCGAGCGCAACGACGTTGCTGAAATCAGCGTCCTGGTGAGTGATGGAGGTCATGACCGCGGTCCAGACAAGCGCCCGGTGGTAGTTGCGTGAAGTCTAATTAAGTATGAGATACTCACCATCTAGAAGGAAAGGCGTACGTAAAATTGAGGCCAAGGCGTGCAGCGGCCGGTAAACTGCTGACCGGGGTCCTGAGCGCCAGGAAGACCGTGATGGTCGAGAATCGCGACGATGCCAGCTTTTTTTAACTGGGCCAGACCGCGGCGGAGGTGTTTGAGACCACCCTTGGGGAAGTACTCTCCGTTCTTGCGATCGACGAGGGCTTCAACAAGCCAGTAACCAAGCTACAATTGATAAGTCGCGATTAAAGCAGGGCAGATATGGGGCCTACGGGAATGCGGACGGTGTTGATGCCGGCTGCCTTGAGCTTGTCGACATCAGCCTGGGTGAACCACGTCTCCCTACAGAATTTTAGTTCATGGCGGATTGGAGAAAGAAGAGCAGAAAACGGACCAGTGCTTGGCAAAAGTAGCATCAACAGTCTTGGGATAAGCCTCAGCGAAGGCACTAACCGATATCAGTCTGCGCATGAAGCAAAATCATGGCTCACCCTTCACTGGCGATACATTGGGAACAGTCCGAGCAGGACTCGCCACCCATGTCCTTCCATTCTTGAGGGAGCATCCATGGCTCGACAAGGAGCCTAGAGATCGTCAATGCGGTGTAAAGAATGCTCGAATGGGCGGCTTACCAAGAGCCGAGGTTCACACCATAGATTTTGTCGGGGAGGCCGTGTGCGGCGAAGACAGCAGGGGCAATGAGGGGGAGCAAGCGAAGGGACTGGGTAAAGAGCGACGTGGCACGCATTATTGCTGTTTGCTAGTAGTAGCCCGGAGGCAAAGGAAGAAAGCAAGGAGGAAAGAAAGAGTTGGGGCCGATCTGGACTGTGGCCGGTTATTTAACGGGACATTTTTTTCCTAGCCGATGTCTGCCGACTTCCGTTTCAGGCCTCGAAAAGACACGAGGTTGGCGAGCCAAGTGGCGAGCCTAATCGTTTCCGAAGCAACCCAGCACATTGATGATACCATGGTCTTGGAGATCGCCATATATCGGCAAGAAGGCTTATCCCCATACTTCAGGAGTATCACGGCTTCGTCATCCGAACATTGACCTCGTATTTCCCCCAGTCCTCCGGACGAACAGGCGTAGTTCTTCTTCATAGAGTGGCCGAGATTATTGAGCAACAAGGGATAGTCAAGGGATGAGCGAGTAAGAAAGGACTGCAATCCGTGCAGATCCTCAATTTTCACGTCGATCTGCGTTGTCGCCGCAACAGTCGCGTTGACTGTTAAACGTTGAATTTCAAATGAACGTCACAACCGTGACGTTGTGACACCGCCCACGTACACGTAGCTGCCGACGACAACAACGATGAGCGCGTCGTTCACATTCCCGGAAGGACGAATTGTGCGTATGGTCCCCACCCGACTTTCGCATCTCAGAAGCCTCCCCAGGATTTCGTTGGCCAACTGCGCGTCGACTTCTTGTCGCGTCTCTGGCTCATTGCGACCACGGTCCGTTTCGTTGTCTACAAGCTACGGCCAGCCCGCTTAACGAGATCATAGGGCATCGCATTCCTTGCCGGCTTCCTCGCACAGTCGCTGCAGCTGACCTTTGGCATCCTCGGGGGGTCGACATTACTTCTGGCAATCGTGTGTCTTCTCGCGACATGTTCGCTCCAGCTACTCAATGCAGATGTCCAGGTTTTTGTCCCGTCGTGGCCCGTATTCAACCAACATCCCACGAAGTGGCTGCCGACCGCAACAGAGAAGGCGAACGCGAAAGGGAAGGGGAAAGAATGACACGTTGACTGGCTTTCTGGTGTGTTTCATGGACCTGAACTCCTTTGCCGCAACTGACCAACGTTTAGTACTATAATCCGATGGCCCAATCTTCCTGAATATAATACTATATAGCATAGACCCCTCCATCCGCATTCTTCCAGTCATGAAGACAGTTTGCTGAGACGGCGTCAATTGTGATCATTCAGCAGTCTTTTGAAAGGGGAGAAGAAAAAGTTTCAGCACCGGCATGGACCGACCTTCAACGTTTTCCTGTCTTGCTGACAAGCGTATCTTGTAATTTAATGAGTTAATATTCAGTTTGCCGCATAGAAATATAATATCCAGGGCTAGTTATCGCCGACCACACAGAATCACACCGGATTTGGTAAAATATCCCTTGAAGTAGAAACTGTTCTAGATTCTACCAGAATCTAGAACCAAATCAACCTGTGTAGATTTGCCCAGAATATACTTTTTGGAAACTGAGATTGATTTTGGTCAAATATATACTAGTTTTAGCAAGTCTGAAGTGAAAACTATCTATGGCACTGAAACTATGCCTGAAATGGTTCATATCTGCGCGCATATATTTGGTCATGATATCACGCACATCAAATGTGGCGAAACTGACAGTGAAACAAAGGATTTCACTGACAGTTTCAGCACAGATGATACAAAGGAAATCAGCAGTGGAGAAATGCACATAGATTCTCTTTGTTTCTATTTACATTTCTCCACTGCTGAAACTGTAGATTTACAGTACAATGAAATCATTGTTGAAATCTCAAATTTATTCATGCCAGAAATTGTGATTAAAACTGTCAGTATATACATTGGAGAAATTGTAAGAGATATTGTATGTATATCAGTGACTTGAGGGTCAACCCTCAAGTTAACCCTCAAGTCAACCCCAAGGGTCTGATCTCCGGGTAGACCCTACAAGTTCAGTCTCCAGCTACATATTTAAATACATAATTAGCATGAATGGGATAACAACTTTGTAATGACTTTACACAAACTTTCTAATAAATGTTACCAGATTGTAGGGACCCTTAATACATGTTACTATTCAGTTTAGACCTATGCTTCAAGGTCAATGGTTGAGTCAGAAAATGCAAATTACTGACCCAACCCTGAGTTTTCAAAACAGTGGTAGGGTCATATCTTAATGAGTTCTTATCCGTTCCTAACATGTTATATATGAGCAGGAAGGTGTTCAATTGGCCTATAAACTGGTATTCAACATACAGTTCATTGTATACAAAACCACAGACTTTATTACAAAATACATTTTGACTATTAGATTGTTAACCCAATTACTTGATGGTTTCTAGGCTGTTCATCAAAAGTTGGATATGGTCAGAAAGGTATTTCCAAATTCTACAAACTTGATTTCAACCCTGATATGGTTGATTACAAAACCACAGACTTTCACTACAAGTCAAGGTTTATTGAATTGACTTCAAAATCCAAAGTCAACCAAATGACTCCATATTGCACATAGTAGTAGAGCTTCATTGATTGAGTAAGTGTTCAGTTCAAACCTATTCAAAATTTATGATAGTTGACTCACAAAAGGTGAAATACTCCCAAAATATTGGCTTTGTTAGTTTAGGGCTAGCCTGGCTCAAATAGTATTAACACTATATTGTTGTGAATTTCCCCTTCCTGTTCACTGCTTACCACTTGTATGATAGAGCACAGGTACAGGTCTGGGTCTGTTTAACTTGACTCAGACCCTGACCCTGACCCTGACCCTGACCTTGACCCTGACTGTCAGGGTTCAGGTTGGGCTGTGCCAGGCTTCTCTTGAGAAACATGTACCCAGAACAGAACAGATGAATTGTCGGGCCATAAGTATGGCGGGCGGGTTCAAGTCGAACCAAAAGGGCCCGTTAAAGTGGGTGTTAGTGTCAAGGGTCAGGTCAGGTTGACAAGGCCCAATGAGTCGGTGTTGACTCAGTGATGTCTCCTTGCATAGGGTGAGGTAGTATAATAGGTGATCTAAGCGATAAAGTACAGTGTATACTGTCGATCCGCGGATCGGGTCGACGGAGCGAAGGACTTAAGTAGTTGTTGATCCGTCGCACAGCCTCACGTTTCTTCTCCCGAACCGTGAGGTCAGTGCGACGCGACCGCTTGTTTTGTACCTACTGACTGTGCTACAGTGGGCTAGTGCTCATTGTGTACAGGTGAATAGATGACGTTTCTTCTCCCGAACCGTGAGTGGGCTAGTGCTCATTGTGTACAGAATCAACAGGTTATGGGCCTTAGCGTTTGAAGACGCTCGATATCTGTACTCTACGACATTCTCCCGCTCCTCTTTTCAACCTCGCCGCTCTCGCTGCGTCTCGCCACTCGCGTTACCATGTTTTCCCGCCCGTCGAACCCCTTCCTTGACGTTTACGGCGACTCGCCGTTAGCGAGATTCGCGCAAGGCTTGCGCACTCCACAATCGTCTTCTGGCCCTCGCCAGTCGTTCAATAACCCTTTCATGTCAATGTCGTCCGTGCCATCGCTTGGGCGAGCCGCTTTCGCCCGAGCCGTTGCCTTACATGCCATCTTTCCCCCATACTGCCTCTTTCCACCCTTCCCATTTCCCGCCGGTCTTCCCCTCGTTCCCTCACCTCGCCTACCCTACCCCCGCCGCTCGTCCGTTTTGATCACCATCTCCAACTGGTCCGAGGACGACTTCCTCTCGCTGTCGAAGGGCAATTGGGCTGCCTGGTCGGGACGCGTGGGAACGTAATCTCGGCCTGCACGCCGGGGCCACGCGTTTCCTTGACCCCGCCCATGTGCCTGACCTCCTCAACCCAGCTGCGGTGTCGACTTGGACAGACAACAACACCGTTGTCCGCTCGTTCATCTTGTCTGTCTTATCGAGCACGGAGCGGGACGCTGTTGAGGTGCACGAGTCGGCATCCGCCGTTTGGCAAGCTCTTCGGGTTCGCCACGTTCATCGCGGTCCGTTGAATCAGGTCAAAGCGCTGAAGGCTGCTTTCGAGGTATCATACTCGGGCGATGCGTCAACCTTCGAGAAGACGACGGAGCAGCTCAAGGCTTGGAACAAGGTGATCTGGGCGGGTGGTGCACCGACGGCGGAGAGTTTCCTGACGGCGTTGCTTATTGGGGCACTCTCGCCTAATCATGGGGACTTGGTCAACGGCCTACTCGCGCGCGTTCGGAGCTCTCCGCCGAAGATGTTGAGAAGGCCATCGTCGACAAGGCATCCGCGCCCTCGCCCGCTACACTTGCCTTTGCAGCCACGGGGGGTGGTCGCCGCCGCGATATCTGCACTGTCAAGGCTTGCACCAGTCGCGAGACACACACGTCGGAGTATTGCGTGGCTGAAGGCGGAGGAATGGCTGGAAAATCGGTAGCGGAAGCTAGAGCTGCTAGGGAGACAGCGAAGAAGAGGGCAGGGATAGGTCGCCCGCCGGGTCTGGCGAGAACGGGACAACCACAGAGTTTATTCAAGCATGATATGAACGGGAAGGCGTACTTGACTGTCGCCGGGACCGACTACTACGTCTGGCCGACTCATCAATCGACGCAACCTCAGGCCACACCCACCGCACCATCGGCAAACTTCATCAATCTCCAGACCGACTCCTTGCCTGCGAAGATCGACCCCCATTATTTAGCCGAGACTCATGCTGTGCTGGCAGAGGCTTTCGCTCCGCTGGACTGGTCGACCGCGCAAGTCAACGCGGCTGTCAGCGATGCCTTCGTTATATTCCCTGACACTGGCGCCAACGTCCATATATCCCCATTCAAAGACGATTTCGTCGATCTCCTGCCCATTGCGCCACACGGGGTAAAGGGCTTCCAGGGTTCCTCAATTGATGCAGTTGGTATTGGCTCGATTGCAACTGACCGCTTCACCATAACCAACGTGCTCTACGTTCCGAATGCTTCTGTCCGTCTCATTTCCGTCAGTCGTCTCTGCAAAGATCTCTAACCCTAACCGCGTCGACTTTGAGCGCCACCGTATAGGATTGGGGGTGTTGGAATAGGATGTCGGGGGTGCTTGCATGGGGGGTGGTGTTGTTGTGGATGCGTGGTTCCTCCGTCGGGGGGTGTGTCGATCCGCGGATCGGGTCGACGGAGCGAAGGACTTAAGTAGTTGTTGATCCGTCGCACAGCCTCACGTTTCTTCTCCCGAACCGTGAGGTCAGTGCGACGCGACCGCTTGTTTTGTACCTACTGACTGTGCTACAGTGGGCTAGTGCTCATTGTGTACAGGTGAATAGATGACGTTTCTTCTCCCGAACCGTGAGTGGGCTAGTGCTCATTGTGTACAGAATCAACATATACTATTATACCTTATATATGCCCTGCTGAGGGGTGATCAGACACCCTTGGCCTCTCCTGCTCCTTCCTATATCCCTGTCTCTGGCTGCAGAGAAGATGATTGCACATCCCTTGCAGGCCAGGCACTACTCCTAACATCCTAGCACTCCTTCCTGTTCCTTCATGCTGCAAGTTGGGCTCAGCGCAGGCCCAACACATCTTTCCTGGTCATGTGCTTCCCATATATACATTTCCCTCTACTGTGGTGTCTGTTCCTGTCATCACATCCTGTGTGTTATGGGCCCTTGGTGGCCTGATACCAGTGCCAGAGAGGATAGGCCAGGTCTTATCTGTGACACTGATCCTACCTAACCCTGACCCTACTGGGTAAGGTTGACTTGATCTAGGTTAACCCTCATGTCATATTTGATACAATTCAAAAAGCTCAAACAATCATTATTATATACTACAATTAGTATTTATGAGCCTTCTTGTGTTCCATCCTGGTCCTCTTCATTGTCCACATTTTACTTTTTTCTAGAAAGCATGAGTGGGGGGTTGAAGTGGCAGGGTTTCATGTTAGAATGCACAAAGGAACTGAGAGAGGTATATACTAACCTCATTCATCATATGCATATCTATATGTACAAGATGAGGGTAGAGTACAAGTCAGGTAGGGTTTGTTATAATCAGAGTCAGGGTCAGGGTATACTAACCCTGACTCTGACCCTGAGACCCTGACCCATGCTCTACCCCACCAACTTCTGAACCTGGCTGTTCAACCCCAGATTTGACCCGCAGGTCCAGACGGACCCTAGGGCTGAGCTGGTGGCAAGAGTGGCTATCATTGATGTTTGGTAGAGAGGTGTTACACAAGGGTTACAGGCATATGCTCATTGAGTCATTTGCCAGTGGTGCTCCACTCAGCTCCACATTACCTTTTTTGGGTAACAGCAGAAATAAGGAAAGTCAAGACTGCCCTGACCCTGACCCTGATCCTACTTAAACCTGACTCCATTAGGGAAGGTTGACTTGATTTCTCTCTATACAAGAAGGCATCAATGACTCACTAGGCTCTAACAACTCAACTTGACTCAGCATCTGTTCTGTTCCAGGTCCATGTTTCATAGAAAAAACTTGCATGGCCTGATTGATCTAAAGCCTGATGTATCCTTTGCTTTCCCACCATCTACCCTCTGTTTCATATTGATTATGATAGCTTTAATAACATTACTGTTGGCACTAGGGCTGCCGAGTCTGGGTCTTGAGAGAAAGGCAGACCCTGACCTTAACAAACCCTGCCCCTTCTGTGTATAGGTCCAACCAGGTCTGGGTCTCTGGGTCAGGGTCAGGGTCAGGGTTGGTGTACCCTGACCCTGAACCTGACAAACCCTACCTGACTTGTACTCTACCCTCATCTTGCACATATAGATATGCATATAATGAATGAGGTATATACCTCTCTCTCAGTTCGTTTGTACATTCTAACATGAAACCCTCTATCACTTCAACCCTCCACTCGTGCTTTCCAGGAGAGTAAAATGTGGACAATGAAGAGGATCAGGATGTAGCGATGGCGGTATCCAGTTTGGCCTTCCAGTTTGAAGCTGAACTGGACCGAACCAAATACCGTGTAGGGTAGAGCAGAGGTCAGGGTCAACTCGCAGGGGTTTCAAGATAGGGTCTGTCAGGATCAAGATACACCAATTCTTGAATCCGGCCAAACCCGGACCCTTTCTGAATCAACCTGGAGGGTCCAATAAGTTTTTGTGATTTAATAATTTCCTATCTAAATATGTTTTACGACTTTTTAAGAGACAAAAAAAATCAGATGTCACTCAAGTCACTCAAGTGACATGTGACATATGAGTAGATTGTATTCAATATCCTTAAATTCTTGAGGAATAGGCTACATATACTATATCTGAGCCAATATCATATAGTAAAATGTATATTATGTTGAAATTATTGTTCCAAATACATCTTCTGCTTCCCTGTCTGCAACCCGTGGGTCAACCCAGACCCGGTTGGACTCGTATCCAGAAGAGTCAGGGTTAGTCAGGGTCAGGGTCAGGGTCAGCCTTCTGAGACCCGGACCTGTGCTCAACCCTACGAATGCGCATTTAAGTTCAAAGTGTAAGGCCTGTCCTCTCCAGCACTGGTATCAGGCCACCAAAGGCCTGCAACACACAGTATGTAATGACAGGAACAGACACCCTAATAGGGGGGAATGCACACATAGAAAGCACGTGACCAAGAAAGATGTGTCAGACCCAACACTGACTTTAATGGGCCCTTTTGGTTCGACTTGAACCCGCCCGCCATACTTATGGCCCGACAATTCATCTGTTCTGTTCTGGGTACATGTTTCTCAAGAGAAGCCTGGCACAGCCCAACCTGAACCCTGACAGTCAGGGTCAAGGTCAGGGTCAGGGTCAGGGTCTGAGTCAAGTTAAACAGACCCAGACCTGTACCTGTGCTCTATCATACAAGTGGTAAGCAGTGAACAGGAAGGGGAAATTCACAACAATATAGTGTTAATACTATTTGAGCCAGGCTAGCCCTAAACTAACAAAGCCAATATTTTGGGAGTATTTCACCTTTTGTGAGTCAACTATCATAAATTTTGAATAGGTTTGAACTGAACACTTACTCAATCAATGAAGCTCTACTACTATGTGCAATATGGAGTCATTTGGTTGACTTTGGATTTTGAAGTCAATTCAATAAACCTTGACTTGTAGTGAAAGTCTGTGGTTTTGTAATCAACCATATCAGGGTTGAAATCAAGTTTGTAGAATTTGGAAATACCTTTCTGACCATATCCAACTTTTGATGAACAGCCTAGAAACCATCAAGTAATTGGGTTAACAATCTAATAGTCAAAATGTATTTTGTAATAAAGTCTGTGGTTTTGTATACAATGAACTGTATGTTGAATACCAGTTTATAGGCCAATTGAACACCTTCCTGCTCATATATAACATGTTAGGAACGGATAAGAACTCATTAAGATATGACCCTACCACTGTTTTGAAAACTCAGGGTTGGGTCAGTAATTTGCATTTTCTGACTCAACCATTGACCTTGAAGCATAGGTCTAAACTGAATAGTAACATGTATTAAGGGTCCCTACAATCTGGTAACATTTATTAGAAAGTTTGTGTAAAGTCATTACAAAGTTGTTATCCCATTCATGCTAATTATGTATTTAAATATGTAGCTGGAGACTGAACTTGTAGGGTCTACCCGGAGATCAGACCCTTGGGGTTGACTTGAGGGTTAACTTGAGGGTTGACCCTCAAGTCACTGATATACATACAATATCTCTTACAATTTCTCCAATGTATATACTGACAGTTTTAATCACAATTTCTGGCATGAATAAATTTGAGATTTCAACAATGATTTCATTGTACTGTAAATCTACAGTTTCAGCAGTGGAGAAATGTAAATAGAAACAAAGAGAATCTATATGCATTTCTCCACTGCTGATTTCCTTTGTATCATCTGTGCTGAAACTGTCAGTGAAATCCTTTGTTTCACTGTCAGTTTCGCCACATTTGATGTGCGTGATATCATGACCAAATATATGTGCACAGATATCAACCATTTCAGGCATAGTTTCAGTCCTATAGATAGTTTTCATCTCAGACTGCCTAAAACTAGTATATATTTGACTAAAATCATTCTCAGTTTCAAAAATGTATATTTTGGGCAAATCTCCATAGGTTGATTTGGTTCTAGATTCTACCAGAATCTAGCACAGTTTCTACTTCAAGGGATATTTTACCAAATCCGGTGTGAATCCGAAGCAGCATGTCAATATTGTGATGTTACTGAGGACGAGGGAACGTGCGCCGCCGAACCTCCAGTCTATAGCGAGGATTAGGGTCGACACTGTCCCAAACAATCCGGTGACCAGACAGCAGTTGTGCCTGTTTCGTTACCCGCTCCGAAAACCTAGGCCAGAATATCCCTGTCCCGAATCGCGACGCTGTGAAAACGCGCAGGCCTTGTGTGTGGGCTTTGAAGCATTCGAAAACGACGTCTGCCAAGTGGGTGTTGTCGAAGGGCAGCTCTACCCCGAGTACAAGAAGGCGAGGAAAGAGCACGAGCGTGCGAAAAAGGGGCGCCAGATCGTCGTTTGCAAGAGAAGAAACGCGTAGGATATTCAACGACCGAGCATGGGTGTTCACGAAAGGCGCGACCAGCGACTGTAGAATATAGGCATTGACCGCTATGCATGTGTTGTCCGCGTCATAATCAAACGACACTTGCAGCTCTTCTAGCGCCGGAAAGTCGATATCCACCATGAAGCGGCCATAATTTTTCATCTGTGCGAAGAAGGAGAGTCGGCGTAGGTTTCCAAAGGTCGCCCTGCCTACTTTGAGCAGACAGGCACTCTCACGAGTGAGAGATAAATCGCGCCACTCAAAAGTGTAATCTATGACCCCAGTCATGAGCTGCATGGCCTCGGTCATAGCGACCAAGATCTCCCTTGCGGAAGCGTTTCCGCTGGCACTGAATGTTGGAGGCGATTTTTTGCAGGTAAGCACTTGATTAGACAACCGGAGCAGCTCGTCGCGTTGGATAAGGTATTCAATAAACCATCCCCGTATGTGCAGCTTTCGCACTCGTGCTGCAAGGAACGGCAACCTAAAAGCAAGTAAGCACACATACCACCTCGTTAGACAGTACACACCGCAAGCGCTCCAGATCTCGCAAAAAATACCTATCTAGCTTTTCCCAGCGGACAACACGGTATATTTCGTCCAGCGCAATATTGAAGAGCGGGCCATTTACGGATATGAGTGTGATCAGATGGTTGTTGGGAATGAAGGCCGCTACATAACGCCACACGTCTTCAGGAAGCTCGACGGAGCCCATAGAGGTAGGGTAAGGTGCACCATCGGCGTCTCTCGTGTGAAGACAGATCAGTGTTGGGGACAAAAGTAGTCGCGATCACATGTCCCGACTCGGACCTCAGGCTGATCACATTGTTCTAGGCAAATAAGATAGTGCTACTACAGCCCGGTGGTTTCATTTGAATTGTAAGCACTGAGCAGTGCACAAATTGCTGTCGTGCGGGACACAACATTGAGCATAATGCATGAGGATCAGACGGAATTGGCTATAATTGTCCCGTGCGAGAGGGGCTCAGATTGTCCTCACTACAAGCTGTGGGATAAAGACAACGTTGGAGAAAGGCAGTTACAAGTCTACGCTAAATAGAAACACTCCCTATTCAATCTTCATTACAGACTCAATACGGGCCTTCTGGATGCGTCTCCGCAAACCCTTCCAAACCGGCATTCCAAAGATCATCGTGCTGAGCCAATAAGCAATCTGTTATAACACGTTACTCACAAATGTGTGAAGAGGAGAATAGAGCGCACCATAACCTCATATCCAGCCCTGTGTTTCTGGCACAAATAGAGAGTATAGAGACTCTCCAAGAAGTGCAGTCCGACCGTGAATCCGAAGGCGATTTTGAATGGCAATGGGGAGATGAACTGCCGGATGAACTGGGCAGGGATGAGGTATGGCGCGTCGCCAACAGGTGCGAATGCTCCGTAGGGCAGGAAAGTGTAGAGCCAAATGCCGAAAGGGATTCCCCAGGACGGCCATTTGAACACAGTGATGCGAGGAGTTTTTATCTAGAGCCTGTGTTAGATTTCATGGGGAGAATAATAGAGACAAAACACCATTCCGAGACCCTCTTGGGCTATCGCCTTCATTTCGAGCAAACGCGGCTTGACGTCGTCGTAATTGCGAAGTGGTGGGTCAATCGCGACGACTGCAACCTTCTTGGAGCCGTCTTTGAGTGTGCAAGTGAGAGTCATGCTCTACGGTCTGCTAGTCAGCAGTTCCCCCCAAGAGATGCTAACGCCCACCTTGGTGTCAATGGCAGACATCTCTGCACTCGTCAAGTTCTCTGTAACCTTCCCGTACCACTTGGCGTACGCGACGAGCGTGTCGGGGTGGCTCGACATATACGTCTTGAGGAAGCCGGATTTTTCCGCAACGGGGTCGGCCATGGTCTAGGTGGTGGTGGTTGCAGTGAGAAGAGTCTCACAAGACGTGTACCAGAAAATGATCGTGGCTGATTACGTCAACGATGGATGCTTGCGCGATACTTATACCAGGGAATTGAGCCGTAGTTCGCTTTAACACTGTAGAGTTGAAAGCTACTTATGGAGGCTCGAGAACTAGCCTCTAACCAACGGGTAAAAGTCAACAGAGTTTGACCAAATGCGCTGATGATTAATCCCTGATACATTAGGGTCCCAGATGTTCAAATTGTTCTCTCTATTAGCTACCTCTGTCATACTGGACCTCCACTTGGGCCTTCATGCCACCTAAATCATTCAGCCTGAATCCACCCAGCCTTTGAACCATCTCCTCATCCTCCATCTCCCCTTCCAAGTCCTCATAAAATTCCCTTGTTAGCCCAGCCTGCTCTCTCGCCTCAATATTAAATGGACCCTTAACATTCCCCCTCCAGCCCCGTCTGACCTCCTCCCGAAACGTCGTTATCGGATCGACCCCTTGCTCTCGCTCGCATAACCACGTAAACCACCGGTGGCCCGATGTAACATGGGTGACCTCGTCGGCGTGGATGATCTCGAGCGCGGCTACACTGTCCTTGTCTCCAGCACGACGGAACCGTTCTATTGTACCTGGGTTGACATCGAGTCCTCTAGCCTCGTGTACTAAATGGATGATCGCGAGACGAGAGCGTAAGGAGTGGGAGGTTATGGTTGCGGATTCCCAGAGGGATGCATGAACTGGCATGGTTCCGTATGGTGTCGTGGGCGAGGTAGCGGAAAGCCTAGACGTGAGAAGGGAACTAGGTCATAATGTGAGCAGATGAATTCGCGACCAGCTAAACACAGATACAAATGCTTTGACTCGTCCAATGCCATTTTGGTGAAATCCGAAAAAAATGCATGTGGGAGATCCGGGTGGGAGGGGCCAAAACGGGCTATGATGTCCCAACTAGGAAAATATGAGTGATCACAAACCACGGAAAGAGATAAGAAGAACATACGACAGATCGATTCTTCAACAAAGTGAATAAAGAGAGTTAAATGATTGCAAGTGTTATTACTCACGCCCATTGCTCGATATTGGCCAGTGCATGCAACATGACCTAAGGAGTTAGATGCTTTCCGAGGAATGTGTTGACGCGACATACAGCGAGACTCCTTCGTCCTTTGACTTTCCCTGGATTGACGGTATTTCGCAGGTAACTGTCTTCCCGAGGCGGAACATCTGGGGGCTTTGGCGCTGAAGCCGATTTGTGACCGATGGAGTCAAGTTTCCCTGTCCGGAACATATGAACGGCGTGACGCGTTCGCAGTACCTTGAGCGTTGGATTAGCCGTATTGAGGATGAGTACCGCCCATTGCATTAGTGTCCGTGGCGGGTTGAGATCGGGCACAACCGGCTCCAGCGACTCCGATATGCTTATTGTTACGGGATTGACCTGGGACACAGGTAGTGAGGTAGTTGGCGGCGGATCGGCGAATTCTATATTCGTGGTCATTGCATGGAAGCAGAGGGACCAGAAATGGAACCTTCAGAAACTGGTCTGATATCTACGAGCCTCCAATTATTCCCACCCGAGGGAGTCTCTACGTAGACCATTTCTACGTCGTCTTCGGGATCTGTTTTCACTTCAACTGCGTAGGTGCATGTTCTTAGCCCTGTTTCGCTCTTCCCAGTGCGCAGATCGAAGTCATATCTGACGGAGTTCAAAATCAGCATTCCTCGCTCAGTGAATATCACCTGTGCCAAGGACAAACAGCGACCGTCGCTCCAGTGTCTTCGTACTCTTCGATGTCGGCATGCGACATATCAGCGCCAAGATGTGGGCAGCTAGATTCCATAACATATATCTGGCGGTTTTGCCCAGCATTGTTCTTCTCCAGCCTCTCAGAGGAAGTTTTTTCTGTCTCAACGGACAGGCGAAAGAGGATCAACGAGTGGTATTTGCCGGTGTCGGATCGTAGAGTGAGCGTGAAACGCGAGTGCGTCAGGAGATTCTTGAAGGAGGATATTCTGTGCGGAGTTGAGCGGCAGGGAATTATTATCTCCACCAACGCACCGGATGAACCGTGCCGACTGCATGATGAAAGTTTAAGTTGAGAGTTGATGGTCCGAGTCACATCATGAAAATGTGACACCAATTGCTTTTAGTTTCGACCTGTGTTCAGCTCAGACTCGGACTTGAGCGACGTCTGTCTGCTTCTCTTGGCATCGCAATGACTCTGAGGCTGCCGCATCTATGAATACGGCCGTAGCCTTTTGAGTTGAAGGTGTATGTCGGAGTAGTAAGTTGCAGCGGCCTCACAACGAAATGCTCACACCTGTAGTACGTACTAACTGAAAATTTCCCAGCTCCGCATAGACCCCCCGCTTCGAAATCCATTGGACTATTGGCTTGGTGTAGTACTAGTAGGTTTGTTTCAGCTGATCATTAGCAATCATTCATGTCTCCGTTCCAGCAAAATACGAGTCCATAGCGGAGCTCTCTCACTGAAGGAGATTGCTGGGTTAACTATACCTGGGAATTGAGAAGGCCTATCGGAGCCATTGTCCATCGAGATTGCGTGCTGATTGGGAATTGGATGATCGAAGCTGCGATATAAGGAAAACTGACGGCCGTCGTCCAGCTCGACCTCCTCTTCCGCTTCTTCAATGGTTGCTGCCCCACCGTCACCTACTCTCTCCGGAACTCCACTTGGGTCTCTGAGTGCCTACGATTCTTACGATGTGACCCCGCATATCGGCACGCGTTTCCCCAATCCAGGAACAACCCAACTCTCTCAGCTGTTGACTGCACCAGACTCGGACGTTCTCATTAAGGATCTTGCAACGCTTGTTTCGCACCGTGGCGTGGTGTTTTTCTCCCAGCAGGACTTGACACTCGATCAACAGAAGGAGCTAGGTCGCAGGCTTGGACGGCTAGCAGGGAACCCGAAAAGCTCCGGACTACATATCCATCCCATTTCTGATGATACGCCCGAGATCGCTGCTGATGTCAGTGTTATTTCATCTGAGGGGTGGGCACATTTCGACTACCTCTAGTGCGAGTCTGAACCCTTCCTAGCGGCATTGCGCGGACTGGATACAAGAGAAACACCCGCGCGAGTAACTCGTGGCACACCGATATCACCTTCGAGCCTGTCCCGTCAGACTACGCTGTTAGTGTCCCGTTCTGGTATGAGATCTCTTCGTGCTTACCAGTGCTGGTTAGATTCTGAAACTCCACACACTTCCCACTGGTAAGCACTGACCTCTTTGATTGACCCACCCTGATCTCGAGGCCCCGCATAGTTGGCGGCGACACCTTGGTACGAAGCTCAATATCTAGGTTCTGTTTATACATACTTACAACCGTGATTTTTCCTTAGTGGGCTAGGTTAGCCGCATATTACGCTGAAGAAACCATACTCAAACACTGCTTCTCAGTGCGTATGAAGCCTACGACAAGCTCTCTCCAGCCTACCAGCGCTTCTTGGAGGGATTGACAGCGTTCCACGATGGCAGTGGATTCAGAGACGTATGGCTATGTTCTTGATATGACGCCCAACAGTGCCTAAACTTCATTGATGCAGTATGCCGAACAAACAGGCAAAGTGATCAATCAGCCGCGAGGGTCTCCTGAGAACGTTGGGACGCACCTAACCGCGATCCAGTTAGTGATCGTTTCCCTTGAAGACAAGCCGCCTACTGATAAATCTACTTGTAGTCCAGTCGTCCGAACGCATCCTGTAACCGGGTACAAAGCGCTCTTCGTCAACAAATCGTGAGCTACTTTAGCGTCTTCCCAACGAGATAGACCAGCAAACTCTTGTACAGGTTTACGACGCGCATCGTGGAGCTGAACGATGAGGAGTCTGATGATATCCTAGCGTATCTTGCGCGCCATATCGCAGAAAACCACGACATGCAGGTGCGCTATACCTGGGCGAAGAATGACATCGCGATCTGGGACAATCGATGTACTTTTCACACAGCAACGTTGGGCTTTCTTCTCTTTAGCGTGTTTGAAGTCTGAGGAACTCTGTTCACAGGAACGATTACGAGGGCCTTCGACAAGGAAATCGAGTTGTGAGTATCGGCGAGAAGCCGTATCTCGATACGTCATCGCCCTCTCGTCGACAAGCTCTAGGGATGGATTTATATGAAGTCCCGAGTGCAAATGGGCTGCTGAAGTCGAAGGGCTTGATGATGTAGACACAATCCAATGACCTGGATAAGTTCCAAAGGGCAGAACGTTCATGGTGTCCAGCCTTCTCAAGCCCTCAACTGTTTTCGTCATTGGTGCATTATTTTCCATAGCGATTAACCTGAAACGGACAACCACGACCGCGTGCTGCTCATTTACTTATCAATATGACGGATCAGTTGCCACGCTTCGGGCCGGGCGGGAAATAATTGCAATACATTAGATTGTAATTCAGATAAATCAAAGCCACCGAAAGCCGTCGAGCGCGACAAGACAAGTCGAGGTTGGATAATTTATTGGGATTGACCACTAGTACAAATATCGTCGCGAGCGCGCGGAGGCAAAGCTCCGCGTCAATTGTAAACCTAAATAAGCGGCGAGGACGGAGGAATTGTTGGTGCGAAAGGAAGCGAGAACGACATTGACACATGTGACGTGTACGTGTGACGTTCAGGGACCATCATTTTCGCTTTCGAAACGTGCCTTGATATTGCTTCAGAGGATCAGGTACCTCTTCCCTCACCCCCACACAAAAAAAGAGTCGAAGAATGGGCTCGGCGCACGAGGATTTCGATGGCGATGTCGACGCGGAGGGCGAACTTGACCAGCTTGAAGGCAACCCTTCTCACTCCACCCTTCCATCGTCCAATGCACCCCTCGCTTCTGCCAGCGGGGTTAGCAAACGCTATCGCCCAGCACAAGCGAAGACATTCCAATGCCGTGGTTATGGAGAATGCAGGATGGTTTTCAGTCGCAGTGAGCATCTTGCGCGCCATATCCGGTAAGTCCCCAAAACAAAGAGAAAAAAAGTCGGCGAAAAAACTCTATTCATCTGCCTTGCCGATTTCGTTATTTACTGACTTTCCCTAAACCAGGAAGCACACTGGGGAACGACCGTTCAGCTGTCACTGTGGGAAGCAGTTCTCGAGGCTAGACAACTTGCGGCAACATGCCCAGACGGTCCATGCCGACAAGCCTACTGAGAACGAAGCGATGATGAGGCAACTTGCCAGTCTACACGCGACAATTACGGGCCAAGTACCGAGTCCTCCGTTGCCAGAAACCCAACCTGTCCCCAAGGCTGCGAAGTCTACAGCGAAGTCCAAGGAAACGCGAAGCACCAAGAGGGTCAAAGCTATCAAGCAGGAGGAAGAAAACGTTAGCATTACAGTGGCTCAACGGCCTGGGACCAGTACGGGATATGAAGGGGCTGTTGGGTATATGGATGTCGACGTAGACGTTGAGGTCAGTCTTCTGTTCCTCCTGCTAGTTGCCTGGCTTATCAACCACAATGTAGCCGAAGGAAGAACAACAACCCTCTCCGCCGCTTGCGGCGCGGGGGTCCTTTCGAGACGGAGAAACAAATCATTCCTTTCGGGACTACACAAGGAATGACGACCAGTCCTTTCGAGTCAACCAGTCCTTTCGAGGGTCAGTTTTCGCTTGGTCCTTCGCTTGCCTACGTGCATCCCTTTCATTACTTTCTTTTGGAGACTCTCATTGGCCACGGATCAGGCTTTCAGCCGACCCTATATCGCGGTATTACGCGGCCAATCGAGAATGCGCCAAAGACAAGGCCAGAGCGGCGACGGATGAGCTTCCTCCTCTCTTCTACTTCTTTCTGTACTTCTCATGCTTACTCCTCGGATTTTAGCCAACATCAACACCAATACTTCAGCCGTCCATCAACCACTCCATCTCCCGTCGATACCCCAGGAGGCTACTCAAGCAAAGTCGTCACCCCAATCGGCTTCTCCCCCGGGAATAGCATCACCACTGGACTATCACCAAACGGAAATGCTCCCCGCCCGAGCACCAGCAACGGGTCCCATTCGCTCCTCCCGCCGCTCTCATCCGTCGTCCCCTCCGCATCACTCACATTTCGTCGGCCATCAACCGGAGCAGCCAACACCTCCAACAACCTCGCCAACAGTCCCTCCTCTGGCATACTCCTACCCAATTCACTCACCCTACGCCGTCCATCCACTGGTGACTGGAACTGGGATGGGTTCAGTGCAAGACCTGGAACAGCACCAGGAAAACTCGCTGCCAGCGGTTTCACCCCAGGAGCTGTTGGAAGCAACTACTCCAGCGATGACGCGTCGCCCTTCTCGTTCCATGTCCCGGACCAGCCCACCAGCAACTCGCGGAAACGCACGATCAGCAGCACGCATGGGCCGTATGGCTCCCATCCAGACGATGACGAGAGCCAGTCCCGACCCACGAGTCGCAGACTCTCCGTTATGGACCTCGTCCACGACGACAACGACCACACCGTACGGCCCGTATCCGTATCCGCTCCCTCCACCTTCGCCCTTCCTCGACCAGGGTCACGTGAACGGGACCGGCCAATTACCACCAATGGGCTCGTATCGCGAGCCTCTGCACTTGACCTCAGCGACGAGCACGACGGAGAGTCCAGGCAGTTCGCATACCAGCCACAGTCTGTCTCCCCCGGGCGCAGCAGCCGCCCAGGTAGCGTACGCGGACGCCCTGAGAAGACAACAGGAGGCCCAGTTGCAGGAAGCTTTGGAGCTGGAGGAGGCTTATCATCGGCAACAGCAGCAGCAGCAACAACAACAACAACAGCAACTCTATTATCCGGAAGAGTACCAACTGTACTCTCAACAGGGAGCGTATATCGAGGAGACACCAGACATGAACCAGATGGCACACGCGATGGCTATGGGTATGGGAATCCAGGACCAACAGGGGTACGATCCCAACTACCAGGATTCTACCCCGACACAGTACCTGGAGGACTATCACCATTCGCATCCGACAGTCCCTTCTCATTCCTATCCCGCCGCGCATCACCACCATCACAGCTCCCCGGTCTCGCCCTACTCGCTCGTCAACTACCAGGGTTACCCTCCATACGAGACGGTGGCGCCCTACTCCGAAACAGCCCCGGTGGATTACGCTTTGGACGGACACCAGCTGCCTATGACCACAATGCAGCTTCAGGACCACCACAACCACCACATGGCCGGCAGGGCGGCGGTATGACCGTCTAGTCGCTTGATATTTTATTTTATACTGTGTAACCTATTAGTCTTGGATACCTCACCTACTGTACAGTGTCACCGTGTTTGGACTTGTGCTCTGCTCTCACCATACTTACCATTCTAATGCTTTTGTGTAGTGTAGTTTTGTTGTTTGTTTGTGTAAAAGCAATTGTCTTGTCGGACAAGTTCTGGATAACAATAAGGACTCCGTTTGTTTGCTTTTGGAGGAGCATAAAACCAGTTGGTAAGTTTTCTGCTCAGAGGCGGTGTTTCAAACAAGTTTGCCCGTTTCGTTTTAGCAAGTCACACCTTGGATTCTAGAGGTGTTGTTAATGATGGGTAATGTTTTGGGTGTGATGGGCAAAGTTGGGGCTTGACAGGCATGAATGGAAATATTTTTTCTAACAAACAGCATCAGGCATAAAACCATTACTTCTAACTGGCAGAGCTTTGAATTACAGTGTTCCGAGTCAAACACTTGCAAAAAAACAGAGCTCTAGGATGTGTTGTCGCTACCCCAAGTACAAATACACAATATAATCGTCAAAAAAGCTTCACGTCCGTTTGCGAAGCTCTACATCTGTGACTCCCTGAACGACGACATGCCCATCTCTCGCCGCGCGTCTGAGTTCTGCCTCAATAAACCGTTGCGGCCTCTCTAGCTGTATTGCTTCTTTGTTGCGCACCACCACCACCATGCGCGGGTTCTCGCGGTACAGGTAGTCTATGTCCTCCAAGTGTCTGTTTGCCGTCTCGGGGTAGAACAGCCACACGACGGGAACAAAGAGCACGTTGAAGAACATCCATATCAGGTAGAACCGCCAGCCCATACTCGCGATGCCTGGCGGAGTAATTTCGACAACAACGTAGTTGCTCAGCCAGTTGGCGGCGGTCGCGAGTGCGGCGCCTTTCGTGCGCATAGCGAGGGAGTTGATCTCGACTGGGTAAAGCCAAGGAACCTGTAAGACCGTTCGTTCAGTTTCGCATTTGATACTGACATACTAACAGAAACTTACGCCTTGCCAACAAATGCCAAAGAAAAGGTAGTATGAAAAGAAGAAAAAGGTCGATGCGATCCCATATCGCTTGTCCTCCGCGTGTGCGAGACAATACGAGATGAATGCGTAGCACACGGCCTGGCCCATCGCCCCCCAAATCATCATCTTCCGCCTGCCCGCCCGCTCGATAAGTACAAGACCAAAGAATGCGAATAGGAGGTATGAGATGGAGTTGCAGGCCGCCAGCAGACGCGACAGGTTGTTCGATAGTCCAACAGAGTTCTGCAGCACAAGGGGAAGGTAATAGCTCGTGACATTGATTCCAACACCTTGCTGCATTAACTGGGCTCCGGCCCCAAGGAGGAGTCGCTGCACCATGCCCGTCTCGCCAGTCCGAAGATGGAGAATATCTGACCAACTTGGGGAAGCGTCGTTCTCCATTCTGACGGCTTCGAGAATCTCCATCTTCTGGTCAATAACCGCCTCGTCCTCTGGAGTAGCATCCTCGCCGTGCAAAGCGGCAAGGACAGCAACACCCTCTGTCTCGAATCCGTGCATCAGCAACCATCGTGGACTTTCCGGGAGCCATGGGATCGTGGCAAAGAGAACAACCGAAAAGAAGAGTTGGAATGCAATAGGAAAGCGCCATGACGCACTTCCTTCGGTGAAACTGAAGCCATAAGTCATCCAATTGCTCAGCGCAAAGCCAGCGATATTCATGCTACGCAGAAGGTAGGAATTAGAATGGAGATTTATAGAGGAAGAACATACATCATCTCGAAGACAACGAGCTTCCCTCGCCATGACGGCTTGCATGTTTCGCTCTGCCAAACTGGCGCCGTTGCAGTATTGATTCTGGAGAAGGACAATCAGATGTTGAGAAGTTTGAAGGAAGAACTACTTGCCCGTTTCCCAGTCCAGTGATTATTCGGGCAACTATCATCTGCCCTACCGTATATGCACTCGTCTGCATAAGTGCTCCAAGCGACATGACGACTACTCCAACGAGAAATGTCTTCTTCCGCCCAAGTCGTTCGCCGATGACCATTGCAGCCAACGCGCCAAAGAGACTAGCAGCTATGAGATCAACAAGTAGCCTTTGAAGGTCTACACACCAGCCAATGTCGTATAACGCGACAATTGCACCTTGCAAGCTCGGATTCGGGTTGCCCATCGTTTCGAGGAAGTCGGGAGTGATTATAATCCCGCCAAACACGCCCTGGTCGTATCCAAAGAGAATCATTGCTGTAGTACATGCGACAGTGACCCATCCACTGAGGCGGTCGCCAGTGATTCCGAAATATGGTCGCATTCTGGGTTGTGGGGAGTCAGTGGGAGTGTATGGGTGGGTTTAAACTGTTCCATTTACCGCGGTATTTCCGGGGCTCCATCGCCGTCTTCGTCGTGGACACGTGTATAGCCGTAAGAGGCCATGAGAGACGCAGTGGGACCACTGGTGGTCGAAGAGGAAGTGAGGTCACGATGTGACTCTGTCGGGTCACCGGACCGTGACTTCGACTTGACCGCAACTCAGTCGAGTCGATGACAGACGCTATCTCTGACTTGCCTCGGCCGCTCACGACCCGAAACCTCCGCCCGCGGTCAGCGGCCTCCTCCCCGTGGCAGCTCTCGCTCGTCCGCTTCTGGCTCTGGGTCGTTAACGATGGCAAATGGCGAAGCATCCTCTTCGCGGGGCACCAAGCGACAACTCATACCAGGAGAAAGCTCTCGAAAGCGCCAAAAAGTTCAGGCAGAGAAACCAGGAGACGATTCAGGGCTGGGGGAGGAGCTACCCGACAATCTCATCCAGAAATCGACCTCATCGAGGCAGGGGGAAGATAGCAACGACTCGGAGTCGGTGTGTGCATTTACTATTCGATACCTTCAATTGAGCCTAAGGATTGAATGCATGGCAGATTCCCATTTCCACTGGGGCTGACTCCTACATCGCACCCACATCGTCAAGACCAGCACCAGAGCCACCCCAACCACTGTCAACCTACACCTGCCCGATCTGCTTCTGCGCACCGACAAATGCAACGTTGACGCCATGCGGCCATGTCTGCTGCGGTTCTTGTCTTTTTACTGCGATAAAGACGATGATGCAACGCGGCGCTTTAATCCCTGGCTCGCTCGAGGCGAGGTTAGTCGTCTACTTTGCAGAGAAAATTCCAACAATGACTCCTTCCAGATGTCCGGTATGCCGTGCAGAGATTCCGGGCTGGGACGGGAAAGGCGGTGGTGTTGTGGGGCTCCAGACTCGTTTCGTCATGAGTGTATGAACTGTACCCCTCTGCTTCCCAGATATTCAGTATTGTCTAAACCAATCAGCGAGGAGGAGTTGTGTGACACTAATATCACATGACTTGTGACAAGACGTTCCTTGGAATAACAGAATCTTGATATCCTTGAGCTCACAACCAGAAGTACTCCGCTACTGTGCCTCTCACTAGGTTAGAGAACCTGATCAGACCAATTTCAATTGAAGAGGGTCAACTGTCTACAGAATCAAACAAGAATTAAAGGGAGAAAGTAAGACTTGGTAAGTACCAAGTAAGTACTTATGTCGAACTTGAAGAAGATAAATAAATAAGAGGTGCTAAGTGCTATTGATGAATCATGATAGTATGAAGATATTTGAATATACGTGTCCTGAGAACCCCAAGTCCGTTTTGCTTCCCGATGTCCACAAAATCACTTCAAGTGCGATCCGAATATGGCCGCTCAGGTTCATATGTCAGCGCGTCAGCCTCCTTTTCGCGCGTCATGACAGGTGCATAAAGCGTCCTCAGGGAGCTACTCCGCGACACCCCGACAGATCTGCGCTCTCGGATGTATCGCAACACTGAGAATGCGACGACAACAAGTCCGACGACGAGGTTGGCAACAAGTAGACCGACGATGACGGGGATGAATTTGTCCATAGAGGAGGAAGGACCTCCCATCGACGATTCAGAGAGCGCAGCAGCATTTTTGAAGTTTGTGGGGCAGCTTTGGGAGCCAGATGAAGAGCCCGAGCCGGGATTTGGCCGAGACGGTGTTGAGCCACTCGTGCTGGGCCCCGTCATTGCCGGTGCCTTGCCGTCGAATAGCATAATCAAGTCCGTTGGCGCAAGCTCTGGTGCGTTGCGTGTGCTCATCGCTACATTTGGTCCACGGACAGCCGCAAAATCACCAGCCGCCCATTCCGCTGAGTTGGTCTTGGATAGCAATTGGATATAAGGAGGTGCGCCATTGGGAGAGGTGTTGTTGATAGTGTCACCGAAGGAAAAGCTGGTGAGGGTCAAAGGATGTGACGTCAGAGAAAGACTACATACACAGAGTAGACGTTTCGCATAAAGCTTGCACCAAAAAGACCGTCAGTCTTTCCACTAGTTATAGATCCACCATTGGTTGCTGAACCAACGCAAATGGTGTAGGTCTTGCCATCGGGACCCTTTTTGACATACATGTCCGTCATGTCGAGGGGATGCACGTGATACGGAATGTAGCTATCAATCCCTGAGTCGCCATTACTGTGGGCGTTGTGAAAGATATACAAAGCAGAACAAACGAACTTGCCCAAAGACCATTGTGAAGTTCACGGGCGTATCACAAGGAATGACCCACACATCTGTATCGTTGCTCCAATGGGAGTTATGAAGCTTGGAATTCTTTGCCAGCGCTGCTCCAGGAACTTTGGAGTAGACCGCGTCGCGGATGTAAGGCGGTAGCAAAATATTCGTGGTGCCAGAATCCAAGCCGATAACATGGTGACCGAACGGTGTAGAAGCATCGTTTGCTAACCAGTCAATGTCTTGACCGTTGACCTGGGCACCACGAGCAAGAATGTGCCAGCTCAGTGCGCCAGGAGGATAGACCGGGAATTTTGGCATGTTGCGGACATTATCATAGTTGGGGTCGCATTGTCCGATGGCCAAACTGACTTCGTCTGCACCAACAGCGGAGTCTCCACCACGAGATAGTGAAAGTCCAAATAGACGAGGCATAGTCGGGTTGGCGTCGTATATATTGGAAAGAACAGACTTCCCTATGGAAGCGCCATCTTTTCCAGCTGCAATGAGTGCGTGCTGGATTCCTTGCTTTGGAGAGTCGAAGCCGAGACCAACAAGGCCACAGACATCATTGGCATCATTGCATAAGTCTTGGTGATAGCTCTCCGAGGCATTGATGAAAGCTATACGCAAGTTTTTAAGCAACCCACCAGATATAAGTACCACGACAACGCACCTTGTTTACCGATCGTGAAGCCTGCTATATTGATCTCAGCCAGACCGATCATGCCATTGATGTAGGAGCCGCCGCCATAAGTAATTTTGTGGGTGACGCCGGTGCTCGTGAACTCTGCTTTCATGCCACCGGCCGGATGTATCCTAGCGCATGGTCAGCAACTTGAAGCATAGACACGTATTAAGTTCGTACCAGAGGTCAGTGCTTCCAGTGTCGAGTAGGACATTTACGGACTGTGTTTTGTCGTGACCGAACGTCATTCGTGCTGTGTACTGTGGACCATATGAATAAACATGACATCAAAAGGCCATGCAGATGCACCCGATTGTTTCCGACGTTGGCAATGTCGCCAGGGATGTCGCCAGGACGAACAGGCTGGCCGGCGCCATTGGCCGCGACGAAGGAGACAGACGAAAGAACAAGAAAAAGCGCTGAAGATAGCATTAAGAGAGGGGGTCAAAAGAAGAGAAATTGGAGGAACAAGCATCGACACTGCTGCCTTATGAGCCCGACTGAGGAGTTTCACGTCCGCGCCCAACATCGGCTAGTGGTGGTCAGCTATCGGATGCGATGCATTTGCGACTGGAAAAAATGTGAGCGGCGGCTTCAAACATTTGGTGTTAAGCGCTTAACCTTGGCATCACGTACTTGGGTGAAGTCGTTTTATGTATCAGCGGGGTTGTCGGCTTCTCTGTAAATGACATTCAAGAGACTAGAAGTACGTAGTGTGGTCACTGTGGTATCGCGCATTGAGTGAAGACGATGCAGTTTGGAAGACAAACTGAGCCAGTGACAGCCCATGTGACATGGTGTCACACATCTGTTGTCAAAAAGACCTCAGGCTTTCCCCACACTGACTTCACCGGGTAAGCAACGGTAAACAAGTAAGTTTCCCTCATGAGATGGACATTTTTCGCTACTTTGTAGTTGATTCACTTTCAAGAAGTAAATCTTTCAAACCACCCAACGATCCCGCGTGCCGACTCCTCCTTCGCCCAGCCTAAGCTTTCTTTAGCATGATATCAAGATGGGCGTTATTCTCCTTACGATGATCTGGGTCTTCTGGGTCTCCCTTTACCGCAAACCCATGTGTAACACCAGAGAATACTTGGATCTGGTACTTGGCTTTGTTTTCGACCAAGATATCTTCGGCTCGACGACGGGCGGCCGTCTCAAAGGTAAAATCGGTTTCGGCGCAAGACATGAAGAGCGGGCCTGGATATGATAACTTAATGATGGACGTGCGATTCAGACAAGGAGAAACCACATTTAATGGCCGTAAAGTGGTCCTCCGTCAATGCGGCTGGATGGGCAAATGCGGCCGCTGCAACATCGTCCGTTGCTCCGAACTCCATAACATAAAGCGCTCCAAAACAATAGCCTTGAAAACTATCATTCCAGTGAATGGTCGCAGATGATGAGAGAGTCTACCAACGACACAATACTTTGCGGTCGGGCCGTGAATCTTGCGGACCTCATCGACCCATTTCGGGACTGTGTCTCTTGCCTTCTTCCGTGCCTCTTCATACCACGGCTCCCACTTGAAATCCTTGTCCCCTGCATGTTTGGAGATCGGGTCACCCAGAAAGTAATCGATTCCGAGAACGTGGAAACCTGTATAGTGCTTTCAGACACAATAACCAAGCTGTAGCGGCTTTCTATAACCACCATGAGAAGCAAAGTAGTCTTGGATTAGCTGGTTGTTGACGTACAAAGGCCCATAGACGTCCGCAAAGAACAAAATGACTTTCTTCGGACCGTCTGAGTCGGTACTACTGGCTGCTGGGTTCGAGATGTAGGTCGGCACACCGGCGACGGAGGAGATTTCGCCAACAGGTTCTCCCGAGTGCTTCACCGCCTTGATGCAGTCTTCGCAGTAGGGTTTTGCGAGGGTCGCCATGAAGTTGTGACGATAAGACGCACACTACAATTGGTAATCAATGACTAGAAATAGATCCGCGAAGAAAGCCTTCGGCGACATTCGTCACTGTGATGATATTATACGGAGCCACTGGCAGAGTGTTCGGATACTACTTGTGACCTCAGGCGTCAACGATTGGATCCTAGCTCTCCCATCGCGAGCAAACCCTACTGGAAAGTACATGTCTAACCCCGAGTCCTTCGACGCGAATACCGCGACACAGGCGGACGCTTGGAATACGATGTGTGATGTGATTCATTAGATCCTGCTCCTCGAACGTGATAGTGTGGTTGTCGATGAATCGGTTCTCCCAGATACCTTGATTGACAGGAAGTTTGAGAATACGACGGTCTTGTTGGCAGTCACGCACCAAGTTCTTTGAGAGTCCAGTTTGGATATGTCCGAGTATCAAGTTCAAGACAGAAGACATTCTGCAAATATCATTGGTTAGTAAGCAAATACTCCCAGGATAGAAGGGCTTCAACTGAAGTATTATGCTACAGTGGAATTTAGGCACAGTATAATACTTAGAGGGAAGAAACCACATACAGCAGACTGAAGAACAACATCATGCGTCAAAACCAGGTGCAACTTTTCCAATGCCGGTATACGTTGGGAAAGCAGGTCCAGGACTTCGGCAGATAGAAAGTTGAGACCAATATGCAGGACCCTGAGCCCAGTGTGTAGTGTGCGATGGGCAAAGCTCCCAACGAGTTGCCGGAACTCCTCTTCTTGAAGAAAGTATTCAAAAAGTGACAGCGTCGTTAGTGTGTCGGCGGAGCGTCTAATACATCCAAGTGTCGAATCAAAGCCGGTTGTAAGAAAAGGAAGTCTAAGTGTTTCAAGGTTGATAATGGTAGACGTCTCTGCGGAGAGGGTGACTGAGAAAGAGGGCCAAGTGCTGGTCGGGGATTCATCCAGGGAAGTAACAACGGTCGTGAGTGAGCGAACGATTTCCACGCTGCGAAGGCTCTCCGAGTTAGCGTGCAAGACTTTGACTAGACCAACGGGGTCTGAGAGATGAGCCGAATCGAATGCAAGGAGGATTGAAATTTGATGTAGATGAGGCATGACATCTAAGGCATAGAATAACGGGGAAAGATCTGCTCTGGAGTAAGAGGAGAATGTCAGTTTGTTGAGAGACCGGCGGAAGTGGTTGATGAATGGAGCGATTGACTCGCGAAGAAATAGGTGACTCTTTTGTTTCGAGATAGCGACATCGTAGTCAAAAAAAAGTTCCAAGTCCTCGAGATTATCAAAATCAACGGTGGACAGAAGGCCTCCAAAGTTGTGCAGTTGCGCATGTAAAGTCAGCTTGCGTAAACTGACACCGAACGCGTTCCTTGCAGCGACCAAAAAGCGCGTTGTCTCTAGCGAGGCAGGGAGATCACGCCATTCGAAGCTATATTCAGTGACGCTCGTCATGAGCCTCACCGCCTCCGTCATCGAAGTTAATATGTCCCCAGCAGCAGAAGACTTGCCCTGCGAACTTTGAGCGAGGGGCAATGGCGACGATGGCAGTCGCGCATGACGCGAAAACCATCGTTTAAAGGTCAGGAGCGCTGAAGGAGGGTGTAACGATTCCTTCTGGGTCAAGTATTCAATGAACCACGCGAGGACATGTAGCCGACGAACTCTTCTTGCGATAGACGGTGTTCTGCACCAATTCAATGCAAATGTCGCATTTTCGGGCTGCCGCACCTGAGCATCGCAAGAGACCTAATCATGGTCTTGTCCAGCTTATCCCACCGCACGACCATATAGCGATCGTCCAACACAATGTAGCACAATGTTGTAAAGTGCCTTGTTCACAGATATGAGGGTTTGGAGGTGCCACTGAGGCAGGAAAGCCGTAATTAGTCTCCAGACATCTTCAGGTATGTCCGCAGCTCCCATATTCTTCGTAGCTCGTAGATTCCGTGTAAATTTGGTCGTCGTTTCCTGTGAGAGCTTAGTGTGACTAGTACTGTCACACCGATTGTAACATCGTGACACTGACAGAGACTGACAGTTTCCCGTTGGTTTCCCGTTGAACAAGTATGTTGACTTCGAGTTCGAGCCACCTAGCTAACCAATAGCTCACAGTGCGCTTACGACCTCCGCAGGAGAATGTCAGCCGTTGGCAGAACCCCGTTTTTGGCCGCCTCGGTCAGCACCTTGCAACTTGCTGACGAGTCATTGTGGAACTTTATCTTCCGGGCCTTCCGGCGCAGCCAGTATGCATCTCCAGCCGCGTCAGTCGGCCCAGAAATCGGCATACTAGTACGAATAATCCGAGGTATCGTACGACCAACATGGGTCTCATGAGCGCCGCTGCCCTACATAAATACCATTCACCCACCCCCTCAAATCCAATCCACCAATGGGTTTTCCACCGACATTCGACGCCTATGTGCCAAGCAGCCTCGAAAATCTTCTTTCCTCTGGAAAAATAACTCCCGGATATGTCTCTTTCGACACACTCCGCCAGGTTCCTCTTGATCTCGAGCATACTGCGTCAATGCAGTACTCTCAGAAGATCACACCCCCTGCCGGATTCGACCATTGCGTCCGGGTGTACTATTTCTCTCTTGCCATTCTCGCCAACGGTTTTCCGTCTCAGTCTATGATCGTTGAACAGATCCCCTTTGCGGACCTGGCGAAGCGGCTCTACCACGCGTGTATTTTACATGACTTGGGATGGAGCTCTGTTTCTGAAGGCCGTGAACATCCCGCCCATGCTATGAGCTTCGAGATTCACGGAGGAATCATGGCGTACGGCCATTGTCTCGTTGTCTCTTATCCTCACTGAAATTCACTAGTTACGAACATCTCCTTCGCGAGGCCCCCACCCTGAACGCAAATCAATTGGGCGATATCGTTCAAAGCATCATGCTTCATACCTCACAATGGCCTTCGGGGTCATCCTCGACACTCAAAACACTTCTGTCTCTGGCCGCATTGTTTGATATTGGTGGATACGATGCCTTGGGACCTGGCGCATTCGACTTCTTGATCAATCGCCAGACTGTCAAGGAGATAGAAGCCGCTTTCCCAAGGGGGAATCTATATGCAGAGGGTGGCGAGTCTCTCAAGAGAGAGTTTTCAACCAAGCCGGATTGTCTGCTCCTCCACTTTCCTGGTGGTGTAAGCTTATTCCATGCCAATTGCAACAAGCACATTCTGACCTGCAGCAGGCTGAATCATTCATTGGAGTGATACGAAAAGAGTCAATTGTCTCTGAAGCGGATATCTAATCAATGAAGTAGCCAGGATTCCGGAGCTCAGAATGTGGCTGTTGTTCGTAGTTGGTTACTCACAAAAACGTGACTGTGACATTTCGTGTTTCTTCACCTCTTCGATGTCGACGAATCAATCTCTGGTCCGGGCCGATGGGCTGTATTTCACCGACTGTGGCTTAGTTATCCAGGCTGAGACAACACTATTTCGGATCTCCCGTGACTTCCTCGCTATACATTCAGCCATTTTTCGCGACATGTTAACGCTCCCGACGCCATCTGAGGCGGAAACGCTGGATGGTGCCCTTGTCGTTCGACTTCCTGACTCCGCTCAAGATATTGACACCATGCTGAGGGCTCTTCTGTACTCCGAGTGCGCTCCATCCAAGTTTCCTTTTCCTTTCCATAAATACTAACGCAATCACTGCTAGTTTCTTTCTCCCTCCCCCACTTCCAACATCTCTTGATAATCTCACCCGAATCATGCGTATGAGTCACAAATACGATATCGACATACTAAGAAAGCGTGCCCTCGCTCACTTAGACGCTATTCATCCTATGACGCTCGATGCATACGAGGCTCTGCCTCTTCGGACTTCGACGTGGGTCTCCGACCGCCCCACTGGGAAATCGTGTCTTGCCATGATTCTTCTTGCCCGAGAATTCTCGTTGGATTGGATTCTGCCCTTTGCCTTTTACCGCGTCTGCGTATATGCAACAGACCTGGAGATCATCGAATCTACCTTGGCTTTAATCGACAAAGCAGCGATTGTCACAGGCTGTCGACTTCTTCAGGGAAACGAGACCCATCGTCTCATGGACGTCCTTTCAGAAGAGAATGATTTCAAGTTCTGCGAGGATCCCGGCGGATGTGCAGAGGGGCGTGACTTCGTCCGCGAGATGGTTGAATCACAGCGATTCATCACAGAACAGAGCCATGCTCTTGGGCAGTCTCGATATGCGGTGAAGTCAGATCTACCATTAGAGGTATGGACACAGCGGATTGAACCCGCTGTCTCCGGTCGCGATTCAAATATGTGTATGGAATGCGGGAGTCAGCTCAGCAACGAATTCGCTGTTTATCTGAAGGACTTCTGGCGTAACCTTCCGCAAATATTTGGGCTTCCAGACTGGCAAAATCTACAAGATGCCAAGAAAACTGCTCTGACAAAGGAGTGATTATCCACAGACTAGGTGTGTCAAGTGTGTACATCGTGGCTGCAAAGGACATGTATGTATATTAGTGGAATTTACGCTCTATCTTTCATCATATTGGATCAGGTGTCTGAAAGCTTGAGTTGGCTCAAGCTCGTCCCTTGGCTGCAGGCATACTTAACTCGCATCGACACTCAGTGGATTATTATTAGTGAATATGACTGTTTCCTTATCTTACGTGGACTCGGAGCAACTTGAATGTCAACGCCAATTTAAACGGGTGTTAACTCTGGGTCTCCGGGCCCTCCCGATTTCACTATATAAATCTGGCCTCGTCCTCCGCAACGAGCACACAGCTTAAGTCGAACTCTCATCGACTCAGAATTAGAAAGTCAAGTATCTCTCCAACTTATTATTTCTCAGTGAACTCATAGCTGCATACTTAGATGCCCACAAACAAATCCAACTCGAAAATCGTGACCTTTAAACTCCCGCAGCTCCTCCTGCCTGGTATTATTTTGTCGACCCTCGTTCCATACGGCGCCTTTGGCACCGGCCGATGGGCAGAAATGTTACAACGCCGGATTTTCAGTGCTAGATCGTTCCAAATTATCTTTGGAGTCGCATTCGGCGTGCACCTGCTGCAGAGCATCCCAATCGCATATGTCAGCCGCAAGCATGGCGCAAATGCTTTGGTGACGGTCAGTGCAGACATTTTTCTTCCACGCAATTTCGTTTAATAGCACATAGACCAAGTATGTTCTCTCAACGTTGGTATTCGGAGGCATTCCGACCTGGTTGTCGCTCGCAGACCAACTGGAACGAAAGAGCTCGAAATAGCTGGCCGAAATCGAAGGTCCTGTGTCCAATAACATCCCATTTGAAACTCGACGTGGAACCATGACCTGAAAGAATAGCACAGTTATCCAGATGTTAGAAGGTAGCGTAGAAAGCAAGTTATAATAATAATATAGAGACCATGACCGAAAGCAGAAATGAGGTAGTCAGTACATACGGGCGAGACCATAGATGGGAGATGACGAATATGCTAGGGAGGGAGAGATGCTATGCGAGAGAACGTCGACGTGCATAAATGAGAGCCAGATTAAGGAAGGTAAGCAGCAGGAGAGTATAACTTATAACTTGAGCTCGGTCAGGACCCGTCTAGCAAGCATCTGATACTGCCAGCCATCTCCTCCTGCTCGACGGAATTGAATACCGTGCAGCGGAAGCAATGGTACCTGTCCGTGTCGTCAGCGCGGATAGGCGACCCAGACTTGACTTACTTTGACTACATTAATTTCGAACCGGACACCCAACGCATTATGCGCCATGGATTCGAACGTTTCGCGGTCCATCTCGCCCGACGGACTCATAAGGCTACCTGAAATGCCAACACCGAGGTCAGACGGAGTATGAACCGACCGCAGCTTGGAGTTGATGGACACAGTCGATTCAGGTTTGACCGACTCGGGTCTCGTTGTTTCCGGGATTTTGACAGCTGGGCGGCGAACGGTGGCCATCTCAGGTTGTGGAGGAACTGCATCTGGGACGACAAGCGGTTGATGGGCTTCATTAGGTGCTGGCGGCATAACTATTGCACTAAGTGGCCTAGCCGCGCGACCTTTCGTAGTGGGAAAATCGCGATCTTGGCTTTTGACCCGCCGCACACTAAACGATAGACGCGACACCCGCCTCGTTATCCCGTTAGTCCGAGGTTGAGGATGAGCAACCACAGTTGTGTCGCCAGAAGACGGGAAGGAGTGTTTTGTAGGCGCCTCGGCCTCTGGTTGGGGCGGAACACCGTTGATAGAGGGAAGATGCACGCATTCAAAGCCCGTCTTGTTTTGCCAATACCGCACTTGCATGCGGTCAAGAACGCGGCGAATATCTGCTTTGATGACTGGTGCAGGTTTAGTTGAGGTTGTAGCAACACTAAATCCATAAGAACGGGCCAGTAATAATAATGCAACTCACCTAAAGAGACCCTTCATGAACACAGGCTTAGGCTCCTTCTCGCTAATATAGCCCTCATTCTCCGTGTCCACATGTCCATCGCGGGCTCCTTCATCTGATAGTTCCTCTGGTCTTTCAGGTAAATCTCCGTTTTCCAAAACGGTCTTCGGGAAGCCTCTCCGGTCAGCCTTGGTTAATGTTGATGTCTCGTAGCCCATTATCGATGTCCGTCGATCTCTATGCCTACCCATGGTCCCCCCAGTAGGTGGAGACCTGACGGAGGATGTTGCGCCACCACCTGTGCTACTTCTCCGCTCGTGGCCTGAACGAGCTGCCTTTGCAGCGGGATCGAGAAGAGTGGCCGCTCTGCGTCGAACACTACCAAATCCACGACCTTCTTTACTCGAAATTGGAGAGCTGGGAGGTGAAGGGGAAACAGTGGCCGCTGGTGGTGAAGGAGGACGAGTATTGGGTTCAGGGGTTACATGACTTTCGGGAGGGGCATGCTGCTGAGCAGGCTCTGATAGTGTCTTCGACTCTGGAGGTGCCACAATAGGAACTGGTTCTGCTTCTTTAGTGCCACTCTCCTTCTCTCCATCTTCCTTCGGGGGCAGATTGACGCTCTGTCCAAGAGCACTAACTCGCTTGGCCGAGTTGCGCTTCTTAACCGTAGCAGTCGGAGCACCAGCACCAGCACCCAAAAAGATGCTACCAAATCGCCGTAAAAGCGAGCCACCATGGGACACGGACTGTCCTCGCTCGCGTCGATGTCGTGGTCGCAATACCCCGTCTTCGGTAACTGGCGGAGCTTCCGGTTTCGAGGATGGATCTTGGTGGTCGGATACAGGAACTTCTCGGACCTGAACGATGTCAATTTTCTCTTGTTCTGGCGACCTTGACACAGCTGAAGTTTGAGTGGGAGAAATGAAGTCCGGAGGGGGGCTGTTGTTGGCGGTTGCAGGAGTGGTGTCCACGAAAATAGTAGGTTTGGAGACAGAGTGGGATGTACCGTTTGTTTTGGGTTCGACAAATGGCTCGGGGGTCTCCACCCTTGGAATAGCTTCTTCTTCGCCAGCCATGCTACGATTCGCCACGTTTTCAACCACCTCAACAACGACTTCGTGTTCGGGCTCGACCTCCTCGGCACCAGGGGGCATATTTACATCGGGAGCATTGTTCGGTGGTCCGGACAAGCTAACTTGGCTGCTCGCGAACAAGTCCTGTCCATAGAGTTGTTCCCTGTGCACTTTCTCTCGCGCGAGAAAGTACATGCTCAATAAGGGATGAAATCCGCTGGTAGGATCCCGCGGCGGAGGTGTGGGAGGTAACTCTGGAGCATTGGAGGCGGAAGGGGAAGATGGAAATATACGGCGATAGAGGTCAAATCCACTGAAACGTCGACGTTTATGGGCATCTATCGGCGAAGCAGGCGGTGAGGGTGAAACACTGGCCGGAATTGGAATGGACTCGTCATGACCGTTTTTCTGGTGCTCCCAAGATATAACTGCTCGCATGTATTCTTCCGACTCGAGTACGACGCGGAGTTTTTCGATGACCTCTTCGACATCCGCGCCAAATTCAAAGCCGGCCATCCGTGAGACAACTATGGGGTCGATGTCTGTCACACGAAGCGGTGTACGAGGCGGGAGATGGGTGGGAAGAGGGCCAGCGAAGCCTCGTACCATCCATGGATGGGAAGAAATTTCGGCAAGATGGGCGCGTCGCGAGGGAGTGACAACAAGCATTCGTGAAAGAAGATTCTTGCATTCTGCCAAAAGTTAGGATATAATGAACATGCCAGAAGAAACTCGTACCTGGACTCAGCCAGACCGGATAGTCTACATAACCACGTTTGATTTTGGCATGCAACGCAGGCATACTCTCATCCTCAAACGGCACCTTGCCACAGACAAGGGTATAGAGCACAACACCAAACGACCATATGTCCACCTCTGGACCCGTATAAACCTTGGCATTCAGCAGCTCTGGTGCTGCAAAGTATAAGCTCCCGCAGAATGTCGCGAGATGTGCTGCAGGGTCGTAGAGATTGGACAACCCAAAATCTATAATTTTGATATTGCCCGTGTGTGAGATGAGGATATTCTCGATCTTGAGGTCGCGGTGGACGACATTGTTTCGGTGGCAGTAGTCCAGTGCTGAGGCAATTTGACGAGCAAATCGCCGAGCAACACTCTCCCGGAGACGACCATGGGCGATGATAAAGTCGAGTAGCTGACCACCATTCACATATTCGAAAACCATGTAATAGTGGTTGGGGTGGACAATCATTTCTCGCATTCCACAAATGTAGGGGTGGTGGAGAAGGAGCGAAAGGCCTGCCTCTCGAAGAGTACGAATCTCTTTGCCAGCCTCTTTCGAGGATGACTGGGCAGTTACCCGAGCGCGGGGCAAAATTTTAACAGCATACTATCAACACGTCGGTGGGCGGTCAGATGCAGAGTTGAGCGGACGCACCTCTTCCCCAGTGACATTATGAGTAGCGAGCTTTACGCGACCCATGGACCCAGCTCCAAGAGTTTTGCTTAGTGTGTAGTCTCCCAGAACGCGGTTAGAGCGTTTCGGTTTGTGAGACCTGGGCGGTGGTATTTCCGCAACATCGTAGGCGTTGGAAGCCGCCATGACTTGAGATGGTAGTAAGTCCCCGTAGTCGCCTACGCGGTCAATGGGGATGGGCGCATGCCCGCAGGGTGTGACAGTTGATGGGACACTGTCCGAGTCCCGGCCAACAGAAACCGACACATCTGATTCGTTGAGATTCTTTCGCTGATTTCCGATGTGGTGGACCTAAAAGTGCCTGCTGTGAGTTGTCGAAGACTTGGAAGAGCTTGCTGAGGCTCACATCATGATAAATCTTCCTATGATACGCTTGAAAACGCGCCGTTTTTGAGTGTCATTCAAAACCTGCCGCTTTCGTGAGACGGGGGCGTATGTATTCGTGCATAGGCGCCATTGCTGGCGGTAAGAAACACATAGACGGCTCATATGCATCGGGTTGCTAGCACAATCGGCAGCCGATGGGGACAAGAACCAAGTTCAGTACTTCTATTAGTAGTAGTCACAAAGCGTCCGGTGCACAATATCCTCGGCTACTTGCACTCGCAAATGCCCTGAGCAGAAATATAGAAACCAGTAAGCGGCCATTATAATTTAGATAACCTGACGGTTGACCTTGGAATGGTTGTTCCAAATTTGAACTTGCGGCAATTACATAGGTCATTGGCGCATTTTTTGGTGATGACAATTCAAGTTGCCAGAGGCTACTGTACTTGAAGTCATGGAGCGATTACCCTGATCCAAGGAGGCTGTTCAATGGGGCTTGAAATATTGCTTCAAGCATCTTCAGGTTTAAATTTAGCATGAACCAAAGAGATCTTCGATTCGATAGCTACTGGCCATTCTCCACCATCTTTCCAGGCCACAGTACTAGTCCTATTGCTATCGCCCAGGCCTTTCATGGTCGCTTTCCTTGCTTTGTTCAAGACCAAAATTTCGAACGTCATTACGGAGCGTTACATCGTGACAGGTCACCGACATGTCGACCCGTCCTCGACCAGTGTCGATGCCTCCGCAGCCAGCAGCGGGCGAGCCCTCCGGAGGCGACGCTAGCAATCGCCAACAAACAACTTCCAAACGCACCAACCGAATTCTCGGTGATTACACCCTCAGCAAGACCCTGGGAGCAGGTTCAATGGGCAGGGTCAAACTTGCGACCCACAACATTACCGGCGAGAAGGTGCGTAGTCGTGCGCTCTAAGAACTTGTTGCTCATAGATGTAGCTTGCTGTCAAAATCCTGCCTCGCACAACGAACACAACAGCCAAAGACGCCAGCAAGGAAATCCGGACATTACGAGAGGCGGCATTGTCAATGCTGCTCCACCATCCCTACATCTGCGGGATGCGCGAAATGATAGTTCACCAACATCACTACTATATGGTGTTTGAGTATGTCAACGGTGGTCAAATGCTTGACTACATTATCTCTCATGGCCGACTGCGGGAGCGCGTTGCTCGCAAGTTTGCTCGACAAATAGCTTCCGCATTGGACTACTGCCACCGAAACAATGTCGTCCACCGTGACCTCAAGATCGAAAACATCCTTATTTCACAGTCGGGCAACATCAAGATCATAGACTTCGGTCTTTCCAATCTCTATGACCCCGCAGCCCATCTCTCAACTTTTTGCGGAAGCCTGTACTTCGCAGCACCCGAACTCCTCAATGCAAAAGTATATACGGGACCTGAGGTGGATGTGTGGTCATTTGGGGTGGTGCTCTATGTCCTCGTATGTGGCAAGGTGCCATTCGACGACCAAAGTATGCCGGCACTTCATGCCAAAATCAAGCGCGGGCTTGTCGAATATCCCGTCTGGCTGAGCTCCGGTGCGTCTTCCTCTGTCTTGCCAGTCCACTTCGTCTAATTTCGACAAACAGAGTGCAAACACATTTTATCGCGTATGCTTGTCACAAACCCTGCCCTTCGCGCACCCCTCTCCGAAATTTTGAACCACCCTTGGATGCTGCGTGGCTTCTCAGGACCGCCAAATCCCCACCTTGTCCGGCGAGAGCCCCTTCGCCCGCAAGACCTTGATCCTCAAGTCGTTCGGGGTATGTCGGGCTTTGAATTCGGCGCTGACGATGCCGAGATTATGGAGAAGCTCACTAATGTTCTCGAATCCGACTCATACTCTCGATCGGTTCGTGCTTGGGAGCGTCGTCGCGGAGGACCTCTTTCAGCTGGACTTTCGGATGCGCCAAGCACATGGGAACCGTTGGCAAATGGTCCTGCATCCGCTTCATCGCTGTCGATTTCGTCTTCGGGTGGGAATACTAGTGATACAGCGAAGAAGCGGCGATTCAGTGGATTTGATTTCTATCGACGCAAATTCCTTGGTTCTCCTTCACCAACACCGAAATCACCTTCGTCACCTTCCCCATCTGCTCCCTCAACCAGTGCCCTCAGTCTTGGCCTCTCTCCAGAAGATCGTGACCCTACGAAGGGTTTCCATCCACTGATTTCCATGTACTATCTGGCGAAAGAAAGGATGGAACGGGAACGCGTCTATGGTACCGGTGTTTTTGCCAGCAGCCAGGTCAGTGTCGGAGATGATACTGCTGGGCCATCTACCAAAGATGAGAAAGATAAGGCTGGTAATAGGGAGAAGGAAAACGATGCGCCAATCAAGGAGAATGGACGATCCGACAAGAAGAAGACGACAGCAGACTACAATATGCCCTTACCACGTTTGCCTGTTCCCGAAACAAGCCACTACTCGGGCATGTCGTATGACCCGAACGCTGCTGCCGATACACAAAGGACAAATGGGGTAACAACTCCTCAACTCAATGGACATGGAGCGGCTAGCCCTACCATTGTGCCCCCGCCAGCTAGTGCCACTACACCCAGCCCAACTGCTGTTTCATTCCATCCACAACCTCGTGCTAGAGATCCAGGCGTTGGGGTTCCGGTTGTGCCACCAAGTCCCGCACCATCCGCAAGAAGACATGAAGTTGCACGACCTTCTGTAGACCGTTCTGAAGAGGGTGCCGCTTCAAGTAGCATCGGGAGAGCGACCACAATCGCTCCAATTAGAGCCCCCCCAGCAAGTACCCATCGGAGAAGTCACAGCTTAAGTCAACGGCCAACGGTTTTGAGAGGCTGGGGAGGCATGTTTGGCGGTGAGAGGGATCGGTTGGAGGAGGAAGGTCCAAGGACAGCCGCTCCTGATATCAGTGGATTCGCTGAGCGAGAGAAGGAGAGGGAACGCGAGAGGGAAAAGGAAACGGAAAAGGAACGGAGGGATGACCATGGATCCATATCTGGTGGTGCAACCCTTGTTCGCAAATTCGGTAGTATGCTGGTTGGAACAGGTCGACATCATGGGGAAGACGGACGACGAACTCCTTCCAAACGCGCAACTATTCTTGGTGGTTTGACACAATCGCCACGAGCCTCGAGGGATGATGGGCCACGAGACAATAAAGCACCGGAAACCGAGAGTGCTCCTCCCAGCGTCATAATCGCACCTCCTCCTGCCGCGAAATCAATAGCTCATAGCCAAAGCCAACCGTTTGGAACGGTTCATCGACGAGCAGCGACTGTTTTGGATCCGGCCGGTCGCGCTGCAAGGCACGAGAGGAGGAGTAGCACTGGAGCGGCTATGTTAAGCGCCTTAGGAAGCGCTGGAGGAGGCACAATTGGACGACATCGGAGACCTTCAACAGGGCAAGGTAGTGGCCGGCCGAAACCCGATCGGTTGTTTGTCAAGGCGGAACAAGACCGCTTAGCGGAGAAACCCGATGAAGAAGCAGCAACCGATGGAGAATATCAGGCTGCGAGAGAGGATTCTGGTCACGAAAACTTGCAATCTGACGATGAACGACAAACTGACAGAGAATTCAAGCCTGTCTTTCTTAAAGGTCTTTTCAGGTTCGATCGTTTTACTTTGATCTCGGAAATCTTGGTTAATAAGCTCTCAGTGTGGCAACGACCTCGACAAAGTCTCCACCAGTTATCAAAGCGGACGTTCGTCGGGTACTCGATCGCATGCAAGTGCAATATCGCGAAAGCAAAGGAGGGTTTGAATGCATCCACCTCCCGTCAATTGATATCTCGTCTATTGAACGCCCTATAACACCTCATCATCGTAATCACCACCAGCAAGCTTCTTCCAGCTCAGGGGAGCCACCAATGTCACCTACGACAAACCGACATACCCCGACATTAGTGAAGAAAGTATCAAAACTTTCTTTCGGAATGCGGCGAGATAAGAGTCGTGACCGTGATCGGTCAGTGGATCGCGAACGAGAACGAGAAGCCGCCAGCCGACCCTCAGGGACTGCAACTTTGACAGCGACCCCCAGTAGCGGATCTTCATCTTTCTTCAACGTGTCATCCAACCAGACTGTCATTCCTACCTCCGAGTCAAAATCCGCAATACCCGCTCCAACAACGAATGGCACGACGGAACCAGATCCCTCATTGGATGTTGATGCGCGACCTCCATCGAGGACAGCAACCCCAGGGTCAACAAAGTCGAAGATGCTTCCTCCCATACCCCGTGATTTTGCTACTTCGCCCGCGCCGATTAGTCCCGCCTTACCCACTGGAGAAGTCGATCGGGAGGTGTTTGAAAGCATGGGGAATAACACTCTCAGTGTACGTTTCGACATCAATATTGTCAAGGCATGTATTTTGTTTCACGATTGTCTCGCTTCTAATCGTTTCAAAAGGTTCCTTGGCTACCTCTCCATGGTATACAGTTCCGCCGCGTCGGTGGGGACGGTTGGCAGTACCAGATGCTGGCGCGACGGGTGCTTACTGAGCTCAAATTATGACCTTTTCCTCCCATTCCGTTTACTGTTTGGGTTCAGCTGTTGTTTATTCACATTTGGCTTTCTATCCGCATTTTTGCCCTTCACTCACTTTTTTTTTCGTACTCATACTGATGCATGCCGCTTTGTCGTCCACCAATGTCTTCTCGGTCACAACTCTCTTTCTACCTCCTTATGCCACTAAGTACCACTCCACGCAACTAGCATAGAATCTCAAATATTTTCTTGAGAGAGACGATTACGGAACAATTTCAAGTTGATCTTGTTTGTCACGGTTTGTCGAGGGCATCCCCAAACCACCATCCAATATCCTTTCAGCATTGACGTGAATGAGCTCTTTATTCATAGATGGCAACGGCCTGTGCAACAGGAAGAGTTGGCATCGTGAAGTGAATGATCTTCTTCCACCGACACTATTCCCACCTGCAACTTTGTCTTGTCTTCATTCTCTCCTGCCATGCATGTGTCGCCTTTGGAATTCGCCACTCTGGTCGAAGCTTTGCTTGAGGCAGCGCTATTCGGGGTTTACGCCGTTCTGTTTGCCACTGTTGTCTACCTCTTCCGCAGCCGGGACCGAAGACCAGCTAATATCATCCTGGCGGGGCTTGTGCTGCAGTTTCTGACCCTCACGGCGGTGCGAAATGCGATAATGCTCTTATTGTCTAACGAGCTCTGACCCCCCCCTTATAGCACTGGTCAACTTCCCTCTATCGGATCTTGCATATCGTGGGATGGCTCAGTCCCCAAGAGGCCGAGGAATTTCTGAGTCAACTGTCGTCGAAGTCTTACTTGGTGGATCTCAGCCTCTCTGGGGCGGTCTTCTGCATTTCAAATCTTCTCGTGGTCAGTCCTTCAAGTAGTCACGTCGCTGCCTTTTGAGACGAAAAGTCACTTGCAATTCATTCCGAATATAGATACATCGAGTCTATGTGGTTTGTTCACGTCGGTTACCGTTCATTATACCAGCTCTAGCAATGCTCCTGGGAGAAATAAGCACGTACCCAGCTTATGTGCTATAACTTATCACTGACGACTTATTGCAGTCTCCGAGATCGTACTTGTGTATTCCGTTGGGAAAACTTGGGCAGGACAATCGTTTGTCCAACTCTTTGCTTTATCCAACCCTTGGGTGACAACTGCTCTGTCAACCTCCATTATGTGAGATCCTTTCTAGTTCTCATAATAATCTGGTGAATTTGTTTGATCAGGATCAGTGTTTACAGCACAGGTGCGCAATTCTAGTGAAAGACATGGGACATCTAGCATCGAAAATCAATCATCGACCACAGTAATCATTTCGTGGAAAATCCTTAGAGTTGCGCGTGTGGTGAAGCTTCATCGAGCCGAGCCGAGCACCACCACATCTCTCACAGTCAGTATCAGACCCGAACAGTATACAGTATCAACTCACCGGGCAAACGTTATGTGTTAGACTGCCCTTGTTAGTATGGCAGAAAGTGCAGCACTTCAAACGTTGCCTGTTTCATCGCTCTACTCCTGATTCTATAATTGACCCAAAGGCAGTGCAGCAACTATTACCCTACTGGTTACATATCAGATTGGCATCGTGGTTCAAGTCATTTTCAACGGAATCGTCCCGGTCATCGCTGGAATTTCGACTGTGTTGATTTACGCCCGTGTTGGGCTCGGGTGGGCCTATGGAGGCAGTGAAGTAATGGACCCGGGGCAGCGATCTACGGAATTGAGGATCAGCTTTGCGCCGGCCCTCACTTTGCCGTTGGACGACATCAATACTGGAGGGGAGGTTGGGCGGAGGCAGAGTAAATGACGTAAGCGCATCAGACTTGGATTGGTCGGCATGATGTCATAGACACGCTTCTCCCGCAGTTGGTTATCGTTCGTTCTTGTACATGGTCGTCTCATTGGATAGCTCGGCCGGCATACTTTTCTCGGTATCGACTGTACACCACTGTCAGGTCCACCGTGACTCTGCATTTCTTCTTCTGCACCCGCGGCGCGGGGGCCGGAACCTCAGCGCGTGGAGCGTAGACTCAGCTTGACGCAGATGGGGTAGGGTGAGTCCGCAACAGACTTCTTATTCGTCTATGCCGATTCGTGCGGGCAAGGTTCCAGCGTCCGCTCAGCGAAGAGTCGCAGACAGGCCCAGGATTTCCCAGGCCTCTCCCTATCATCGAGTTTGACAGATCAGAATAGCGCTCGCAAATTACGCCGAATCTCATGAACATGCATCGCATACGAGCAATATCGACGCACTTAACGTGGTTCACGAGCACAGCAAGTGGCGATGAGCGCCTGGCACACGTTGTGACTAGACCGGCGGATGCGTTTCCGATTCGAGTGAGGTCCAGTGGCGGCAAGATCGGCGGGAGATCATACAGGTTCATAACTTTGTGCAATCAAGGATCCTTTAGCGTTCGAGCGGGAGCCATTTCTTCTTGAATCGAATCAAGAGAACAGGAAGTATGCATGAAGTGGGAACCGATCAGTTGACGCGAATTCGAAACAAACTGAACTGTATACTAACGTAGAAACTCCAAGGCCAGGTACGGAGAAAATAGCGCTCCCTGCAGGCTGACACAGCGCAGATTTGACGGGCATAGCTCTGAGCCACGCTAGCACACAGATACGCCGCTTGTCACGACAACCAAGGTGCAGTCGATGTGGCGGTTGCTGCATCGACGAGAGTACCTCAACTTGATGACATGGTTGCTAACACGAAACGTGCTCTTCTTTTGACAGTGGGGGATGATGGAGAGTTGATCCGAGCGCTGGGATTAGCGGTGGAGATAATTATGTTGCAGAAACCCTCCTTCTTCAAGAAAAAAGGGATAATTGTTGACTGAGTTCGAAGAGATCCCTCCAGTGGTACTTTTGTGTCTTAGGACATCCAGATCGCCCCTACCAGAGCGGAGGACCCTCGTAGTCAAGATCGGAGACCAAGGTTTATCGAAGATAATTGAAGATTTGCCCTACGCGATGCGTATTACGCAGCACTCTGGTTTCTCCGCCAACGTAACAACAGCGCTCGCCAATCATCATGATGTGCGTGATACCACCAGCGCCGCGCCCGCGCCCGAGGAAGACTTGGTGGCCCTTTTAAACAACCATTATGTCCTCACTTTCTTGCGTTCCTCATCTCACCCATTTCATCACCGATTCCGAGTCTCAACATGAACTGTGGCCTGGACATCCCGAAGCGCGTCGCGGTCGCCTGCTCTAACTGTCGCGAGCGCAAAATCAAGGCACGTCCACCCAAGGTTGAATGCATCGTTTACTGACCAGAGAGTAGTGCATAACGGAGTCAAAAGACAAATCATGCATGCGCTGCCACTTCAACGGCATGAACTGCACGTATCTCGCGACGGACAAGCAGCGGGAACGCGCCGTGGTCAAAGCCAAGTTGGCCAAAGACGCAACGCGATCTGGTAGTGGCAGGAAAAAACAACGAGGTCTTTCTTCATCACCTGTGGTGATGGAAAGGCCCGTTTCGCATAGACCAGCTCCATACCCACTTTCTCGTCCCACGCCGCGCATAGCTGTTTCACCTCGGCTGAAGATAGAATCCCACAACGACCGTGATTTCCTCGATTTGGACCTTGATTTGGGTTTCGCTGGTCCCAGTCCACGGCTTAGCTCCCAGCTACACCGCTACTCCGCTCCACCATCCATTTCCGCGTCACCGCTAGCCACTTTCAGCCATCTCCCTTGCTCACCCCAACCTTCTTCGTCTTCTCTCGACTTCTCTGTGCCCACAGAAGTCGAGTTCTACCTCCCCACGCCGATCTACGCCCACCCGTCGCCCACATCATCGACCTACTCTGATCTCCACTCGGGATCTAGTGCTACCACCACTTCTTCTGTATCATACCCAACACCTCCCCCCAGCGGAAGCGCCCTCGCGTTTGACTTTCCCGCATTTGGTTGCCTGCCGCGTCCTCCATCGGCCGATAATTCCATGATGACAGACTACGCGTTCGCAGACGACCTCGCATCCTACGACCTCGCTATGGCGAATTCAATCGGCTTTCCACACCCAGACTCTCCATCGATCTATACCCCACAGGGCTACGAGTACCGCGGGCCGTATTGACCCTTGATGTATTCTGTTCCATTTCACACCGTCCGCTGTTTGCTGTATCGTTATTCCCTTCGGTTCTTGTATTCATATTTATCGCTACCACTTCCATCTGTATCAATAGCACCCAGGAAAGCTTCTTCATCCAGTTCTCAGTGTGTTTGTTAAGTTACAGTTTACTTATACTGATTCAGAACGGTCAATTCAAAGCAATCAATCAATCTTCTCCACCGAAAAACTCGGTCAGAGCGGCCCCGACAAGTGTCGAATGCGTGAGCGTTAGGTCATGGCCTGCGCCGAGCACATCGACCACACGCGTCTCCGGCTTTGCACCGCTCTCAAGCCAGTCGCGCAGTTTGAGGGAGTGAGCTGGCGGGACTGTGCGATCCACCGTGCCCTGTGTGGAATGTGAGTGGGAGTGAATCTGATTTGGTGACTCTGACGTGGATAAACAGCACCCGTTTCCCCGCCCAGTTGTTGCTCTTGAATGCCCAATGCATGCGCACGATGGGGCCCTCCAGCAAAGACGAAGCAACAGCGCGACGATAGCCCGGAAGATGGGTGGCTTGGAGAGGGATGATCTGTACCATATGAGTGAGCAAGCCAAAAATACGCAAATTTTGACCTCTGATATCTGCGGCTTCTCATCTACCGCAGAGGTCTTGATGGGCATGGTCTGCAAATTTATCATGACAAGCACAAAACAAGCCATAGGCTACGCACCCCAAGAAACCGTTTCAAGATTCTGTTCTGGACGAATGCATATTGTCTGTATCCTGAGAACGGCACTGGTCCCTGTGGGAGTTGTTGTAAGATGGCGAAGAGAAAGAAGGGGATCTGCACCTCCAGAGCACCCGCGCTGGCCATTAGGACGACATCTTTCTCCACTAGATGTGGGAACGTCGCGACAAAGGCGGCAGCAATGGCGCCGCCCATGCTGAAGCCAAGCACACGCGTACGCTCCCAGCGGACATACTGCAGGAGAAGGGCAAGCTGAGTTACGTAGAGATTCGCGTCGTACGGTGCATTTTGTGGCGCATCCGAGTAACCGCGGCCGTAAAGATCATAGACAAGGACGTGAAAGCCACCAGCAACAAGAATCGGAACGATGCGCGAGAAAACGATTGCGGGGGTGTTGAGGCCGTGGACAAGGACAACCTGGTGATGTTACTCTCTTCCCAGCTACAGGCCAGCGCACTTACTTTCTTGCCCTCCTTTGGACCAACTATCCAATAGCGAACCTCAATGGAGTTTCCGTGAGTTGACATTTACAGTCGGATGACAAGGGCTCACTCTTCCCATGGGTAAGGTAGCATACCCTCCGCCGCTCGTCCAATCTTCCGGATAGAGCACGCGCACGCGAGAATCGACTGGGAGGTCAGTCAGCCCAGGGTCTATCGCGGCAGGAAGCTCGTTCGAATGCAGCGGCAACGAGCGAAGAGCATATAGCGCGGCGATGAACGATGGGAGGATGTAGGCCAGGTGCGGGAGGTATCGGGCAGTTGCTTCACTCATCGTTTGGTCGCAAGAGTGAGAGAAAGCAAAACGCCGTCTCGGCTGATTCATCTTGTCGGCAGTCCGGGCCGGGGTAAACTGACATGATATCGCCAGAGTATTTTCGGATTCGGCGAATGCAATTTACGGACAATGTTGCATGCTGACCTTCTGCCAGTTTGAGAATGTCATTCGCATCCCGCAATGAAAGAATAATAGGGTTTTTGCGCGAGACCCGAAAGTACTGTAATACTTAGAGGCGGGCCAAATTTCAAAGCAAATTATAGATTACTTCAACGTTTACAGGGCTATGCGCTGTTCGAATCTCGTAGAAACACCCACCCATATTGCCTGACCTCGTCGCCTTTAGTCCCGAAGAACAACTCCGTGTCATAACTCCAGTTCAGGGTTCCAACAATACAGTCTTCCAACCCTCGAATGAATAACTGAGTGTCGCCATCGACGATTGGACTACTTGGCGGAGTTTTGCGTGGCCTGAGCCAGTCCCATGCCGATGTCGAGCTGCCCTCGAATGAAGCTGGATCGACCAGCATGCGAAACTCCCTTAATGTCCGCTCGATGTGGGTGAAGGCCAAGTTTATTGCGCCTTGCACGGACACTCCTTTCTCTGCCTGAATGACGGCGATCAGATTCAGCTGGTTGCCCGCTTGCTGCTCATTGTTGTATGCGAAAACGTCCTATATCAAGTCAAGAGGGCGCGAGAGGGCGTGGTGAGCATACCAGAGACAAGGAAATCAAGTCCGCGGCAAGTCGTTTCAAGTTGACGTTATTGGGGATGGTTTTCAAACCCTCCACCATCTCAACAAGACTGAGTAACATCGGTATGCCGCTGGCATTGCGTCGTAAAGCGATATAATCATCGAGATTCGGAAGAGTGTTGCTGTGGCGGTATACGAGTAAGCGCTCTTGGGCGGCTTTAAACTCGTCGCAGAGCACAGAAAGGGTTTGGCGCGACAAATCGGTTGGCATTGACGCGACGACTTTGGGAAACACACTGCCATACCGAAATTAGACGCGCTCGGAACGGTCCTTAGAAAGACGTACTGCTCGAAAAGTTCGTAATCCTTCCCACATCTCATTCTCGAGGAATGCAGCAGAAGCGCCGTCATAAAGTCCATCGCAAGTCGTAGTTGGCTCGCATCACAGGTCGGGAAACACACCGCTGCCCACAGTCCGGTTTTGAGCGACTTCAGTGCCGACCTCTCGTCGTCGGAGAGGAGCTCTGAGACAAGCCAAGCTTGCTCGGAAGCGGCAGTTACGGTGTAACAGTGGCGGTTAGTGCGGAGAGAGAAAACACGAGTGAGGGCCAGGAAATCGGGGAGCTGCACGCTGGAGGTGGTTGGCATCGATCAGGAAGACTACCTCCCCCCCGAGATGAAGGTGGGAAGGCAGGCACATGAAGGCTCGACTGATGTGGGCAAAACAAGAAATAGGTCAGGGTGACATCAACTCTTTCTTTCCACCACCTTGCATGCTTTGAAACTACCGCCAAAATCGTCGCCTTAGACGCCTGCTACGCGTCTAACCCTTCTGTGGCCACTTCCCCAGCGCTTATTTGCATCGTCTTTCCGCACATGGCCAGCCTCAATTAGTCAAACTTGGGGGTTGCAAAACCACGCGTGTAGTGCAGCATGGACCTGCTATTTGGTACTTAAGTCAACCTTCTTCTGCTACTCGTAAGTCCCCATGGCTTCGAAACTTTTCGGTCGTCGAGGAACGGTCTCTCACAAGGCAAATAACAACTTGCAGAATTTTATCGCCCCCGACACGACACAAGTCTCTACGAGTACCATATCGTCCAGCGACTATGCTCGTCGCTGTAAAGAGCTGATGGCTTTGGCCAAGGATCTTCGCGGGCTCGGGTTAGCGTGTCCTTTTCCCCTATCCTAATCTCAACGTGTCGACAGCGCCGAAAACTTGAAGTTTTTGGACCTTCCCAGCATCACGGTCATTGGTGGACAGTCTGGTAAGAGATTCTTTGACCGTGTGCTCAATTCGACTGACTTTTGAGTAGCTGGCAAAAGCTCCCTTGTTGAAGCCGTCTCCGGAGTGGGTACTTGCAAGACTGCCCATTTCCCAGCCTAATAATACTTGCTATAGATCACCGTTCCCCGCGACAGTGGCACCTGCACCCGGTTCGCCACTCTATAAACCTTTCCTTTTCCATGCATTGATTCTGGATCAGATGCCCTATGGAATGCAACATGTCAAGCTCCACGGCCTCCTGGTCGTGCAACATTTCCCTTCGTATTGATTACGACTCTCGAAGCAGCCCGCGCGAAACACCAGACACAATCCCTTTCGGGAGCACCATCACTAACCCCGCCGATGTCGAAATTTGGCTTCGTCGAGCACAAGCAGCGATACTCAGCTATCCCTGCTCTCACGAGGAACTTTATACCAAAACCAAAGAGGAGCTTCGTGCTGAGGATGACCAGCGTCCACTCTTCTCCAAGAATTCAGTCGTGGTTGATATCAATGACCCCGATGTCACCGGTTCGTTGAATTTCTTTTTGGGAGTTCTGCTCGAAGCTTATGAATCGGTCAAGACATTTGTTTTATTGATCTCCCCGGTCAGCTTCCTCTTCCGACTGGCTTTCACACTCTTACACAGCTATAGGGCTGATTCAGAATGACCGTGAGGAGGTACTCCTGGTCGTTCGCGAACTTGTCGTTTCCCGCATCGAAAGTGACAACACCTTGATTCTTGTTACGCTCCCGATGACTGGTGAGTTCGATTTCCCTTTGATATCGAATGTTGTCTTACGAATTTGCCAGAGGACCTCAAAAATCAAGAAGCAGCGCGTCTCGCACACAACGCAGACCCCAACGGTGAACGGACGATCGGTGAGCTACTACTCTCATCCATGTCAGTGTAGCTGAATCTCAGCTTCCTAGCGGTCCTCACTAAGCCAGACATGCTCACCAAAGGCAACCTTGGACTTCGAAAGACCTGGACCAATATTCTGGAAGGGCGTACAGAACGATTAACCCATGGCTACTACTGCGTTCGCTTGCCAAACGATGACGAACGCCTACAGCATATCCCAAACGTCAAAGCGGAAGAGCGTGCCATGGAATTCTTCAAATCGACGGAGCCTTGGAGTCGGATAACTGACCGGTCACGATTCGGCGTCAACAACTTGACAACATTTCTCAGTGGACTGTTGATTGAGAAGATTGAGCTCAAGTGCGGTTTTTTCTTCTACTCTCATTGATGTACAGTAGACTCAATGCTTGACCAGTTTACCCATTCTTCGGCAGCAGCTTTCGGATCTCGTCGCAGACTATACAAACCGGCTCGAGCGTCTCCCTCCACCCCCGAATAATGATTCTGCTGCCGAGGTTCTTCTTCGCATCAACGCGTTTGTGCAAGAGTATACCGCTGCCGTTTTGGGGAACGGGGAGAAGAAACTCGCTCAAGACTGTCGCCGTTATTATCGGCAGTTCTCAGTCGACATTCGCAAAACATGTCCGCAGTTCATTCCGTTTGTGCAGAGCGGTAATCCTTTGGATTATAATCAGGGTCCGCCAGCAGAACCATGGGACGACGACCTTCCGAGCCCCTATTCGAATCACCAATCTGCGGGAGTAATACATAACTTGGTCGATGTTCGGCGAGTCGTACGCAGGTGTATCATTTTATCTTCCTTCTATGACTATGTAAGCTTATGCGGCGTCAGTTCTGTTGCCTGGGAGCTTCCTACATATACCCCATATTCCGCTACCGAGGAACTTGTTGGACAACGGACCGAGCAATGGCGCGAACCCTCGCTTCGCTGTTTCGATAACATCGTGACCACTTCGCACAAGTTCCTAGGGGACCTTACGAAGAAGCACTTTAATCAATTCTCCGCGTTGGAAGAGTATATTCGGCAAGTACATAGGCACTGGATATGTATACTCCTTGCTGACGGCACCTTTAGGACCATCATCGACACCGAAATCAATAGGTACAGGGTGCTAGCACTCGACACATTGGAGAAAGTTCTCGAGATTGAATCACAGCCGCTCTTCACGCATAACAAAAACTTGTTCATCGCGGAGAGCAAGAAATGGAAGGCGCATTACCTCGGGCGGCGGACCCCGTACCAGTATCACGACGAAACGGAAGAGTATGACGAAGAACTCACGCTCATGGCGAAGGTGCGGGCGTACTGGCAGATTGCGTACCAGGTTTGTTCTGTTAACATGACTGGCGACATAGTTTCATTGTTGATGAGGTTTCAAGCGAATTGTCGACTACGTTCCCCTCACAATCGAACATGAATTCAATCGGCGGCTAGTGGAGGGGTTGCACCATGCTCTGTTGGGAACACTGGTCAAAGGGGAGGATGTCGAAGGGCGCATGCGACGGCTCCTTGCAGAGAACCCAGAGATCTCCAACAAGCGGAGCTCTTTACGAGACCAGTTGAAGAAGTTGAATGAGATTCAGCGTCGATTTGAGCAACTCCAATGATCAAGGTACCGTTGGAGACCGAGCGAGGGTTGGCAAGACCCAAGCACTTGTCTTGTCTAGTTTAAAATATGTTGTTGAATTTGACATGCTACATCGACAGAATGGGGTTGGAACCCTGTAAGAATAATACATTCCGCGCGGGGCACCTCGAGAAGGACTGGATTTGGAATTTCTGGGACGTGTGACGATCCATCAAACACCTTCTTCATGAGCGATTTAACAGTTTTGGTGTCCCCTATTCCCCAACTTGCCTATTCTTCCCCCCCTTCCCCACTCGCTGCCCGCCGCAAGCGCAGCCCATCGCCAATCATGGTCACTTTGGAATCTGACGCTCCAGAAACCTCAGAGACGGTAGCGCGAACTGCTGGGCCCGCAAGCGACCCAGCATTGCTCAGCCCTCCGATAAACACTTGGAAGTCTCGACCACAGTCGAGGAATGAGGTCAGACCACGGCCGCGACATGCACCGACCCGCTCCCAAAGCGCACCACCCTCCCAGACAGCATTTGTCCGCGCGCCGATGGCTGAACGGCCATTTGAAAGCAACCTGGACCAGCCAATGTCCGCAGGAGTCGCTGAGCAATTCGGCAGAAATCCTCCCAGGCCACCAAGGAGAAACCACACGATGTTCGGGGCGGGCTACATGCATGTTTCAGAGGGAATGACAATGCGCGGAGGGGAGCTGGTGCGACCACCCCCGCCCTTGCGTGCGTTTTCCATTTTTTCACTACGGAGAACCGAATGCTGAATCACAGAATAGTACGACCGACTACTTTTTGGCGGCGGGCGCATCGTTCTGGTGTTGCTGCAGCATCCTACTCTCCTGCTTCCCATCTCATCCGACGCTCAACATTTATTGCCGCTGGACTTCAATTTGACGCGCCAGTCCACGACCTCAGCGCTCTCGGAGTCGAGAGTCGTATTACGGGCGAAGAAGGCATCACCAGGCCCAGTCCTCGTGTAGTGGAAATACCTCAGGCATTTGAGCTCCTGAATATCTGACATCTGTGCCTCGCAGCAGGGGCCCGTTGTCCCCATCGTTCCTCAGTCGGACACCTCCCTCTCCACACTCCTTACTGTTTACGCCTTTTGGCCACCATCTATTCACATCTCCCATCGCATCTATCTTCACCACACGCATCCAAAATTTTAAAACCGAGCTTAGCGGACCCATACCACCATCCTTTGTACTCTCTAGCTGCCATTACTTATCTGGTCTTTCTGGGTTTCATTAGGCCTACTACATCGCTCGTTACCTCGACACTTATATAATTGGTATGATTGATATTTACGAGATATAGCGCTCCGCAATTATATCAACTGACTTTGAAAGCGTTCGGAGTAGGTACTATTGTGAGTAAACACTTGTGCCGAAAAAGGCAATAAACGCCATCTGCCCGATATAGGAATTCTCGATAAGCCTCATCCTTGTCACCGCACATTCCGTTTATCATCCGGTATGAAGCCCCCCTGCACAGTGCATATATAACTCGGCTCTATTAAGGAACAATGATGGAGGCTGTTATTTAGCATCTTCAATAAGCTAAGTATATGTCTAGTTGGATTCACCTCTGAATCGCGGGCCACGATCCGTGGCATGGTTAAAGCTTACATTTTGCCCTGACAGGTTATTTTTATCTCGCCATTCAGATGCCTGCAGTAATCCAAGGCATTAAATTACCAATTGTAAGTATCAGTGGTATGCAACAAGTCCAAAGTTGAATCAGTAATTATAAGCACATATCCTGCTACTTACTATAAATTTCATGGACGAATGAGACGCTGTGCGAAAATTATCTTATCTTTTTGATCACCGTGACTCATTGCCAAGCCGACGTGCCACGTGAAATGACTGCCCCCTCAGCCGCATTCGTCCATGGTCTCACGTCTGTGGTTGGCCTCCGCGGATGCAAAAATGCCTCCTGGGAACGACACAAATGGCAATTCTCTCACACGTTGGAGCGGAGGGCTGAGCGATGCCCAGCGCTGCGTTTTGGGGGTGATATCCCGAACATCTGGGTCGTTCGTCAGGTGAGAGCATCAGCATCCCCTCACTAAAACCTGAATAATAATCCAGGCACCTTTAACATCGTATAGACCTTCTCGGGAAACAGCGAAGACACGCTTTCAACAGGCACATTCAGTCGATTTCGAATCAATTGTGTGCTTCACGATGCAGGTATCCTGCGTTGAGAGTCTCCTTGGCCCTTCCTACTCCACTTCTCATTAAACATACGACGAGACCGGGTCTTGATCTGGACACCTCAATCCAGCGACTCCGCTCGCCAATTTCTCGTCGCCCAAATGGACCCACCAACTCAAACAGGCTCTCCGCTCTGCACACCTTTGAATACGGGATTATACAGTTGCGCTCCCGCGCTATCTGCCCCCAGAATAAAAAGCGCCCTGTTGGCTGCGGCGGATTTCCACACCTACCCACGGTTGGGACCTTTTTTTACACGCAATGTTCCCTCGAGAACCATCCGGCGACTGGGTTTAGTTTGGGTCTCCCGGAACCGGCCGTAATGCATATATATGGCCTTTCACTCCCTCGCGCGGAATCAGTCATCGTACCCGCTTTCATCGTACCATCTCCAGCGGTCACCGAAATGGTCTCCTACCATCTCCCCACCGATGCCGAGGCAAGCATGATTCACGACATCAAAGAGCTGTTCGCAATGTCTTTCATTGGCTTTGGCCTATCGACGATGTGGGTGGAATGCGATGTCTCTGCCGGCCTGAATTAATCCTCGCTAGCATCTTTGGCATTTCGATGTTACAGACATACCTCTACTATCGTCACCATGCGTCTGGGGATGGTCGCGGAACTAAACTCACTGTAAGCAACTTTTGTCTAACTTTCTTCTGACTTAACCTCTGTCAACTAGGTGGCGATTCTCTATGTCCTCAACTCTATCGGGACGATATTCATCGCCCATTCCTTGTACACCTATTGGGTCGGTCTCGTTGCTGTTTTCCCAAAGCCGTCCGTAACAATCTGCGCAGATCCTTAACTTCAATAAGCCTCCCGAGGTCGAGGATGATATTCCCTGGTATGTTCAAACTAACAGGGCCGACTCTGACTAAACCTATCTGACAGGAGCATGACGGTACGAAATAACTGCATGCTCACTGGCACCAATGACTGATTCAAGTATCCAGGCGGAGAAGATTTGCGTCGTAAGTAATCTAGCGTCGCATTATAAGCCGTTTGAAAAAGAACCCTCCAGACTTTTATTGCTCTTATCGCTCAATGGTATCCCTTTGGTCTAGTAAAGTAAACTCTCCTCTTATTTCCATCAGTTTCTACGCTCGCATGATTTGGCAAGGTAATCCGTCGATACTACTCAGCAGTCGTTCAAACTAATAATCATTTAGACAACTACAATAGGCTCTTACCCTCCATCATCGTGTGTCTCATGTCCTTTCCGTGTCGCCCTAAAACTTCCTGTAGGTATTCCTTGCCTTAATTACGTTCGCGCTTGGTATTGGTACGTGCGAGTGATTCATGCACATTCCCATCCCGCTTAGAAAACCTCTCAGCTTCTTCCGCACGCCTGTATGTCCCCGACAGCTTCTGTGTCTTTCCAGCTTGTACATCATTGACGCCGACCCAGCTTCATAAACCCGTTGGACACATCGCGCGGCTTTCTCATTCTCACGGGCATGGGCCACGGTCTCGCCGCATTCACCAACTTTATCATCTCGATTTGCCTATGTGCCTGGTTGTTTGTACGAAGGAAGGGCTCGAGTATTTATGGGAGCTCAAGCGAATTCGGGTATCTCAATCCCTTCTTGCGTTTACTCCCGCGTTACACGTTTCTAGACTGGCCAAAATCGTAGATACCCTACTGTTATATTTCATTAGTCGAGGTATGACCCACAAATTCTGTGAATTATTTTACTCACCCAGAACTAGGGGTCCTGACTGCGTACGCGTCAAACTCGCCTCTGATCACACTCATGACAGCATGATCCAGACTATCGCAGCTCATCTTTCTCTCACTCGACCTCCGTTATCCGGATGAGAAATACATGATTCCCTGGCACCAAGCGGTTGGTAAACGTATGTCTCCCGGGTCTATTTCTCTCACAGTTTCTGAATTGAAAATGTAGTCTACGTGAACTCGGTCCTCGCTGCCCTCAATATGCGACCCAAGAACCCAGCGTGGGCCAGGGGTAGCACAGAGGACACCACCACCTTTGACGGCCGCATTTCCACTAATGCTGACAAACTGGAGCCCAGCCACGAAAAGAACGATCCGGAGGCGATATAAGCTGTCGGACTACCCCGAAGGCGGACTCGGTCTTATAATTCCTTCTCCTTCCCTGCTACCGATTCGCTGTTGTTTCCCAACCAATACCTACGTTCCGCTCGTTATAGACATTCCAGCAGTCTGGCATACGCATCCATTGTCGCACTACAAAGCAAAAAGAAATGAGTAAAAAAAATGGAACGCATGCAGCGGCCAACTCACCGATGCGTCTGAGCCGACTGCTTGGCAACTAGTGGCCTGAGCATTTTGGGACAAATACCGCGTAATTGCTCCACGACGTTGGTGCACCTTTCCCCAACCGACTTCAAGCGCCGCATCTTCCAAACTCGGACGCCAGTACCCTCAACTTCTGTTTCGTATGCAGCAATATGATGCACAGGGTCTACAATCCCCCAGCTTTTGACGGTAACCGTGTGCGAGAAAAAACCAAATAGCACTGGGACACGTTCCACAACAGTAAAATAGTCGCGTTGCAGAATGTTGTCGTTGACAGGGAAATCGTTTCGGTCAGGCAGTCCACGGAGAGTGCGAAACAGGGGAAGGTTATCTGCCGCTAGAACATTTTCGAGATCCAGGTAAACGAAGTCCGTGTGGTGGTGAATGAAGTTCATCGTCCCACTTGCGTCATGAGCTCGAGTGCCTTCAACAAAGCGCTTGATACTTGGGCCGTTTTCAGGTAGGACAACCGGACCAACATCGTGCAATGGATGAGACAGCACAACCGAATAGTCGGAGCTGAATTGGGGGCCTTTTCCAAGCATCTCGACGCCGCAGGTGAGGAGCTCTTTTGCCGCTGCCGCCTTCAGCAAATTCATCTCCTCCTCCAAATAGCCACACAAGACCTCTGCATCAGGAATCAACGCTCTGTCAGTGCAAATGGCGACATTCACGTTTTCGGCATAGCTGTAAACCGCAAATGCCACCCCAATAGTGTTCAACCCAAGAGGATGGCATCGGACATTCTTGACTCGGGTGCCCTCCAGATGAACTGGTACCATTGGTCCCAGATGAACTGGTACCATTGGTCCCTTCATGTTGCTGACATAGCAAGAGACATTTCGGGCATCGGCGGCAATGACGGACAGCCGGCGGGCAGTCGGAAGAGCACCGACGACGCCAGCAAATGTCGATGCAAGCCAGGAACGATATCCAGACTTGGCCTCGTCCATCGTCTGTCGTACTGTCACGAACCGTTTCGCAATGTCGTCAATGTTGGTTGGAATAGGGACGTTCAGGTCACCAAGATGAGTGCCGAGGACCACATCCGGAGTTCGTGAAGTAGGCACAAACATGTCAACAGGCAGTTTACACTGTATTGGCCGGTCACAACTATCATCTGCGTTGCGTAAATGAGTCCGGAGTACCCCTGCAACGACAGTCAAAACGACGTCGTTGACTGTTCCACCTCCAAGAGAAGCGGTAAGAGTTTTGAGTTCGGAGAGATTCCATGGAGATTGTAGCCAGGCCATTGAGGTTGACTGGAGGGGTTTCATGCACTTGATTGCACTTAGAGGTTCGGGCCGGCTGTCCAGATGTCGAAGATCGACCAAGCGCGAAAATAGACTCGAGGTGGAAGCAAGACTCTTGGGAAGACGTCGAGGCATTATCACGCTCCGAGGATCGTTCCCGCACGCAAGGAGAATATCGGTGAGACCCCGACCATCGGTGATGGCATGATGGACACGAGTGAATAGAAGACTTCCTCTATCCGGAGGTTGGATGAGAGTGATCTCCCAAGGAGGTCGAGTGGCATTAAACACAGTAGAACTGTTACGCTCAAGTAACCCGCGAAGTTCTGTATAACCGGCCCCGGGAGCCAAACTATGTTCATGGACGTGCTCATCCAGATCGAAATGCTGACATGGCTCCCAATATGGTGTTCTTGGAGTTAATATTGGCGTAACGAGACGGTGGGACATGCGCGGAATGGCAAGTAGGCGTAGTCGAATAAGTTTCTTGAGTTGTGGGAGCGACATTCTGCCCTCAAGCTCAATGGAGGAAGGAATCATCGGATCCCGCATTCCAATAAGAAGACGGTCTGCCGCAGGAAGGAAGTCATTAACCTTGTCATGGCTCAAGATAGTCGTATAGAGAACTTGATTCCGGATTAGTGCCGGTTCCAAGCAAGAAGAAAGACAGTCACCAGAAGCCCATGTTGCGACAGCAGCAATCGTTGTTGCCCGCGAAGAAGTCGTGAGCGAGGTGATGGATAAAATTACACCTAGGAACGCAAACGAGGCGGACATAAAGCGCTGCCGGTTCCGAGAGGTGCTCATTGTCTCCAATGTCCGAGTTTTGAGATAAAATATAGAATACCAGTCTATGAAGCTGACCACGTCCTATATAGGCCATTTCAGAAAATTAGTATCAGGAGGGTAAATCACGCACCAGAGCCATTCGAGCAGGTAAGGAATTCTCCGCCAGCCTTGTTGGAATCCACCCACCAGGAGTGTTGCAGGTGACCAGCCGCCATTCTGTCTGTCCATCCGATAGATCGGTTATATTTTCGACACAAGAATAGCGCCCTTTGACGACGCCCTTTTCTAGGTCAGAGTCATCCAAGTCAATTGGGATGTGGACCACCCATCTGAGCCAGGTCAAAAGTTGTAGTGGAGCGCAAAACAAAGCGAACGGACCCGGACCGAGCTTCTGCGTCTAAATGCGTCACTTGGAGGATGGTAAACACACGCGGCGCTATCGGTGAAGGAAATCTATAGAGCGCTTTCCAAATTGACGCAGTTGGGGATAGCTTTTTGACCAAAGATATCTCATCTATCTCGTGAATATACCTGATTGCAGAGACTCAGGATTTGGACATGAAAAGAAACTAGAAAACGCACGCATCGTTGAAAGCCTTCTTGACCAACATCCAATCATCTCCCAGCATGGCAGAAAATTGGTCGAATGGCAACGAGTGCCTGCTTACGCGCGAGTGCCACGGGCCTCCGTCAGGGAAAACCTTATGGGCCGTCTGCACGAGACCGTCGTAGAACGTTCTGCCTTGTTTCCATGTATGAGAGTCAAGGATGAGCTCTTTCGCCTCTGTGACAATTTGGCTGTCGGGTGGAATATTGGTCAAGGTGAGTGGTTCGACGAGGATCATCGTAGTGAAAAACGATAATGGACGTTGTTATAAGGGAGGCGGGAGTAGCCATATTGCGCGAAACATTGCGACCATGATTGGGGCGGTGGATACCGTGATGCGACAAGTCGTGGTGGTGACGATACGTATGTCGTATTCAGTATGAGCAGCTGCGCTGTTTTACTGGGAGCCCTCTAGTCGAAGCATTCAGTGAGATGAGGATTTCTGGCACAGAAAAGCGAAATGTCACACTGTGACTGCGGCTTCAAATCACGTGTTCATCCCCGACCAGTGGCTAGCGAATGTGGAATTATCAATTCATAGGTACATTAAGAGATTACACAAATTGTATACTAATAGAGTTCGAGAACGAATATTCGAAAGAGTTCGCTTGTCCAACAGGAAGGAAGCAGTAACGGACGTGAGAGAGGGAAGGTATAGAGTGTCTGTGGGGGTGATAATCGATCGTACATATTCATGATGTTCCATAGAGCCACTGCGACAGAGTGAGGCAGCCTTCAAGGCGAAGATAGATGCAGGGCATAGATCCGTGGGTGTCACATTTTAGTTACCACGAGCCGTCTTGTGGAGCACGAGGAGCGCCACCATACATCGCAGCCCATTCCTCTTCGGTCTGCAACATATATTGCGGCGAATCATAGGGATTCGAGGGGGTGGGGCAGGCGATGCGTGGTTCGGCAAGGGCAACAGGGGCATTAACATCGTATTTGCAGCTCGGTGAAGGAGCAAAACTGGCGGATGACGGTGGACTGGGGTAGTATGGCGAAGGGGGGAAACCAGCTGACGAGGGTGGCGAGCCTCCATAGTTATAGCTCGGCGGGTAAGGCATGGAGCGACCTTGCACTGGAGGATACCCGAGCATGGCATTGTCATACTCTTCGTCTTCGCATGTATCAACAGGCTCAATCTCTAGCTCAGCGCCAGAGAGAACCAACATGAACCCATCTCCGCGGCGTGGTTCGGCCGCTGGAGGAACTCCAGCACGTTGTCGCCATTGATTGACCTCGGCACGAAGAGCTTCAGTCTCCGAATGAAGCATCCGCAGTTGTTGAGAGGCAAGAATACGCTGTTTGCGTGAGTTGTGAATGTAAGCGATCGATGATTTGGTGATTGCTATCCGGGAAGGACGGCGGACACCAGCAAGGTTAGGAAGGAGAGTGGAGAGTTCCTGTCCAATGCAGGTGAGCAATATTACATAGTATATGTGCAAGGATACCGACCAAGATACGCGCATTCAGTCTGTCCCGGCGTTGTCTTTCAACCGCATTATGTGAGGCCCGACGAGCGGCTGTGTCGAGACGCTGTTTCTCGCGAGCAGCTTCAGAGTCATCGCCGCTGTCCTCGGAGCCTCGTCGGGCAAATTGACCAGGGAAGTCTTCAACATCCAGATCTGAGATGGGTGAAATTGTAAGCGAAGGGAGCATCATGGGCCGGAGACTTCTTGGCTGCGCAACAACCAAAGGAGAGGAATGATGGTGCATTTGGGAGGTCGACATGGGTGAGGAATGCGTAAAAGTGTCGTCGAGACGAATGTTTTTGGAGGGAGTCGTGAGGTTGTGAAGTGGTAGAATGACGCCGCAGGTGTAAAAACTGGCGGACGGAAAGCCTAAAGATTAAAACTAGAGTGGTGTGGTTGACCCTACTCCAGAGGGAGAACTTGAACTAGCAAGAAAGTATGAATAAAGATGACCCGAGGTTCGGCGAAAGTTGGAAGAAATTGAAGAACGAATGAAGGCCTAAAGCTCGGGAGGACTCGTGAAGGGAGAAATGGGGGGAAGTGGGAGCAAGCGTTTTGAGTTAGCCTTTATAAGTAGATGTTCGGGAATGGCAGCTGTTGATGCGCCAAGAACTGTGATTGTGCACGGTTGATGGGGTAGATCCTTTGGGCAAGTTAACACTCCAAAACATGATAGCGATTGCAGTCATCGTGCAAGACGTGGAGATGCTTAGACAAGTGACCCACTTCTAAGGGAAGACACGAGCACTACGACCCGATAACGAGTAGCATTGTGGTTGTCGTCTACCAAATGAGTTGCCTGAGAGTATATCAGACTATCAGTCGAATTGTACTCACCGTGGCTTATTTGGTGAAATGATATGAGCGTCAAACAGCTCTCCGTGATCAACCTCTGACACTGGCAAGATAGTCCGGACAAAAGTGCATTGCAGCAAAAAAATGGCGTGATGTCTCCGTTTGGCGGAGCTGACGAGGTCTGGATTGTCTATATCCCCGCCGATCCGTGCATCGCTCCTGACTGTGGGTAGGAGGAGAAGTGAAATCTAATCTCTGGTAACATCTAAGGTTCTGAATGGAGGAGCATGCAGGACTACTTACTAAACGATGGCTACCCGTGCCTTCTCCAATCTGTCGCAAGTCCCTCAAGGCCACGAATCCTGGTCTCCACCGGCCTTCTCGTTCATTTCCGAGTCCTCGACGACAGGCTCAATCCAATGGGCAGGATAAATCAGAAAACAATCACAAGGCACTCCCGGGCTTGTCGACAAAGGACACTTGAACGAGGGACCACCAGCTGTGCCCACAAATAGCCTAGGAACAATCGCATGAACAACCTCTTGGAGTAAGTAGTCCTCGTACCTTCAACAGGGCCAGTTGCAGTCCCTGGATGGCCACTGACAACAAAAGGCTGCGGACATTGGTTCCGCTGTTCATCTAATTTCAAGCCGACTATTTTCACGAGGTCACCACTCGGGGTTTGTCAAGGGACTCGGAACTAGGGTACAGTACGTAGCCAGTTGTGTCCATGGATATGTTTCGAGACATCATGAACACTCAAGAAATAGAGCAAGCCTGAAAGTGTTGACACTGTTGAGAGTCGGAAAGCAAAAACTTTGGATCAAGCTTCACGATCACGTGAAACGCATTGACTCAGATATCGATATCACCTCCGCCCAACATCCAGACGAAATTCGGGAAATAAATCATTCGCTCTCGGGATACCCATCAAGATTCCTGGCCGAGGGTTGGAAGTGGATAATAGTTCCGCGATGCGTACAGGCACACTCAAACCAACTTAACAACGAGTGCCTTGACAATGTCCTTGCCGACGCTCCTCGTTTACAGAGCCTTTAGTGTAGCACAAATTACGTATCGAGGTGTGGCGGATTTATCTCTGAGTCTTTATGTGCGTGTTGCGCATAGTAAAATCAATGGTTCAGGCCGATACAGTAAATCTTTGAATCGAAATAATTTGCCCACAGCAACACACACAGGCTCGACACCGGCAAGAAACACATGGGCCAACTAGAAATCCACGCCACCAAATCCTTTTGTCAGTCCAAACCACTCGGCATTCAACTGCTCTTGGGTTTCCTCCGTCGGACTCGGCACCTCTGTTCGTCTCTTCCATCCGATTCTGCTAGAATGGCTATCCCAATGGCGACTATGTGAAATGTCCTGGATCTCGACTTGCCCAACCGATGCGCGTTTCCATCGATGGACCCGGAAGTTCTCCTGCATGTCCCTATCTGAGAATGAATGCAGGCTCGATATCAGAACAATGTGCCTCAATGAATCATGCCGCTGTCCCAGCCGCCGCACAGCGCTAGGCACAGGCAGAAGGGCGACGACCCGTGCTCGGGGTCGGACAGAAATTTTCATTTCCACGAAGAAGATCTCCAGCGCTAGAGGGAGAGTGGTCCGGTTCAAGGCTTCAATGATAGCGGCTGGTTCGACGAATAGTCCCGGTCGAGGGGATTCTTGATAATGGGCAATCGACAATCGGAAAGCGCGCAATGCGGCAAACGAGTGTCGATCCAGGGTTTCGATCAGCTCGTTGAACGGAAGGGCAATGTTCATTTCGAGAGTCGTTAAACGCCCAGCTATGGGAGTTAGGTCGGGAAATTCTGCCGTGTTGGTGAAAAGCTTTAGCTGGAATATGGGTCGTTGTGTGTAGACACTTGTAGCAAAGAGATCGGAAGGTCCATGGAAAGATGATAAGAGAGGAAGTGCATTGGCTGCTAACGTCAAGTGCGATGACCAATTGGCTCTGCGGGGTTGGGGTGCAAACATATCCGGTAGTGGCGGAATTATGCTGAAAGCTCGGAGGGCAGGAAATGCTTCACAAAGTCTTGTCATCCCGACAAGGGAACTTGAAGGTGACGCCAATAATCCATCACAATCCAGTCGGAGAAATTCAACCTGAGGAAACACAGCATGCGCTACAACAAGCTCGTTGATGAAAGACTGAGTAGTTTGTGGCAGAGCAATGTCGAGCCGGCATAGAGTAGTTGGAGACAAAAGGTGGGTCCAAGTATGAGCACTAAGTGATTCGACGCTGTAGTCGGTCCTGAGCGTCAACATATTGAGATCGAGGATGTCTGTGATATTAAGGACGCCGGGATCCAATACACACGAGATGAGTGAAAGTGAAAGCTTTTCCAACGTCTTCGAAATGTGGGCCATCTTTATGATGCTGGAGGGTCGCAAACGCACATAGCGAATTAAGAGCGTCCGAAGTTGAGGAAAGCTAGCTAATGACCCGAAAACCACATCGACTTCGTTTGTTCTATTGTTGGCACTGCCAAATATCGATATGGCTTGAACAAGTGGTGCGATAGACGAGGATTCGTAGCAGGCAAGCTTGTGTTGCAGTCGTATGAGACCCCGAGCGTGCTTGGTCCTGCGCACTTTAATGACTAGATGCTGGAATAGTGCTGGATGGCACAAAACACGGAAGTGTTTGGATGTTCTGGAAAAGGATGCGAGCGTTGGGCGGTCGAAGAATTGGATGATGTTCAACCAGAGTTCAGTGGGGATGGATTCCGGAAGGTCGAGAGTAAGATGCTTCAGAGCATCGGAAAGCGCCTCTAAAGACATCGGCGGGGGCGAAGAAATTAGTGGGTGTGTGTCCGAAGCCACGTCCTTATATTGTCAAGGTTCGTGTTTCCGAAGCAACTGCCGATCTTGAGCTGCCAAAATTTGGCTGGCCTCATTATATGCATCCGTTTTTCTCTTTTCATCAGGCACCGATTCAGCGGGGCGAATTTAAGGCTCCTGATTGAAAGAGGTCGAAAAGAAACACACACGGAATATTTTGGCTGTCACGCTCATTGGCTGACAAACTTGCTATCGTCATCTGAATGCGCGTTTGCGCGTTCCTCTCACCACCACGATGGCGGACACTTCCCCAGTGAAGCCCGACGATCCAGAGCATGCTACGGAGACGCAACCGCTCCTTCCCCGGACAGACTCAGAGCCACCGAAGGGTCCTGAACCCCGTAGCTTGTGGCAGACTGTTGCTTACATTCTTTTGGCTATTTTCAGCGCCGTTGTCTTATCTTTTGCTGTCAAAGCATTCATCGACGCAGACGATATAGACGTAGGAGATTCATCCATACCTCTCTCTCAAATTTGACTCGCGAAACCAGTTTGATTGGAGGAAGGCCTTCAAGACCGCACTTGGAGGAGGGTTGAGTGGTGCTGCGGCCATGGTTATCCAAGTTCTCACCCTCATGGTATGCGGTCCTGTTCCGTCATATGAAACCATCTAGACAAGCTTCTAGCCGCTACGAACGGTCATGAACTATCAGTACCGTTATGGTACTTCCATGTCGCAGGCCATCTCAACGTTATACGCCGACGGAGGCTGGACACGATACTACCAGGGACTTTCTGCGGCCCTGATCCAAGGCCCGGCATCCCGCTTCTTCGACACCGCTGCTAACGCTGGCATTCTCGCCTTGCTCGACTCAAACACCGTCATGAAGACGCTACCATCTCTAATCAAGACTATCTTCGCCTCTCTCACCGCTGCGGCACTTAGAATGCTCCTCACACCAATAGACACCGTCAAAACCACACTGCAAACACAAGGAAAGCCTGGTATGCGAATTCTGCGCGAGAGGGTGCGGCATCCTTTGCTCGGTTCAGCCTTCTTCTTACCACATCACAGGTTAAACGATATGGTCTTGTCTCACTGTTCTATGGCGCCTTTGCCACCGCTGCTGCAACTTTTGCCGGTCACTATCCATGGTTCGGCACGCTCAACTTCCTTGAGGCAAATCTGCCTGCCGCCCACACGGTCCTCCAAAAGCTGCTTCGACGCGCGTTTATTGGGTTCTGCGCCTCCGTGACATCCGATACCGTCTCCAACTCGCTTCGCGTCGTGAAAACGTACCGCCAGGTCAACGAAACCCGCATCGGGTATATCGATGCTGCGAAGGCGGTTATTGCGGTTGATGGGCTGATTGGACTGTTTGGTCGTGGACTCAAGACTCGAATTCTAGCAAATGGGTTGCAAGGATTGATGTTTACCGTGCTTTGGAAATGGTTCGAGGATATGTGAGTCCCGTTCTCTTTGCTATATCGGCTGTTCATTGGTGTTGCAGGTGGAAAGAGAAGACATAAGTAGTTAATCTAGAGGCTGGGCGTCGATCTCAATTTGATTGCAAATTTTATAAGTCCTCCACTGGAATTCAACTGTGTTCCATGCGTGTGTGAATGTCCTCATTCACAAGTTGGAGAATAGTCCGGGAGATCCAAATCTACAGATTGTGTATTTCCACTTCCTCTAAAGTGTTTCGAGTGCTCCAATGGCTTGTCTGAGTCCTTTTATGCTGTGCAAGTATATCCGCCAGACAAATAGCGAAGTGACTCCATGTGACATCGCAACCCTTCCTTTCTTCTCGACTACAACCATTGGCCGTCCGCCTTCGCTCATCAACCACATGGCTGCATAAAGCATCCAGGCCTGTAGATGCCTCTTCAACGTTCTAGTGCTTTCTCATCGTCAGACCTACGAGGCTCGAGCTGAACGACTGCCTATATGCTAGTGCTCAGTGAGACAATCTAGCTTTCCTCAAATTTCTCTGCGCCATCCAGGTCAAGATCTTCACACTGTCTTCTTCTCCTCTTATTGTTTGAGTCTCTCAGTGAATTGTGCAGACCGTGACCTTGGCTCAAGACGTTGCCACTTTGCAAGATCGCTTTCAACCTACAACAACAAACCTCCCATGGATAGCTGCATGCAGAGTCGATCGGACCTGAGGTCTATTCGTTAGTCATTGGACGTCGATGACTGCATTGCTGCTGGCCTCTGCTCTCAGATTTCAATGGTGTCACTTGGGGAGCTGAGCACCGCGAGACTTGGTCCTTCGGGATGGGGAACACCACCTTCCTCGCGTCTAAACAGGATTCGAGTGACGCCGATCTCTGATCAGCCTAGCCGCTTTTTCTTCGTCTGGTTACAGTACGCTTTTGCATGTCGATCATTCAACCTCTAACACACATCTTTAGACTCGACTCGGAAAACATTCTCCCACGACGGCGCTTCGACAGCCTCAAACCTACTCTGGATAGCTGCATGCAGAGTCGATCGGACCTGAGGTCTATTCGTTAGTCATTGGACGTCGATGACTGCATTGCTGCTGGCCTCTGCTCTCAGATTTCAATGGTGTCACTTGGGGAGCTGAGCACCGCGAGACTTGGTCCTTCGGGATGGGGAACACCACCTTCCTCGCGTCTAACAGGATTCGAGTGACGTCGATTTCTGATCAGCCAAGCCGTCTTGCCTATATCGAGTTGCGGTGAGTCGAGGCTTGGTTCCGAGTTGGTCACAGTTTCTTATGCTTTCCCAGTGTTTCGTCGAATTATTCAGTCCAGCAATCCATTGGGGACCTTGTAAACTTATATTAGGTGCTATCGTTCTCAAGTATCAATACTTGTATCATGGGGTGGTGAATTGGCTAATAGTAATGTACATGGTGTCCGAGTCTGCCAGTCCGCTTATATCGTTTACCGAATTGTCACGGCGTTCTCTCGGGATGTGACTGACATTACGTGGACTTGTTGGTACTTCGCCGGCTAGATAAGCACATCTCTCATTGTTTCCAGCGCTCTTACAGGCTAAAAGTGGAATTCAACAAGATGTCACCCAGATGATGCGACGAATCTACGGACAGAAACAGAGAAAGAGACATCGGAAGATACTAGGTCCTAACATCGGTTTGCCAGTGCAGCGCAAATGGATCATCTTTGCGGTTGAACTCTGCCTGACAAAACTCTTGAGCACTGCCAACGAACGTGTCAGCGACGACTGACAACCAAGATATCCACCCACATTTTCCAGTTTCGTTCTGTCGAAGCCTCACGCGCCACCAGATACTGCTCTCTCCATTGGTCATACGCGGACGGCGCCGCCTACGGTTGAAACGCGGTTAGTGAAGAGATGGATAATATTATGATAAACGACTGACTGTGTCGCAATTAACTTGGCGGATATGGGGCAAACCCTACAAAGGTATGCATTAGAAAAGCTTAGAGGAAGGAGAACCCATACTAATTGCATTGCTTCAAACGACCATTTGTCATCGGAGAGGCGGTACCATGCCCTATGGTCGCGGAGGAAAAAGGGCGTGAAGGCGAGACGGGAAAGTTCATCTACAGGAACCGACGAAAAACCTGGTAAACGGCTGAGTGGAGTTAGTCGAGCGCCATGTTAGTGGGCAATTGAGCAACGCACTCAGGGACGCGCGCCTGACAGCCCTAGACTAGTTTTAGCGACACTCAATCGCCAGAGATTTACTAGGCGCACGCACCCGACGTTCACAGATCACCAGTGAGATGGGCCCCCAAATCGACGGGTTGTTAGTTGCATTTTTGCAAACCTACAAGCGCGTTGGCGGGTCGAAAATATTGCTAGGCGGCATAAATGCCACGCACCTCGCATCTCGTGTTCACGCCAAAGCTGGTCTTAGCGTGGAATGCCTCGAATTGGCCAATCGGCGAGTGGGTCTGGGAGGACTGGAACGACATTTTGGCGAGTTTTGCGATACACGCTCGAGTCGAATCCAAGATATTTCTCCGCCCAGTCACAGTCCCAATAAGACTGCGCTACCCAGAGAACATCTGCAGGGCTCATGTGACACAGCGTCTGGCATGGCGAGGTTAGTAAGGGTGCAAACATTACACGGCGAGTGTACCAGAAATAAGATGAAGGGAGAGTAGCCAGGGCGAGCAAGCACGGGCTCAGAGGGAAGCGGAGATGCATGAGTGGAAGGAGCATTTCTCGCCATATTGGTCGGAAGAACGTGGTGGGATAAAGGAAGCGATCTTCAAGTTGGAGTTGCAACGTATTCCGCTTCAGGCAATTGCGCCCATTGTCACGGAAAGTGTCGGCACAGGTCGTCGGCACAGAGAGTGTCTGTGAGAGGTCAGTATATTAGCAACATAATTGAAAAGACTCGCAAGACTTTACTGTAAGTTGAACTCCTTCCCGTTAGATGCTGCATGTGGTCATCTGCCTCTGTAATTTAAATTTAAAATCAAGTGTTCGGAGCTGCCCAAAGTCCCAAACACCGACACTTCACCAGGGAAGTAAGCTTGATGAACGTCGACGACGACGAACCGACACGAAGAAGGGAATCTTATAGTCACGTGCCATCACCCACTTGATATTGCTTTTAACGGTGGTTAAAAATTGCACTACTAATATCTACCATTGAAGCGAAGTACGTAGAACAACCGTCTCAACGGTCAGATCATACTTTAGGGCACGACAAACGAAGTCTTGTCTCCCGTAGGCAGCTCAGCCGTCACTTGAGCCCATCGTGTTACATCTTCCGGCCGATGTATAGTCCCATATGCCTGAAATGCCCTTGCGCTTACGTTGGGAAACGCCAGCTTGATGAAGGACGCAACAACATCCGGGTCGCCGCAAGGCGCACAAAACAAAACCAAATCAGTCATCTGTGGTCGGTCGATGCTCGGAAGCCGGCCATCGTTGGGAGGGACAAACGCCACAAAGACATCAGCATTAACCTCGATGGCCAGATGCTCGATGCGGGGACACCATACTGCAAAGTCCCAGAGGCAATATAGTGGCAATTGGTGCCCTTGTTGAGCGGATAAGCGAGGAGGGGCAATAAGGATGTCGACGAGCCGCGGCCAGGCGGTGGCCATTGCGTGAACATCATATTCAGTAACAACGAGTTCTCCGGGATCCACATCGACACGAAATACCTCTAAATTGCGGCAAGCATAGAGGGGAGACAATGAAGCGATGACGAGTTTCAGGGCGACCTTGTCGCGTCCGTGAGGAGAGGTGAAGGTGAAACGCGTCATACTTGTTGTGCGCTGAGGAACTGACGATGGAACCAAAGACTGGAAGAGCGAAGTAGGAACGAAGGAATCGTCCCGATGGGGGACAAGTCGAACTGTGTGGAGGTTGGGGGAGGCAATCCTGAGAAGACAGGAAGACAGCGCTTCAACTTCGCCTGACACACGAATCGACTCTAGTAAAGCAAAACTTGCAGTATTTGGAGACAATAGGGAGACGGAATTATGTGGAAGATGGCGAGTATCGAGTGATTTGAGATAGGGAAGTGTTGAGAGCCGCTCGAATAATTGAGGGTCGGCGCGAAGGTCGAATGAGATATGCTGGAGTTTCGTTAATCGCCGGATGGCATTTCGAATGCCAGGAAGAAACTCGAGTGTACGGAGGTTCATTCTCTCCACATCAGGTAGCCACGGAAGTGCTGGGTTGTTGAACGAGTCGATGGTTTCCTTCATGACTAGTGACTGGCCCGAGGTATGCTCGATCTCAGACCACATTAGAAGAGTGAGTTCTTGGCTGGGAACTGGAGTATCTGGACAGATCAGGTAGAAGGCACCGATTGAGCCATTGTACACCGAGACTTCCCAGCGAAACTCTTTCAAAAGGGGGAAGAGTGGATATCGGAAATCCTTGATATACGGGAAGAGCTCGCAGCCACGTCTAAGCTTTGCGCTGGAGTTGCTGAACTCGACATAGTGCACGCGCGATGCGTATTTGTCGAAGACCATGAAATCATCTTCGGTCAACGGTCGAGTAAGTTCATACTGGATCATTTTGAGCCGTATAACAGCAGCGGAAGACAACCCACCTCACCATTAACTTCAGCTATATGGTATGCGTCATCTGGGAGTAGATTGACAATCGCGTCAGGTCGATACATTGTGCGCCATAAAACATCCAACGCTGCTTGCGAAATGTTGCGGGAAACGCGTGCAAGACAGCTGAGAGAGGACGTGTCCACGGATGAGATGGTTCCCTTCCCATCCTGAGCCAGGAAGGAGAGAATGAGAAGCAATAGCTCAGGAATGCCGAAGACCTGAGAGGCCATGGATTCTGTGTCAACTTTGGGTTCGGACATGGTGCGCGCTACTAATGGATTTGGTAAAATCCAACGGGCATACTGGGAGTGTAACGCGCACCTATGATGGGAGCTGTGGGAGTTGAGAGACGAACATGGTCGTCGTGGTGCAAGCAAGTCACAATCTGATTCCCTCAGTAACTGAGTAAGAGATAGAATGGCCGCTTATTATGGTTTCTTTCCTCAACTTAGAACTACATAATGATATGAATGTGCTATGGTTTTCAGTCTACGCATATCCACGATCGGCTTTTGGTGCATATCTAGACCACTATCAGCTGGGGATCGTATTGAGATGATACAAACTCACGGCTCGGTCAAGTATTTCGACTCTTCATCTGTCAATTCAACTGGTCTGCTCGCAATTTCTTCGACTCGTTGCACCGAGGACAAGCCAACGATGGGAGAATCCACGGTTCGCAATGCCCACTTGTTTGGTATAACTTTTCAGAGCTACATAGGCTGTTTACATCAATACTCACCGCGAATGCAATCTGTGACATAGTGCAGCCTTTCTTTTTTGCGAGCTCTTCGACACGGCCAATGATCATCTCGTCCGCTGGAGTAAACTTGGCCTCGAATATCGTTCCTTTAGCACTTTCAGACCGTGTCGAGGAATGTCCCAGAGGCCGAGAAAGATTTCCAGCAGCAAAGGTTGAGTATGGAATTAGGCCAATGCCCTTCGCTTTGCAGTAGGGAATCATCTCTCGTTCCTGATGGGAAATTCAGAAGTCTATTCGTAAAATGGATATATCGCACCTCTTCGCGCTGCAGGAGCGAAAACTCGTTCTGCATACTGACAAATTTCGTCCACCCATTCTTCTCAGCAATGTTGTTCATTTCTTGAAACCGCCAGGTCTTCATCGAGCTGGCGCCAATGTAGCGCACTTTACCGCTCTGCACGAGATCATGAAGAGCACGCATGGTTTCTTCGACCGGTACGCGTGGATCGAAACGGTGAATTTGCAGTAAATCAATATATGGTGTGTCAAGACGTTCAAGGGAGGCTTCAACAGCGTTGAAGATAGCGGCCCGCGAAAGGCCGTCCTGATTAACGTAGTCTCGTGTCTCCCGTAGCTCAGGATGCTGAAACCCGTATAACATGGGGTCATGTTCTACGACGAGATGGTGAACTTTGGTGAAGATGAGAATTTTAGAGCGAGGAATGCTGTGCTGGGATCTTGTTTATTGAGTAGTTCACTGGTATGCGACGAAACTGACCTTCTTGATGAATTTGCCAAGAATACGCTCAGATTCGCCGTTCGAGTACATGTTGGCCGTATCGTATGTTGATAGGCCATTGTCCCAAGCTGCTTTGAGCACTTCTATGGCAGGTTCCTCATCGAGGACCCATTTCTGATACAGTTAATCCAAAAGACTGGGCTGATGTCAAGCTATTCTCACCCGCTGTTGAGATAGGCCAAAGCTCATGCATCCAACCTGGCGACATATTTGCCATCTGCCACAATCGACGATGAGCGCCTACGATAGGGACGGAGACACGAAGGCCGCTGTTGCCCAAACGCGTATAGGTTGCGGTCGGGTTGCTCGTCATGGTGGGGTTGGAAAGAGTTGAGTCGTTGACGGCGCGTGATCAGAAGCAACCTGTTCTCGACCTTCACTTTCACCAATCGCGTGCCGAGGTCAATCCAGCCACTACCCAGTAATGCTTTTTGGAATCCACGGCCGCTCCAAAATTACTACCGGGAAACCAATGACGGCCATGGTTCTCTTGTCAAGCCACAAATAGCTCACGCACCACATGCTGCCGACTCCAAATCGACTTCCCAGGTTCCTTTATAAGCACTGTGTAATCCGGGTCCGCTTTCCTCCCTCGTCCGCCTAGCTATCTCAACAAACATGGCCGGCTTACAGACTGACGGAAGCGTGCCTCTAGCTGCGATGAGCGATGTCGCTGCTATCGAGAAACGTGACTCCTACTCTGATATCGAAAAGAAAGGACCCGGCTCAGTCGCACACGAGAATGAGCATGAACCAGACGGCATTCACGACGGCCTCATTTTTCCGACCGAAGAGGAGCGAGCGACACTCAGACGAGTGCCTGACCATATTCCATGGAATGCATACTGTACGTTTTTCCTTCTCTTTTTCTGCTTCTTCTTCGCTAATGCTTAGTTTATAAATAGTAATCGCTATCGTGGAGCTGGCGGAGCGGTTTTCTGTGCGTCATTTCAATTGTCCTCCAACAACCACACCATCTCATAGCATTCTTAGTTCTACGGATCCAGCGTCGTCTTCGTGAGTCATTCACGCATAGGTGGAGCGACACATCATAACCCTTCCAGACCAACTTCATCCAGCAAGACCTGCCCAAAAATAGTCGAACTGGAGCTGGCGGGGCCCATGACACGTCTGGAGCCCTCGGTATGGGCCAGCGAGCGTCAACTGGGTTGACAACTTTCTATCAATTCTGGTTCGCGCCCCCTGCCTCGATAAAATTTTCTCTGATGTCACTTAGGTGCTATGTGACCCCGCTCCTGGGTGCATACATCGCGGATACCTACTGGGGTCGCTACAAGACGGTCTGCGTCGCGGTCGTCATTGCGTTGATAGGACACATCATCTTGATTGTCGCTGGTCGGTTTTTTTCTTTTCCCCCTCCCGAACGCTCACTTGTATCAGGGCTGCCTGGAGTCATTGATCATCAACATGGAGCAGTCGCTGCTTTCATCATCGCATTGCTGGTTATGGGTTTTGGTGTGTCGCTCGTCTTGCGCAAAGAGTCCCTGAGCTGAAGCCGAAATGAAGGTACCGGATTATTCAAGGCCAATATTTCACCTTTGGTGGCCGAACAATACAAACGCACCAAACTCTTCATTCGTACTGAATCAAACGGCGAGAGGGTCATTGTTGATCCGGCTCTCACCATCTCGAGAGTCTACATGGTACAGTTTCTTTTGTCCTCCTTTATTCATTCAATTCATCTTTCATAGTATTTCTACCTATTCATCAACATTGGCGCACTAGTCGGTCAAATTGGAATGACCTACTCTGAGCGTGTGCGTTTATCTCTTTCTCTGGCCTAAGCCTGTCTTATGAATTCAACAGTATGTCGGTTTCTGGCTTGCATACACGCTACCCACGGTTGTCTTTCTGCTTTGCCCCATCGTTCTTTATATTGGACGAAACCGCTACGCACATTCTCCGCCAACGGGCTCTGTTCTTGGCACAGCACTGCGCCTCTGGCGCTATGCGGCTCGTGGCCGCTGGAGCCTCAACCCGATCGCTACCATTCGCAACCTTCGTGCGCCAGACTTTTGGGAGAACGCTAAACCTAGTGTTGTTGAGAAGCGCGAAGGAGAAAAGCCCTCGTGGATGACCTTCGATGATCAATGGGTTGATGAAGTCAAACGTGGTCTATCGGCCTGTGCTGTGTTTTGCTGGTTCCCCATTTACTGTATGTCCCAACTAATGCTTGATTCAAAATTAACGGCAAGACAGGGCTCACATATAATCAATTAAACAACAACTTGACCTCGCAAGCCGCCACGATGGTCGTCGGTTCTGTGCCGAACGATGTGCTGTCAAACTTGGATCCCTTCGCCCTTATCATCTTGATTCCAGTCTGCGATCGCATTGTATGCTGCCTCTTTCTAAAAGACAGTGACTAAGCCGACTGTTTTTCTAGATCTACCCAGCCCTTCGTCGTTGGGGCATCAATTTCACTCAACTAAAGAAAATCACCGCTGGATTCGTTACTGGTAAGTATGGTTGTCCAGACTTAAAGAAAAGTGCTTGACCAGTTTTAGGATCGGCGGCCATGATTTGGGCATGTGTCGTGCAAGCCTATATCTACAAGGTCAGTACCCCTTCTTACGCCTCAGTCTTCATACCCAACGGACATTTTAGAGGAACCCATGCGGTAAACAAGCTTCCACCTGTGCTGACCCAGTCACCGGAGACAACATTCCTGCTCCACTAAACGTGTGGATTCAAACTGGCTCGTCAGTTTTGTCCCCTAAACTCTTTCAGCCAACTGACCCGCCCTATTCAGCTATGTTCTCATCGCCTTATCGGAGATATTTGCCTCAATCACTGGTTTAGAATATGCATTCACCAAGGCGCCCAAGAACATGCGCTCGCTGGTCATGAGTGTCTTCTTGTTCATGAGTGCCCTCGCTTCAGCTATCGGGGAGGCCTTCGTTTGTGCGTAACGACTGTGTTTTTGTGTGCCGTCTGTGCTGATAAACTGTATCCAGCACTATCTGCCGATCCGCTCTTGGTGTGGAACTATGGTGTCATGGCAGTTTTGGCTGCTGTCACTGCCGTCGCTCTATGGTTCTCTGTTCGCAATCTCGATGCAAAGGAGGATGAACTGAATAACCTTGCCGAGGGCCATGTAGATGCAAAACATTAATGTTTCTTGTAGTAATGTACTATTTCACTGTAACCAGAATACGATGTTGACTATGCATGTCATTTCTTCTTATTCAGGCTGATGAGACAATTTTGTTGATCCAAGTCAAAATGTTACAGTACTTCTTTGCAAAAGTTACAGACTTCTGAAAAGTTCCAAACGAAACTTATTATGACATCTTTGTAGCCTGTTTGAGCTCCAAACAATAATGCAAGTGGCATTTTGAATGGCCAGAACAAAAAACAATGAATTTCCCTTTAATACTGTATTCAAGTTCATCATGGAATCAAATTTAAGCCGGCGACGAATCGAATCGCCAATGCATTTCATGGTGAAATATCACAGCTCTCCCATAGCCACACTTGCGTTAGTATTGCCTATAATTGCCTTGGCCTTTGCTTCTGCACGAGCCTCCAACATGACTTCTCTCAATCTCCGACACGCCTCTTCTGCGTCAGCTTCCTCTATAATGCTGAAACTGACGCGAACGAAGGGAGATTTCCCAGCGAGAGGCATGAATGATGTCCCAGGCACTGCGAGAACACCCTTGGCGACGGCGCGCTCAAGAATCAGGACCCGTGCATCCGATTCGGGTGTGCCATCTGGATCTGCAATGAGCTACCAGTCTGGGTGAGCGATGGGCGGAGTAATAGTCAGTGTTGTGGCACCTTGATGTAGAGAAACATCCCCGCGACAGGCGTAGTCCATTCGGCCAAACCGTCGTCGGCGAGATACTTGCGGGCAAGACGCTCAAATGCATCTCGGCGCACCTCGTAAAGAGACGCGACTTGCTTGCAATGATCAAGAAAGCCTTGGGGGCCCCAACGGGAAAGAAGACTATATGCTATGAGTTGCGCGAGTGAGTTTGGTTGCAAGCTTAACGCAGGTGAGATGTGACTTAGTAGTGCTAAGTATAACCGAAGCGCTTACTTGGTGTTTGAGGTGATCATGTTCACAGCTGTCGCCAACGTTGGATGGGCCGTCATATATCCAAGCCGCATACCACTACTAAACACTTTGCTGAGCGAATCGAAGCTATCAAAGTGAGAAGGCATCAGAGGAACCCCCTTCATGAATGAGGAATATGGTTGCGACCCACCGAATAATGCGACCCTCCTCATCGTTAACCTCTGGTTCGAGGGCAAAGTAGCTTCGGGCTTGCTGGCCCTCAGGTCCGTAGTACAAAAATGCATATGCATCGTCCTCGAGAAGAAGGATGTTATACTTCTTCACCAATCGGAGTCTACGCGATAAGATAAGATAATGCAGCATATACTGATATCACGCACACTTCGACTTTTCGGGCTTCAGGTATAGACGCCCCGGTAGGATTACTTCCCGATGGGATCGTATATAAAAACTTTGGGAAGCGCTGGCCTGGATGCGTCTCCCCCCAAGTCGACAAAATACTATCGAGACTCGCAGGATTCAAGCCCTGGGAATCGGCTGCCACTTCTGCCAGGTCCAAGTCAGCACAGGGTTCAGTCAATGAATACCGGACATACCAACGAGTTGGCAAGGTAAAGCAGCAAAGAACCCCAATACCCCACTGATTATGAGGTCAGTCCGCGTTCATACATCTCGAGTGGTACATTTACGGATAGACAGGCGCCTCCATCAACACAAAGTCACCGTCGTCTACGAGGACATCGCACGCCTGATGAGACCGTTAGGAATCGAATTCTCAGGAACCAAGAAGACCCGAGCACGCCTTGTACATGAGGTCTTGGCTCCCCGAGCCTACAGTTACCGACCAACTTGTTAAATTAGGCGCACGTTTATGAACAAAAGTCTGAAACTCTTCCAGCCATTTCACAAAGTTTGGAGCGCCCGGCGTGAGCCCATATCTATAGCACCTTGATTCATTTGTCCGGTACGGTTTAGAGACGAGCCTTACTGTAGTCCGGAAGTCAGCTGCTCGCCCTCGAGGGTGATGGTGAGGGGATCCGAGCTATCTTCGGTTGTCCGGAGTGGTATCCCCACCAGAGTGGGCCGCAGCTTCATCGTTATTGATTCGAAAGGGAATGTCGCCGGATTTGGACGGCCTCCAGACATTATGATACCTTGTACTAGTCCTCTTATGAACGAAGGCGCGCACCAGCAAGTAGAGATATCATTCCGGGAATGGATTCCAGTGGGAACAAGCCGCGTACTGCACGGAAACGTTTGAATTCCACTCGGACAGTGGCAAGAAACATACTGCCGCAAGCTTTCCATAGGGCTGAGCGTTTTGAAAGGAACGGAGCAAGCTCGAAGACGGTAGGCATGATTGAGAGAAGGAAACGAAGGTAACTCGACGCGAAAGCGTTCGCCTTTTATCTTTGCCGGCGGCAGATTTTGATCGGGGCGGGGTCCGAATCCGATAGGTCTCCGGATTATGGGTTATTCGAGCCAGTCGATGTTATCGACGCCAAAGTGATACCATGCGGGAAGAACAGTTCATTTTTTCCTGCGAGCTTAATCATGAAGTTTCGAGAAAGCTTCGGCGTATCTAATGATTGAGTTGTTTCCATGCTAAGTTACATCAGTGTCAGTGGCCTCCAGCACGCAGATCTGAGAAATACATACTTCAAATAGACGTCTAAAATGTTTTCTGCTGACGAGCAGCGTTCCTGGTCATATTTCCCGATTCGACAAAAAGCGACGAGGTGTTGATGCCGCAAATCAATTGTCGCAACAGAGACTGTCGAGGATTGGGGTCGCAATCTGGAGCCGACGCTCCTCTTGCCACCATGGAGGCAAAACTGCGAGTGAAGAAGCCTCCTGCTTGCGACCGGTGTAAAGCACGTCGAGTCCTGTGCCATCCTGAGCGACCGTGTCCAAGATGGTGAGTTGACATGTCACATGCAAGAACTTGAATCTGTGCCCTTTCCTCATTGACCAAAATGCAGCGAACAAAGAAACGAGATGTGAGTGGTTATATCCTGGGTGTTAGCTCTTTGAATAAACATATATAGCTGTGTTACAACCCCTACCGTTCGTGGACGACCGAGGAAACATCCAGTTGAATTGCCGCCAACTTTCGACACTCGCTTAATTCTCGCTCAAAACTCTGGTCCCGTTTTTCAGAGCTCAACGGAATGCCCTGAGCTAACCCCGGAACTCGTAGAACATTGCTTCGAAGGTTGCGGACTATCCAACCTTGGAAATTTGTGTTCATGGAAACCCACAGGACTCAAATTCAATGCACAGTACAACCACCCTTTGGTTGGAGCAACAACTATCAAGGCGGATATACGAACGGCGGAATATCGACTCGAGCTCCTCCCCCCACCTCAGAAAGTGCTCGCTCTATGCATAGTTTGCGCCATCTCTCTCACTTCCTTTCACCCATCCATCCTGGGCCCTGAATATACTGGTGTCCGCCCGCTATCCTTTGATCATTTGCCTGAATTCCTCCATTCTACGCCACACGAGGGTTTATTGTCTTGTGGCGTGCGGCGAGCCCCAATATTCTTCGCTCTCCGCAATGAGGCTCTGAAAGCTGCTTGGGAGTATCACGTGCCACTGCAGCCCTCGCCAGAGAATGCGGTATCCTGTTATCTGCTTGATCTCATGGAACAAGGTGCACCTCCTCTTTTTCCTCTTTCCGTTTCTGACCTGGCGTTAGTTGATTTCAATGGTGTATCCAGACCATGGGCAACAGCGTATATGTCACATCTGCGCGTATTAGCCAGCAGCATCAACTCCTCCATCCACACTCCCATCAGTGCTGGATTGTGGTCAGCATTTTTCGTGAGTTGAGGTCACTTAGCTCTTGTTCTCGGTCTTATTCCGACCACACAGACAGTGGACGCGTTACACTCTGCAACAACAAGGACGCCTATGCTCGTGTTCGTCTTATGTCAACTGATGATGTATATCGTCTTAATCTCTCGCCAGCACAGTAAAAGATCAATTTTTGCTATGCGGGCCAGAACCGCCCTCTCTTAACGCCCTCCTGTCCTCGGTTGAAAAGCCCAGCTTATCTCAAGACTTTGGGGCCCTTGGACCGTTCGTGCAGCCCAGTGAGTGTCTCTGTCCCCCACTACTGTCAACTCCTCACTCTGTGTAGTCTTACTCCATGTCACGAATTTGGCCCGCGAACTGCTTGAGAAAATGACCGGAGGTGTGTCATTGTCTGTGTTCCCTGAGGTCCTTTAACACGCCATTCAGATTTCGCACGGTTGGAGCCGATTTCCGAAAGCATTGTCATACAATTCATCTCCTCACTTTCCACGATGCACAACATCATTTCGCACATTTTTGAGCGTGCTGAACCGATGATTACGCCCTCCTTCGAATGTCCATCCGTTACAGTTATCTCCGAGAACTCTGGTCTCGAGCTCCTCGTTCGAGTTTCACTGTTCTCGCTTGTCCATGGTTTTACCGGGCTCGTGCTTCCATTTCTTCGGGAACTAGAATATCGCGAGACTGCCGTGTCCTACATCGGATTAGTAGACTCCGGTACACGCGCCAGACTGGCACTTCTGCGCACTCAGACGCGCAGGTTGGCGTGGGATGCAGCAAGTCAGGTGGTGAAAGCATTAAAGCTGCTACCGCCAGTTCATAACACGCCCATGCAATTCCTTTGGATCTACTCATGGGCCGTATTCTGCTTGGAAGACGTCGAAGAGGCTGTGACTAAGGAAGAACCAATTTCGGCCGAGATGGCTTGGATCTTGGAAGCGTTCGTAGTCAATCCCTTCGTTGCATCACATTTACCTGCACCATGTAGGCTTTCGGAAGAGCTCAAGGTTCTCGGATATTCGGTCCGTGCAGTGGTTACCACTGTCGCCAACTCGTCTGTCACCAATGTCATCGAGCGTCTGGATAGTCATGTTGGGAGCCTGCGTGCCAAACTCGCCAACAACTTTGGCATAGTCGAGCTTCCGCCCACAGAGCAAGAAGCGGAGGCTTGGCTGGCTGATATTGACGCCACTATCCTGCAGGCCGCAGAGTCGGAAATCAGGCCGATCTACGATATCGACTTGAGTCTTAGCCCATTTGTGCAGTATGGATTTCACTCTTAGTTTGAAACGAAATAGCAATATACCAAACTATACTAACTTATGTCGGCTCGATAACGTTGCTTCGGTTTCCGATGAGCTGGTCCAGGTTTTGGAAGAGTCGCATCTTTATTACCTCTGACCCTCATAACAGACTCTCCAAAGAGCTCAAAACTCTGTCCGCTCGTTGGCAATAAGTAACTGTGCCTGGCTAACAATTTGTGGTTGGCCGCTCGTTTCAAGCGACTGATTTGGCGATTCCCAGTCCTCATTCGCGTTCAGCTCTGGACATGTAGCTTCCCTATTCCAGAGAGTGACTGAGTCAATTTTATGGGGTTGAGTGCTATTTTCGGTCCAGTTCGGCTCTGGTTCGGCTTTATTGGGGAAGCATGATGGTTATTTTCTTGGCATTTTCTCGCTTGGCTTTTGCGACCAGACTTCGTATGACGACTCGTTTTTGGCCGCCTCTGCTGCAGCATGACTGACACCCAACTCAGTCTGGGTGCATGTCCCTCCTCTTCAAGCACCTACGCGTCCACCAAATTTTCGGCGCCAACACCGACGTCGGCAAGACCATCTTAACCACTGCGCTTGTTCGCGCGTCCACGGCACTCAGAAATGAGGTGTTCTATCTCAAGCCGATAAGTACAGGCTCGCCGCAAGACGCAGATGACGAGTGAGTAACCAAAAAGTTGTACTTTTTCGTCTCATGACAGGCCAGACACATCAAGCAATTCGCATCCCCCAAGGTCCATACAGAGTGTTTATATCGGTTCCATGTGCCTGTCAGTCCTCACCTTGCGGCTCAAATGGCGGCTGGAGACGAGTCTCAAAAAGTGTGCTACAGAATCTTAGAGGTGTTGGGCCTAATCTTCTTCCTAGATTGTGTCCGACAAAACCTTCGTTGACTCGGTCATAAGCTATGTGAACAGAAGCGCGTCTGCAACCCGGGGACCAGCCCATATGTATGTTGAAACAGCCGGAGGTGCGTGCCTTAAATTTTACTTTTCAAATGCCTCATCGTCTGAGCAGGAGTCCACAGTCCAGCACTTTCTGGGACCACGCAAGTCGACTGTTACCGTCCCTTGTTCTTACCCACCATTCTCATCGGCGACTCACGATTGGGCGGTATCTCCGCAACCATCTCCGCCTATGAATCCCTCCTCCTGCGCGGTTATATGGTCGACTCTGTGCTACTGTTCCGTGACGAATACTACCGCAACAGCGAGTACTTGACGCCGTATTTTGCCGAACGAGGGATCGATGTGGCTGCTTTCGCCCACCCACCACCCGTCAGCCCAGATCCAAGGGAGAATTTGGCGATCACCGACGAATATTACAAGTCGTTGGATATGGGAAGTGTGCAACGTGTGTTGACGGAGCGTCACCAACAGCGGATCGACCAATTGGACTCGATGCCGCGTCGTTCCATGGATGCATTTTGGTGGCCGTTTGTTCAGCATGGTCTCGTCAAGAACGAAAAGGATGTCACAGTCATTGACAGCGCCTCGAACGACTTTTTCTCCATTTACAGCCAGAGCAGTCAAGACTCTTTACTCTCCCCCCAATTGGACAGTTCGGCATCATGGTGGACGCAAACATTAGGACACTCCCATCCCTCCTTAACCCTTGCTGCAGCTCGTGCGGCCGGACGATACGGTCATGTCATGTTTCCTCAGGCAACACATGAGCCTGCCTTGAAACTTGCTGAAAGGCTGTTGCATCATGGTCCCGGGCGGAATTGGGCCTCTCGAGTGTTTTTCTCCGACGATGGGTCAACAGGAATGGAGGTTGCTCTGAAAATGGCACTGAGGGCGTATTCTGTGCGAATGGGACTGCAGGGTATCGATCGTAAGAACTTGGGCGTTCTTGGGCTCAAAGGCAGCTATCATGGCGACACAATTGGGGCGATGGACGCGTGTGCGGAGGAAGGAGTGTATACCTGTGAATGGCACAATGCCAAAGGGTTTTGGTTCGACCCCCCGACGATTTCAATCCAAACAGGCGTCCCAGTCATTTCACTTCCTTCGGTCCTCGCAAAAGCTGCCGCGCCATCAGATACTTGTGCCCCATCCGACTCTATTGCTTGGGTCTACGATATGCCAGCTCGCCTAGAGACAAGACTCGCTCAAAGTTATCGAACATATATTTCACAGACACTTGACAGTCTTGAACAATCTGGTGGGCCGCGTCTTGCAGCTCTGGTGCTTGAACCTCTTGTTATGGGTGCTGGAGGGATGCTTTTCGTTGACCCCCTTTTCCAACGTGTCCTCATTGATGTGGTCCGTTCTCGTGATTCTGCGCCGGAATCCAAGACAGACTGGCGTGGCCTGCCTGTTATATTCGACGAGGTTTTTGTTGGACTCTATCGTCTCGGAGCGGAGAGCACCATCCCAATTCTGGGTGTTAACCCAGATATCTCCGTTCATGCCAAAATCCTCACAGGGGGCCTCGTACCGCTTGCGGTCACCATGGCATCGGACTCCATTTTCCAGGCATTTGTCAGCCAAGATAAGGCGACAGCACTGCTACACGGTCATTCGTATACCGCGCATGCTGTGGGCTGTGAAGTTGCAAACGAAACTTTGAAGTTGATCGAGAAGGAGAGCCAGAGCGCGGCCTGGAACGAGGCAAAAGACAAATGGGGGAACAGTGCTGCTTGGAGTTTATGGGACCCAGAGTTTATCAGGGCCTTATCGTCACTCGACAAAGTCTCAGAAGTGATGACACTGGGTACCGTTCTCGCGGTCAAAATGAAGGATGCCAAAGGAGGTATGTGCACTGCTGTGGTCGAAGTAAATCGTTGACCTCGGACTAGGCTACGTCTCTCATTCTGCACAAACACTGCTTCAGGACCTGAAAAACAGCAAAGTTGGTGCTAAAAACACGTATCCGCCGTTTAGTGTGCATTATCGGACGCTCGGCAACGTGGCCTATTTCATGACCAGCCTGAATACATCCCCAGAAACGATTCGCGCACTTGAGGAAAAGATCTGGACAGCGTTGCAGTCCGATTCAGCTGATGAAGAGCGTCGTAATAGACATATATAGACCATTTACTGTAGGAATACTCACTGAGGTTGAAGCACACTTACATAAACCAGTCATTCTTGGTTGGTGGTGATCGACTGCAAGAGGCCCCGGGCCTATTAGACTAGAGTGTAGAGAGGAACAAAAGAAACTAGTAGGTGACGAAGGGCTAGAAAAGGGAGAGTGGAGAAAATCTGAGTGTGCGAGAATGAAGGCAGAAGACATGCATTGACTTTGCATTGACTCTTCCTGTGCGTTAACCCCCAAAGACATCGGTCGCCGTCCGGGCCGGCAGAGCCGAAGCCGCTCACTTCTTCTGCGACTTGGTGTCGTAGCCCTGTGGAGAATTGGTTGGGGCGCGGCCGAAATCAACCCACGATGGAATGTGGGTGACTGGGGACCCGCCACGGGAGGAAGAGCCGTGCTGTGGGTGGTGCTGGACCGAGGGACCGGGGGTTATGGGTGGGCGGGGGGCCGGGGGCTGGGGCTTAGGGACCGCTTGGTAAGCTGCCTGGGTACTGTGCTTTGGCGGCTTCGAGCCAGAGCCTTGGCCAGAGCTGCTCTTCTTCTGATTAGAGCTCACGTTCTCCAGACGCACGATCGTTGCAAAAATCTGCGAGAGCGAGGAGTCAGGGTCGGGAATGGGAGAGTAGCTCCGCTTGGGGACAATGGGAGTATCGGGCATCTTTTGGAGTATTATACAAGATAGACGCTTGTGCTGTCCTGTGTGGACAAGCCTCAAGGTGATGTATGCGAGTCACGGCCATTGATGTCCATTCGCCGAGGTCGATTCCGGCAAGCCAGAAAAATTCGACCGCAGACTGAAGTCCATTACTACAAACGCTACAAAAAAAAAGAAAAATTCGACCGCGATCAGACGCCCCGGCCCGAAACGCCGATTCAGACCTCCCTCAAGCCACCAGCCAGTCATTCTGCTCTACACTGGTAGTCCGGCGATCGTGCTTCCCCTTTTCGTACACCGCTGGGGATGACCTAAGCGACTCTAAATTTGGCCTTGTGAACAAATCGTTCCGACAGTCTATGATGAAGCGACTTGTCTTCTCCCACCATGAGTCTAAGTGAGCATTGCTTCGTGGGTCAGTTGTCCGGCTTACAGCTTGGTCCTTGCGCTGACCTTGGATAGCTGTTACCCACGACGGAACACCGGAGGGTCCGCTTTAATCCCAACCTCCAACTCTAAAATTTCACTCAACGACGAATAGGCACGGTACAAGAAATCGGTGGCATCCAATGCTACGTTGCGACTCCCAACAACACGTATCCTAAAGAAAAAGTCCTGCTATACCTCTCAGACATTTTCGGCCTTGCTCTGCAGAACAATCGCGTATAGTTTTTATTGGGTCGATAGGCAAGGTCTGAGGCTTGTCGGCAGCTGCTTGCAGACGATTTTGCGCGTAATGGGTTCAAAGTGAGTGACTTTCACGTCGAAAGTCCTTAATCCTAACTTATAATGGCTCCAGACCATCGTGCCCGACCTTTTTGAAGGGGACCCCATTCTCGTTCAGCCTCCAGTACGTTTCTAGACTTCACACGCAACAAGTCTAAATTATCGCAGCTTGATTTCAGTCGCGAGGCTTGGGGCGCCAAACATGGACCTGCTCAGGTTCGGCCAATCATCGACAAGGTGATGGCTGCCTTGAAAGACGAAGGGGTCGTCGAGTTTGCTGCAACCGGTTTTTGTTTTGGAGGTGAGTTACAGGAAAAAAATTCCTTGCTATCTAGTAACATTCAAAGCTCGATATGTCTTCGATCTTTCATTCGAGAACCTTCTCAAGGTCTCCATTGTCTCCCATCCTTCGAGGCTTGTCGTCCCAGACGATCTGCATGTGCATTTGGCCGAATTATTTGCTTAGCTAAGCTCACCCTCCCACAGAAATATGTGGCAGTTTCGAAGTCGCCTCTGCTCATCAACAGCTGCGAAGTGGACAATCCTTTCCCCCTAGCCGCGCAAGCGCAAGCAGATGAAATCTTGGGTGGCGGCAAGTTTGCTCCAGGTTACAAACGGGAGTATTTTGCGGGATGTAGTCATGGCTTTGCGGTTCGCGGAGATTTGCATGACCCTCGAGTCAAAGCGGGGAAGGAGGGCGCGTTTAAGGCGTCCATTGAGTGGTTGGTGAAGTACCTGTAATTCTAAAGATGATATGGCGAACATCGCGGTGGTGTGACATGTCGTCTCAAACCTCGCCAGGTCTCTTTCTTTTCGACCACCACCATGCCAGTGCTCCATTCTCATGAAGTCAACCGTCGAGGCGAGCTCATGGTCAAGCTCTTCAATGTCAAACTCGTACCCTACGATGCTGCCCGCCTCCCAGATGACGTTTGGCTCGAGGTACACGGTGCCTTCTCGTCTCGCCGAAGTCTGATCTGTGCTAGATTATGCTCTCTTGTACTCCTCGCGAGCTCCTTGTTCTTCAAACTGTATCCTCACGATTGCATTCAATCCTCGCTGGGAACCCTCGCTGTTGGCCACAGGCTCGCAACAATATGGTTCCGCCAGTCCCGCCTCCTCCTCAAAACATCCTCGCTGCTGGAGTTTGGACTGAAGCTGCATATGCTCAACTAATATTTGGTGGTGGACCGTGCATCGTGCGTGTTCTCGCCGTTTCTCCAATAAATTTATTCAACCTCGCTTAGGTCAAACCATGCAAACGCTTCACGACAAACTTCCCACTTTCCTTCTCGTTACGAATCCGTGTTTGCTCGGTATGGTGTTATTGGATTCAGCTACTCAGACCCATACTGACGGAATCGAGTCAGAAACACTGCCAAAACGTTCTTTCGCGGCAAGTTTCCCCTTCGACGCTGAGACATTTCACTCATTTTGTGCAGGAACTACAAAGAAGATACGCGCAAAATTAAGAACGCTTATCTTACATCGGTGGGAATCCCAGGTCGTCGCGGCCTTCGTAAAATCGGTCAAACCCAACGACTTCACTTCCGTGACTGGCTGGCCTACGATGAGCGCAACTTGACACGTATACCCTTTTTCTGTGTTTCATTTTCTGGCGTCAATGAATATTCTTCAGAATTCCCGACCTACCGTGTCACTGTCCTTGCTGACGCAGACCAAGAATGGTGGGCGGCGCGTGCCCTTACGGAAAAACGCTCAGCGAAACCACCGGTCAAGGTTCCGCGAACCGTATCGCAACTCCAGGAGGTAAAGTCGAGTTGCGACTTACAGACAGACTCAAATAACAGCTCCTCAGCAATACCGACTGCGCGCAAAAGCTCTACCATCCATCATTCAAGTGCGTGTTATCCTGCTGTATCTCTGCAAACTTTTACACATTCTGTAGAACGCTCAAGCCCTTCAGAAGTGGGTCAAAGAGTACGAAGTTGCACGACAAGCGGTAGAGTTGGAGAACGTCCGATTGTGAGTTTTAATGCAGTTTGCGTTTACCGTTTTCAATGACCGAACGGTTCTGCCCAGCATGAAGGAGAGAATCAGTCCACGAGAACAGCTGCAGTATCGCAAGTTGCTCAAGACGCCCACGATGAGGCAAACGATGAAGCTGTATGGCGACTCGCTGGGGAAGATGGACGTCCGAGGTACGACAACTTGTTCGATACGCAGATTGACTCATTCCGGATATAGCCTGGTGCTCCGTTCGCCCTCAAGTTATCAAGGAGTACAAGATCGAACTAGCCGAATCGAGGAAGGCGTTGGCGGAGGCGCGCAAATCACAAGACCCCAAGCAACCGCCACAGCTTGCCGTCAAGGAGAAGGAAAATTTGGTTGCCATCTTGCAATCGATAAGTCCTGCGGCTCCGCGGCCTGACGCGCTGCAGGAAGTCGCCAAACTTGTGGAGGAGGTCCCGAAGTCTAATGCTTCACTGGTGCCCCGCGAGGAGTGCTTGAAGGCGTTCTTGCATGAGCGAAAGCGGATCTTGGAGCTACCTGTCCGACGCAAAGAGAATCGCTTACCCCTTGGCTCTTTGGACAACAACGATGATGGCATGACCGAAGCAGACGATGATATGGTTGAAGTCCTCATTCCGACCGGCCCTCGAGTTGATGAGGTAGAAGCACAGGACTGCTGGGCCGATTTCGAGGCGGCTCTGGCTGCAGACCCGGGCCGTGTCTTTCTTGATCCATTCTCGTCCTCGCCGGCAATACCTTCTTTTGACCTGTCTGGAAACGAGTTGGATCCTGTTGCAGCCATGACTTTGGAGGAATGTTGGCCTGGAGCGAGGCGGAGTCCTAGTATGGATGTCGACGAGGGGCTTGGATTTGGAGAAGTATCGATGGCGACTACTTCGGGGCGGTCTTTTGATTCCACAATCTATCACGGAGAACCATCGACAAGCGACGAGGTTGGAGAGGATGAGGATGAAGAGGAAGCGGACGACGACGACGACGACGACGACGACGACGACGACGACGGTTCCTCTTCCTCATCGTCGTCGTCTGAGGAAGAGTAAAGAACGGGGTTCATCTTATAGGGATTGGTGGATTTATTGGTTTATGTATGTTCTAGATTTGTATTTTTCTTAGGCAACTTGGCCAGGCTTTCTTCGAAAGAAAAGGTTTCAAAATTTGGTTGGTGTCAAATTTTTTAAACAAGTAATACAAACTCCCATTCGTATGCGTACTGTAACCACCATTCACATTGTTGCCATCGTGTCAACATTTCACGATCCGAACGCGCGAAGGGTGATATATATGTATGTTTTATCGGAGACGGCATTCCCAAAAAGGATAATCAGCTCGCTGACTTCTCGCAAGTATCCAGTTCTTTTAATGGGCTGCTGCTGGCTGACTTCGCGCACCTCTTCTCCTGCTTGTTCACAGTCCGGTCCGCATCCAATGCTATCACTGCCAGCGAAAACTAGATAGCTCGTCGTACTCTGGGGTCATTGGGTTGGTGAGTGGATTGGCTCTCTCTGAAGCTGCAACGTTCGACAGCTTGGGCTGGCAATGCGACGGAACTCTTGCGATTTGTGGCTTTGCCTTGAGTGGTGGCAGGCCCCAATCTAAAGGATTCCACTTGACGGTCCATATGATCATGAATCGACCTCAAGAGGTGTGAATATGAGAATGAGCTGGTGAAGCACTTCTTACCGCTGTCGTCTTCCCACTATTCAAGTCTAACCTTGAGAGCGAACGGTAACTCAAAAAAACTTTGGATACTCACGGCCGGCGCCGTTGAAGGCCTGGACCCTGGACGGCTATGAAGCAGCCTAGGATCCTTTGATTGTTAGGGCGGCCGCTCCAAATGTTCCACGACTCGGAAGCGAATACGAATTTTGAGAGAATCCACATCTTGCTGAACTTGCCAAAAGAGCTTCAGTGCAAGTTAATGAAGGCATCGTGAAGACAGTCCTGAGATGGACTTGAGCAGGAACATCCTCGACAAGAAATCATTCATTCAAGTTGGTGGAGGGGTACGAAAGCAAGTTCGATTCCGATGTCATGATGTCGTGTTGAAAACGTGCAACACGGTGCAAGACGCAGAGACGAGGAAGCCTTCAGGAGGTGAGGCCTAGGATGTTCAAGACCAATACTCCAGTTCACGGTGTGTAGTCATGATTATTCAAGATTTTCATCAAGTGCAATTTGTTGCAAGGATTCAGTATGCCTTCCTGGTTCCAAGTAAGTCGACCTCCTTGGGTCACATCCAAGTCACATCATGATAATGCTGATCCCATCATGAATTCAACTTAAGTTGCTTGCAACTTGCTCGGCGCCTGACGTGGTAGATAGCGAGACTTGCTGTTGGTGAGTATAGCCCGGAGCACCAGTAAACAATAAATAATACCTCCATCAAGAATCAAAGTTTTTGACACTAACCGGCGGTGCAGGATCGCCGTTTGCTTCTTGCCAATCTCTTTCGACTTTTCGGGACCAGCCAAACGATGGACACGCAACCCCAGAAACCGCCAAAGAAGCCCCCGGCATGCGATACATGCAAGGCTCGACGCGTACTGTGCCATCCACGACTCGATGGAGGCCCCTGCCCGCGTTGGTTAGTTGTTCTTATGCAAATTCTTCCTGGGAGGATGCTGTATTCAATGACTGGTATAGCGCAGAGAAGAATGAGATGTGCGTCCCTCCTCCCGTGCGCTTGCTTCGACTGAACAATCTCAAGATGCACAACAACGCCAACCCAGCGTGGTCGGCCGAGGAAGCATCCGATTCAAACTACCAAACCGGTGTTTGAAACGCGAATTATCAAGCTGCCGCAAAACCCCGGACCCGTCTTCCAAAGCTCTTTCAACGTCCCAGAACTAACGCCGGAGTTTGTGGCTCACTGTTTTGAAGGTGCGCGGATGTCTACCTAGCAAGTGGTTATTTACCTCACAACTCCAGTCATCCGGCTAATGCCGCAGTATAACCATCCACTTTTGGAAGCTTCCATGATCAAGAAAGACATCCGCGCCGCGTCGTATCAAATAGAGCTCCTGCATCCGCCATCTCGGGTTTTGGCGCTCTGCGTGCTGACTGCGGCCTCTCTCGCATCACCTCATCATTCGGTGTTGGGACCCGGGCCGCGTCCAGCCTCCCTCGCCGAATCGACTCAGTTTCTTGCAACAGCCTCTTCGCAAGACCTCCTTGCTTGTGGTATACGACGGTCAGCAACATTTCGGGCGCTCAGGAACGAGGCACTGAAGGCGGCTTGGGAGTGTGGTTCGATGCTCCAACCATCTGTCGAGAATGCTGCGTCCTGTTTTATGTTAGACTTGATGGAACAGGGTCCGTATGCGATGCTCCACGATACACATACTCAAGTTTGTCTCCAGTGGATTTTTCGGGTGTTTCGCGGCCTTGGGCAACTGCATATATGGCACATGTCCGTGCCCTTGCTCCAGGATGGCATGCGACAGGCTTCTCTGCAACCGATGCGACGATTTGGGGAGCTTTCATTGTGAGTTGTTTCTCTTTCAGCGCATCGCGACTGCTGACCATACCAATAGCTCTCAGAATCCATGATATCGGCTGCGCGAAGAATACCCTTACTCGTGTTCGTTTTTGTGTGTCCGGTTTCTATATTATCATTGACCTCGAACAGTACCCATCATGACCAACTTGTACTTTGTGGCGCTGAAGCCCAGAGTCTCTGTAGCTTGTTGTCTTCTCTGGAGAAATCGGAGCGAAACCAGTCTTTCGGGATGTTTTGGTCATTTCTGCAGCCTTGTTTGTCGTCTCTTTATATCTCTACTGCAGCCTGACGCAATCTAAAAGTCCTGTTTCATGTGACAACTCTTTCACGCGAACTCTCCGAGAAAATAGCAGGGGGTATGTCCTTTTGTGTATCGTCGTGACCTTTTAAACTTGAATTTCAGACTACGCCCGTCTTTCACCTCTGTCTGAAGCAGCAGTCATATCCTTCATAACATCCCTCGCATCGTTGCAATCCATCCTTGAACACATGCTGGAGCGCGCCGACTCCCTCCTTGCCGGCAGCACCCACTCTTCACAACTAACAATCGACACCGATCCCTCACGCCAAGATCTTATCGTTCGGTCTTCCGCTTACGCGCTCATTGTTGGCTACACTGGCCTTTGTTTGCCATTCTACCGCGAGCTCGAGTACCGCGACACGTATGCATCGGCCTCGATAACTACCAACGCCAACGCCCGCTCGCGAATAAAGCTGCTGCGGGAACAAGCACGCGAAATGGCGGGCCACGCGGCCCAGATGCTTGCGACCGGTCTGCAGCTTCTTCCCTCGGGGCAGTTCACGCCCGTGCATTACCACTCCATCCACGCGTGGGCGCAGTTCTGTCTGGAGGAGGCGGACTCATACGTGGACATGGATATGGACCTGGCGCGAACGATGGAAAGGTGGGGGTGTTGAATATTGAGGCAACTGCTCTTACTAATCATGGGTTCCGCAGCTTGTCCAGAGAGATCAAGCTCATGAGCTACTGTCTACATGGTATTGCCACCCCGACGGCAACACCGCTCATTGACCGGCTCGACGATCACGTGAAGCGGACTTACGTGCGGCAAGCGCAGCCTGTGACCAACTCCAGTGTCGGCCCGATGCCATACGACCAAGATATGGAGTCTTTCCTGACTTCCGTCGACCCGACAGTCAGTGGTACGCACCCTGCATTCGAGCTCTCCCCGGGAATAAACGTCCAGCAACCATACCTGACGACTAATGACCACCTACAAGCGTGGGACGGTTTGTCCACCAACTATATACCTCATTTGGATCCTTATAGAACTATTTGAGTTTTTATCGCTCATATAATAGATAAATTTATTTACTATAGTATATATTATGCACATCTTCAGTAGAACACCAGCAATTTTTGTTTGGTACACCAAGGCATACGCGTCTGAATCTCGGTTTGGGTTTGGGCTGGTAGAGCGTACAACTGAGGCGGGTGATTCGGTGGATTCTGTGGCACTGGTGCCCCAGAGAAGGTGATTTTTTTCAGGCGCGGAAAGGAGGTCGATGTGATTTGAGTCAGCAACTCGTCGACGAACGAGACACGTTTATGAGCAATGTGTTCCTGATCCGTCAGTAGAACGTCCCCGTCGTACAAGACAATAGAAATATATTCAAGGTTGCTGCCTTCATGAAAGCCACTGAGGAGTTCCAATAAGATGAGACTAGCTGAATCACTAGTGTGATGGATGTTCAGGTGCTTGAGAGCCTGGAGCTTGTCGATGGGAAGCTCATATGGGATGACTGTAATGCATGTCAGGAAACCAACTAACTGGATATGCGGGAGCCTGAGATGGAACAAAGCAAATGTGACAACGCACAGGCATGAGGTTTGTCCAAAGTCAGAGAAGTCAGGCAAGACGCGACAGATGGACGGGTCAGGTAGAAATTGAGATCGCCAATAGACGTTGAGGGCATATCATGCAAGATCAGCGAGGTAAACCGCCGTTGGAAGGCCGCTGACTCAGCAAACCGGCGCAGGTGGATGGACTGGTCGACCTCTAGCTGGTGCAAGTTTCGAGGTAACAACGACTCTGGAGTGGCAGTCTGAGCCCTCTCCGGAAACCATTGCATGTCCCCGCTTTCCGTCCGCCAATCCTGCGTCCGCAGTCGCAGCGACCTCAGACCTGGGAAGAGCACGAGGTACGCGAAAACGCTGTGAAGCGGGACGACGCCGTAAAACGTGAGAACCATATGTGTGATAGACGACAGTGCTTCATCGTAGTTTGTTGGCAGCCAGGCCTGCGTGAAGTGGCAGTCGAGGACGACCTGATGGGGAGAGACCCCACGGCCCATAACTTTAACCAGAATGTCTCCGGCAGAAAGCACTGGGGTACCATACGCTGGCCGATGTCGGATATGGATGCAGCGGATGTGTGGCGCCATCGTAGCGTGCGGGGAAGAGAGCAGCTGAAGAAACGGTTTGACGTTGTCTTGACTATGGTCGCGGATAAGGTAAATGGATTCGAAGCAGTGGTGCCGACAGCGAGACGTCCATTGGGAAGAGAGAAGAGAGAAGAATGGGAGAGAGGATGGACTGAGAGCAGCCAGATGGTCAATAATGAGGTCAGTCAGTTCAGTGGGTAGGGAGTACATGACAAACAAGAGAGAGAACAGATTGCATCAGGATTACATAGTTTTGATTAGATTGGTAACGTGATTATCTGTTTACGAAGTTCTCGTCCATTGGTAACTATCCCCCCTTGGATGCCTGTTGCTGCAATTATATGAAGGCAGTCCATTGGCACAATGGCCTGGCTACCAAGTTCAACTTCAGAATTATTCCGGGTTAGACTAGAAATAATCGTTCAAGTTGAATCTTATCAGAGTTGTGTCGAGTTTTGGATGCCGCTACTGGTACCCTGGGTTCATTTGATGTCGGACCACCCTAAAGAGGGTCGTGGCAGCTGGTGTCGGAGTAGTACGGGCAATTGGAGGGCTTCAAGTTGTTCAAGTTTCGTGTATGGAACTTGAAACCCGTCGTCTTTTGACAACTCGCAGGCTCTCAAGCTCCAAGTTCAAATAGTCGTCCGGGTCCAAGTCAGAAGACGACCGTTTCCTCCTGCACGATTCTAGATAAGGAATGAGAAGACCGATAACGGACAAGCTGGCTGGAATACCTGGGACAATTTGTTGTGAGGACCAAAAAGGTGCTGACATCGGATGTGTATTGATGATTAGGCGCACGGTTTCTTCATCGTAGCCGCCAGTCTCATGAGGGTATTTTCCTATCTTCAATCAAAAACAATGGTGGATCAGACTCAGGGTGACGTGCCGTTGCTCGGATCGCCCTTTTGTCCTCCCTGGCCTGAGCACGACCAAGGCATGTCGATATCGATGCAGTCCGCTTGCACAAAGCACGAATCTAACTCCAACTCCATGTCCACGTCACCGTCCACCCTGACAGACAAAGAGGACTGTGGCAACCGGTCGAGAGCGTCAGCACACTCAACTCCGCCGGGTTGCAGACATGGCTCTGCATGTAGTTCGGACTCTTCACCTTCGAGTTCGAAAATGGGCTCCAAAAACGTCTTGCTCCGCCACCTCTCTCCAAATCGCTGTCGAACCGTCGGGGTCCTCAGGCTTGCTTCTATGTGGACTGCAGAGAGCAGGAGAGCACGAAGCGGGCATCGGTTGAGAGTTTTCACAGTCATCGTGGAAGGAAAAGAGGAAGATACAGGGTTAGGCAGGAGGAACTTGGAGGTTGTTGGAGCTTTGTTGCCACCGCGCCAATGTTCGGACCCTGCGTGGGATACACGCGGAAAGAGCCTGTATTCAACCGCGTCTCTATCAGAGCGGACGCAGATGACGCCGAAACCACGCTGCTTGAGGGCCGGAGGAAGCGTGGCACTAGCCAGACCAGGCCACTTGGAGAATTGAGGCCGAGTCTAAGTCCGCTGAAAAGATCGCAACGGGACTGATGCCTTCTTCCGCTGAGCAGTGAACAGGAACTAACGTGGAGCTTTTTCCTGAAGTCGGCTTTGGTTTACTTCATGATCTTGTTCTGGTTTTTGTCACGGCGGTCACAGAATGGGCAAACATTCAGCTCGAAAGGTTTTTACAGAAAGATTACAATAGGGGTACAAGTGGTACAACCCACACGGGTAAGTCAGAGCAGCGTCCATGTCAATATCAAGTAATCATTTGTGGCGCGCCAACATCTCGAGCTCCCACTTGATCCTCGCCTCCAGCGAGTTTTCCACAAGATCCAACTCTGCATCGTCCGTAAGCCCTTTCATCTCTGCCGCCGTGTGAAGCGCAGCAAAGAAGCTGGGGAGAGCCCAGACGACCTTATCTCCCAGCGTCTTGGAGTATATGTCGCCGCGACCGCTCTCCAGGCAAATGTGGTCCAGCACCTTGCGGACGAACGCGGTGATCTGAGGCTTGCTCGCGTCAAACCCGCCCGCAACTTCGGCAAGAATGGCGTGCTTGGAGTCAACGTCTAATGCCCGCCAGGACTTGGAGATACTCGCATGGAAGGTAACATGAACTGTCGTGGGTGCCGCTAACCGACCGGTATTCTCGGGGAGACCGTTAGGATTGGGGGTGACACCTTTGATAGCGTAAACCTGGACAAAGTGGGCTGCGCGGGCCTTGCGAATGACTTCAGGGTCAGTGCCTTCGGTATCGAACCGCACAGGACATCCCTTGACACCACAATGCAGAACTGAAGCACTATATGGCGAGACAAAGGGCGTGATGGTGTCAGCGGTAACGAAACAGTGATCCAAGTCGTTCGGAACACCAGCCCACATTGCGGTTAACAATGGCTCGACAACACTTGCAGCTAGGTCTTCGGGCTTGGTGGTAGCCGTATGCATATGGACATCTGCTTCGGCCGCTCGTTGGAAATAGCCCTTGGGAGTTTGATGCGAGTCCTCAGTGGACAGTCGGAAAACGATGTCTGGAATAATGTCAGACAAGAAGTAAAGCAATTGAAAGACAGCTCACATTGGAGGGCGGACGCGTACCTCGAAAAGTCCCCGATTTGCTCAATCAACCGGGTCGAGCCAGGCGTACTCAGCCAACCCCGAAGTCTATGGATCGCGACATCAGGAGGGTTGATGGCGAGCGAGTTGTCACGCAAGTTTCGCGGAACACCTTCCGCATTAAACTCGGCAAAGACAATTTTGAGCAGGGCACGCTGGACGGCGAGCTTGTCGCCGAACCCCGACATCCGAGCCATATAAACCGTGACCATCTCGTGCATAAGTTTTGCGACACGAATATTGTCGGGTATTTGAACGCCATCCACTAATTGGAGCAGCTCCAGCAGAATCAGGAACCCAGGGACGGGATAGCGGACGGTCCAGCTCAATATTCCCTCTTCCGCAAAATTCTTCAGCGTCCACCGCAACGCCTGATGGAAGGGCACCCAAGGACCCGTCTCGTCGAAAGTCTCCCGACAAGACGAGTTTTGGATTAGGTTTCGCAGCATCCACATCATCCCAGCCCGTCGCATAGCTATTTCACTGTCATTTTGCTCATTTTGCTTCTTCGCCCACTCTTTCTGACGCATCGTCTCCAAAAGCACACTCATTAACACCTGCGTCAAGCCCGACGCTCCCGTCGCCAGACCACCAGTGAGGACTGTTGCCAGACAGTTCGTTATGTACTTGCGGTTGACACCGTCAAACTTGGTCAGCGGAATGACGGCGGCAATGGCTTCGTTGTACATCGTCGCTCGATCGGGGTCGAACTGATACATCGCCAACGCGCATTGGAAGCAGACATTTTGTGCACTGATGACATTTGCGTTGGGAGCGGAGGCACCAGCAGCAAGCGGGAAGTTGAGCGCAAAGTCGCTTGTGTTGTCGGCCGGCCTGTCCGAGGATTTGAGGGCGAACGACATAATGACATCGTCGTCGCAACAGATAGAGCAGGTTCCTCGGAAGGCTTCAACGTCTGCGTCAAGGTTGAGCGTAGACAACTGCGACTCGACATCAGCACTGCTGACAACAGCAGCACGCATGGCGCGATTTGATCGACGATCAAGAATGTCCGCCCCATAACCAGATTTTTCGAGAGCCGTTACCACAGCCAAACACCGGTTAACACGGGGAAGTAGGGGAGAGGGGGCATTCTCCGCAATTCTTGTTCGGTAGTCAGCAAGGTTGTTTTGGTGGGCAGTTCGTAGTTGCTGACGAAGAGAGGTAGAGTCTGCAGAACCGGGATCCTGTCGTATTTGTTGCAAGAGGGCAGAAGCGCCAGAGATATCACGAATCTCGATGACAGATGCTCGTTCTTTGCGTGCAATAAGCCAAGCTCGAAGCTGAGGCAACAGATCGCGAGTTTTGCAGAGAAGCGCAAGGGCATCGAAAGTATCTTCTTCGAGCAAGTCGATGAACTCGTCTTGGGAAATGCTCGTTGGGCCCATTTCCGCCAAAAGAAGATCGATGTCCACGAGACAGTTGTGCTTCGCCTGCCACGTCCGACCCAAATCAACAGCGCCTCCCTGAACACGATGCTGGACTCCGATGATGTTGACATCCTTCAGGGCTGTTTTGAACGCGTCTTCATTGGGGTATAAAGGAAGGCTCTTCCAGTCCTCGAGGTCGATCGTAAACCCATCCACAAGTGACTCGAACGCGCCTTTGGCCGACAAGACGTACATCTCGCCCATTGCCTGGTTTTTGAAGATGATAGCGGCATCGGAAGCAGACGCAAATACTGACACTCCAACAGATATATCGATGTCAGCAGGGCGAAGACCAGCGCGGTTGACGATGACGAAGACAACGGGGGTGTTGGCCATCCCAACGTCAAGTGTTCTTCGAGCGAACTGAACAGGACTTCCAACCTCGCCGTCGGTGAGCAAGTACCACATATCACAGCTTTTCAGTTCGCTGGTCACGACAGGGAGGGAAAATAAGACCTCGGGACTCGTTCCCCAGCTACATGGAGTTCAAAAAGATGTCACAATAGCGGATTGAAAAACTCACCTGCGATGGTTCCAGGTTGTCTCCCCTACCGAGACGGGTTCAGTGACTGAACTGCCCCACATAACGACGGACGCTGGGTATTGGTAGCCGTCCGTCATTCCCGTGACAAATTCTCCCTCCTTGCGCATCACAGCACCAGCGGTCGAGCCTGACGCATCGACGGCGAAGCAGATTTTTGAGGCCAGGAGTGGCATGTAGGTAGGCGCAGCCGCCGATGCGGCGGTGGGTTGCTTCCAAGCCATGTTGAGGGGAAGTAAGGAGCGAGGTCGTTTTTATACAACAGTAAGGAGTTGTGTCGAGTCAGGAGTGTGGTATATGATGCTCATTGACTTGATGTATGCAAAGCCGCCCGCATAGCGTTAGGCCAATCATCTTGTTGTGAAAGACACAACACCGACGTGAAGGGACTTGAGAGAGGAACACTTTGAAGCGTGACACGAGGCAGGTAATTTAGATAATCCTTCTGCGCCGTTATACATTTATATAGAAAATATATTCTGGTAAGAGGTCTAGGGTTAGGGTTAGGCCAGCTAACCCGCATAAAAAAATGAATCCCCTGACGACACAAGCCAGTAGTGCAGCGGCAAGGTCATCGCGCCGACCTGTTGCAAGCAGAGCAGGACAGCTGGGGCGGCAAAAATTAGATAACCAATAATAGCCACGGTGTGGCCATAAAAGTGGTTAAACTTTTAAGAACAGATACTACACTTGATCTAAGCCAAAAGGCCAGAGTGGTAAAGAATCGAGATGTCTGACCGTTGCTTTTGAGGAAGCAAGACGACGCACAGACCAGGCGCCAGGCACGTGCAACTCTTCCCATCAAAAATTCCCTCATTTTCAATACGCATCAATTGATCAAACCCTGCGCACACGTGACACAAGCGACAACGGCTTGTCAAAATTTACAACCACTATCGTCGAGTTAAAGAGAAATACAATCGTGAAGCCTCAGCTAGCTGCATGTCCTTCCCCAGATCATGTACATTGTAAAAAGTCGAAAAACAATATGTCTTACATATTATAATGCTACTGACCTACTCGCTTCACCATCTCAGCACCTGAATCTTTTGCCGTGCTGACCGCATATCTAAGCCTGGCGCAAGTCACATCGGCACTATGAGCTGCGGCAACTCAACCTTTATCGATACAAGCAAGGCAAAATAAACACGTACCCTACAAGTAATTAGAGTGAAGAAGATATGCAGTGAAAACCAGCTTTTATATTGGTGTAGCAGATGGCGGGTGTAGTCGAAAAACTGGCAGATGAAGGTGAGACAACTTCTTTCGAGCACCCCGCCCAAGACGCTTTTTGCAGGTGAAAGGCTCCTGGCTCATCCTCGGTAAGACCCTAAAAGGCTGAATCACTTTGAAATCGTTGATGTCCAAGATTCCAGCTTACAAGATACAAGCAATCTCTCACCACCCCGTAGTATTTGATTTATGGTTCTCAATTGAGCTGATTTGCCAAACGTGCGCTCGAGTTTGGAATAAGTAACCAAACGAAAAGGTTTGGGAGTGAGATGGGAGTATAATCTAGTAGCAACAATATTGAGTTCATGCGTTCCCAAATCTCTCAAGAAAGGCTCACCGTGCGCGTTTGCAGTCTGAAGATCTAGATGTCTCTCGACTTGACTGTTACTTCGCGAAGAGTTTCGAATTGCATTGCGTTGTCTCTAATGCCAGCAATCGAGATACAGTCGCAGCCCACAATACGCTGTTGAGAGCACTGGCACGTATTTCATTCTCCTACAGTTCAGTTCAGTTGGGTTCCGAAGACGTCGACAACCTGCGAAAAGATATCATCAGGCTGTTCCAGCATGAACCGAATCCAAAAATGAGACACGCTCCGTCAGATTGCAAATTACGCCCCTCATACTGTCGGCGGTTACAGAGCACATGCGCTCGTAAACGCAGCACGACACAGTTCGTCAGGAAACTAGTGCTTGTTTTCCTCTTCGGCAAAGAAAGGGATGGATGGGACCCGAACAAACTTACTATATGGGCATTGCGGCCTAATGATGGGGTTACATATACTCAGCCCGAGTGAGCAAGCCGTTGGTGGAAGTTCGGGAAGAGGATATCTTGGGGGTCCCGCGGTCACATGCACACACTTGTCAAAACAGGACTCCAGCTGGACGCAAATTCAAACGCAGAGGCGACCAATCAGCGCGTGGTTCGAAAGGCGGCTATATATACAGTGGCTACAAGTACAATTGGTTGGGCTACAAGTTCAATGATACAAAGAAAAATCAGAAATCAAAAGCAGCGCTCTTCCAGCCCTCGTTCTTGCGTTCGGCTGCCGCTTCACTCTCCACCGTCCGCTGGAACGACCGAATTTGCTGCTTCCCCTCATCCGCCAGGCCATGCAGCTGTGATTTAACTTGTTGCGCCGCATCCTGACCGTCTTTCTTTGCGTCCTTCACATCGATGCCGAGGTCTTCAACTTGGCCCTTGACGGAGCTGACCGCCTCGTCGACTTTGTGCTGAACACTGTCCGACCCCGTGCCCAATGGCCCTCGTTTGTCTCCACTCAACACCTGCGGCTCCGCTCCCATCGCAAACTTGGCCCCTCCTTGGTCGGGGCCGCAGTCAGGCACCGCAAGAACAACCCCAGTTCCGGTAGCCTTCCAACCGCTCCGTCGTTCTCTTTGCAAACGGCCTAACTCAGACCAAACAGCGCCGACAAACGCAGTCCCGCTGCCCGCACCAGCGTCCTTGAAAACCTCCGCTCGCCGACCTACATCCCAGGCAACACCTCCGAGCCAGTTCAGGGACATCCGCAAATGCTCACTCAGCGCTTTGGCAAGCGCTTCGCGGAAGCGCATGTTGAAGATGGGCTTGAAGATCGCGAGCATGATTGCGTGGTTGCTCTCGCGCACAGTCAGCTCGACCGAGTCGGAGATCTGCACATCGAGAAGCTCAATGTGGTGGTATGCTCGCGCGGCTTCGCGCTCTTTGGCAGATGGAATGAGTCGGACTTTGATGTCGATATCAATGCCCTGTGGTGGCATCGTGAGCTCCAACAGGCCGGTGAACTCGTTGGGCGGGATAGAGGATGTTTTGTCCTTGTAGAAGAAGGAAACATTCCTGAGTGCGAGTTGGACGGCTTGCAGACGGATATGAGTGAAGCCGCCAACACCAGCGAAGGTCTCTGCTTTTTCAGTGGTGCGAACGTCGACATCGGTAATGTTGCGGATGAAGATGTGGGCCGGGTTGAGCCCAAATGAGGAGACATCAACATTTTCGAGGACAAGCTCCATGTCGTTGTCAACATACTCGGTTCTGGGAATCGGAATGTCTTTGAGCATCGCGAGGAACCTCTGTTGATAGTGTATTTAATTTCTTGGTGAAGCAAAAAGGAAGAGAATCTCACGGGAGCATAAACAGCGAAAAGATCTCGCCAAAACCAAGCTGCGCGTTCGAGAACTGCTTGGACTCCTGTCTCTGCCTCTTCACTCGCCTCAACCAAACCACTTTCGACGTCCTCGCCAAACTTGATGTGGGCATCCCTGACCCGCTTGATATCTTCATCAGAAGCGAGCGCAGCAAAGAAAGTTCGCAAAGTCTCCTTGAGCTCGGCCCAAGTGCGGCCAGCGTCGCTTTCGGTGTCAAGGATATATTGACCGCGTTGACGAAGATCGTGGCGGACAACACGCGCTCGCTGAGAACGCGGATATTCAGGGTCATCCAAACTCCGGCGCAAGTGCTCGAAGAATTTGTCGACCCAAGTCTTTACTTCAACAGAATCATCGCGCACGGCCGAGGAAAAGTTCTTCGCTTTTTGTAGGACATCATCGACCGAGGTTTTTGGTTCGGCTAGACGATTAAGGAGGGTTTTGAATGCCTCAAGAGCCTTGTGGACTCTTTGATCTGGCGATTCGTCGATAACAAGGGTGTCGAAGGACCAAGGCTCGTTGGTGGTATTTTCGAAAGACTTGTCGACCCATTTATGGACAGTGTCGAAAAGGGTGGATAGTGAATCATGGTAGGCGGGATCTTTTTGAGCTCGTTCGCAAGCCTAAGAGGCAGGATGTCAGTAGTGCTTCGACATGCTGGGCAGAAATAGACCTTGTAATAAGCATCTTGGAGGCGACTAGTGGTACGGTCGGAGGTAGCCTCGGCCTTTTGTTTGAGAGTTTGACCGGTGCCAATGACGGTTGAGCCGGCACCCTTCAAAGTATCCATCCCGTGTTCAAAGGCGACTTTGACATCCTGTTCTTCCTCGAGACGCTTCTTGTCGCGGCCCAGATTATCGCGCTTTCCGTCTTGAACTTCCTGCTCGACGTCGCGCAACCCCTCCTTAGCACGACCCGCTTGGCCCTCGAGAGCCTCTGCGGCATCAGCAAGAGTCAACCGCATGAAAGAGGCGAAGTCGCTCAGAAGGAAGCCGCCTTCAGAAGAAATGCTCTCCCAGACAATGGAAATGATTGTCCTGAGAGAATCACGAACGGCGTTGGCGTCAGAGGAGACTTCTTTCTTATTGACGAGCTGCTCAGGAGTATCGACGGCTACATCGACCTCGGTCTGGGAGAGATTCCAGAGAGCCTCTTGTAGAAGATTGTCGTCTGGGCAAAAAATGATGAGAATTTGTTCCGTGTAAACAAGTATTAGCCAACGTACTGTTCTTGTTAGCGCCCAAAGTCTTGTACGCCTCGAGAATACCGCGAATATCTCTGGCGAGCACACGGCCCTGACCGCTAAGGGTGTCTTGAGACGGTTCAACACTTGGGATAGCTGATTTGGTAAGCCAGTCGATAAAGACGTTCAGCTGTTGGGTGGTGGGGAGCTTTCCTGCGTCGAGCGCAGCGGTGACAGAGGTAAGGTTGTCCATAGTTGAGAATCGGATTTCGCTGCGGAAGCCCTCATCCTTTTGTAGGTGGGTAATCAGGAGCGATGAGGTGGCCAAGTGCTAGACATGACGTCGAGTGTGGAGAATGCACTGATGCCTTCACAGATGACGAGCATTTGGGAGTCTAGCTCCCTCTCCAAAACTAGGGCCATTGGCGGAACGGAGCTCGGATGAGAATGCAGGAGGCGCAGAAGCAACGCAGAAGTATGTCTTCGACTGTCTTCGAGCGGTGCTTTCGAAAAAGTTGGATGCGTGACTCTCAGTCACAACGGCACGTGAGACTAAGTGGATCAACTGATGAAAGCAAGCACACCGGATTTGGTAAAATATCCCTTGAAGTAGAAACTGTTCTAGATTCTGGTAGAATCTAGAACCAAATCAACCTGTGTAGATTTGCCCAGAATATACTTTTTGGAAACTGAGATTGATTTTGGTCAAATATATACTAGTTTTAGCAAGTTTGAAGTGAAAACTATCTATGGCACTGAAACTATGCCTGAAATGGTTCATATCTGCGCGCATATATTTGGTCATGATATCACGCGCATCAAATGTGGCGAAACTGTCAGTGAAATAAAGGATTTCACTGACAGTTTCAGCATGGATGATACAAAGAAAATCAGCAGTGGAGAAATGCACATAGATTCTCTTTGTTTCTATTTGCATTTCTCCACTGCTGAAACTGTAGGTTTACAGTACAATGAAATCATTGTTGAAATCTTAAATTTATTCATGTCAGAAATTGTGATTAAAACTGTCAGTATATACATTGGAGAAATTGTAAGAGATATTGTATGTATATCAGTGACTTGAGGGTCAACCCTCAAGTTAACCCTCAAGTTAACCCTCAAGTCAACCCCAAGGGTCTGACCTCCGGGTAGACCCTACAAGTTCAGTCTCCAGCTACATATTCAAATACATAATTAGTGTCAATAGGATAACAACTTTGTAATGACTTTACACAAACTTTCTAATAAATGTTACCAGATTGTAGGAACCCTTAATACATGTACTATTCAGTTTAGACTTATGTTTCAAAGTCAATGGTTGAGTCAGAAAATGCAAATTACTGACCCAACCCTGAGTTTTCAAAATAGTGGTAGGGCCATATCTCAATGAGTTCTTATCCGTTCTCAACATGTTATATATGAGCAGGAAGGTATTCAATAGGCCTACAAACTGGTATTTAACATAAAGTTCATTGCATACAAAATCACAGACTTTATTACAAAATATATTTTGACTATTAGATTGTTAACCCAATTACTTAATGGTTTCTAGACTTTTCATTAAAAGTTAGATATAGTCAGAAAGGTATTTCAAAGTTCTACAAACTTGATTTCAACCCTGATATGGTTGATTACAAAACCACAGACTTTCACTACAAGTTAAGGTTTATTGAATTAACTTCAAAATTCAAAGTCAACCAAATGACTCCATATTGTATATGGTAGTAGAGCTTCATTGATTGAGTAAGTATTCAGTTCAAACCTATTCAAAATTCATAACCATTGACTCACAGAAGGTGAAATACTCACAAAATATCAACTTTGTTACTTTAGGGCTAGCCTGGCTCAAATAGTATTAGCACTAAATCCCTCTTCCCATTTACTGCTTACCACTTGTAGGGTCTTACCACTTGTAGGATGGAGCACAGGTATAGCTCTGAGTCTGCTTAACTTGACTCAGACCCTGACTCTGACTCTGACTCTGACTCAGACCCAGACCCTGACCCTGACCCTGACCCTGACTGTCACAGATAAAGGGCTGCTGGGTCTGAGTCTTGAAAGGCAGACCCTGACCTTAACAAACCCTGCCCCTTCTGGGTATAGGTCCAACCAGGTCTAGGTTGACCTACAGGTCACAGATATGGAAGCAGAAAACATGTTTAGAACAATAATTTATATGTTTTGCTATATTATCTTGTGCCAGATATAGTATATGTAGCCTATCTCTCAAAATCTATAGAGTATGATCAATACAGTTCACTAATTATGATATGTTAAGTCATATAAGTGACTTGATTTTTCAAAAAAACAATTATAAAAATGAGATTCAGATAGTCAATTGTTACATTACAACTGCCTATTGCCCCTTTCTAGTTGATCTTGAAAGGGTCCATGTTTGGCCAGGTTCAGAAGTTGGTGAGGTAGAGCATGGGTCAGGGTCTCAGGGTCAGGGTCAGGGTTAGTATACCCTGACCCTGATTAGTATATCCTGCCCCTGACTCTGATCATGACAAGCCCTACCTGACTTGTACTCCACCCTCATCTTGTATACATAGATATGCATATGATGAATGAGGTAAGTATATACCTCTCTCAGTTCCTTTGTGCATTCTAACATGAAACCCTGCCACTTCAACCCCCCACTCATGCTTTCTAGGGAGAGTAAAATGTGGACAATGAAAAGGACCAGGATGGAACACAAGAAGGCTTATAAATACTAATTGTATTATATAACAATGATGATTTGAGCTTTTTGAATTGTATCAAATATGATATAGGTGTTAACCTGGATCAAGTCAACCTTACCCACTAGGGTCAGGGTTAAGTAGGGTCAGTGTCACAGATAAGACCTGGCCTGTTCTCTCCGAATCTCTCGGGCACGCGCCTCTGACCTGAAGCCTGATACTGACGTTGACCCTGACTGTCAGGGTTCAGGTTGGGCTGTGCAAGACTCCTCTTGAGAAACAAGTGCCTGGAACAGAATAGATATTTAAGTGGGTGTCAGTGTCAGGGTCAGGTCATGTCGACAAGGCCCAATGAGTCGGTGTCAACTTGGTGATGCCTCCTTGTATAGGGTGAGGTAGTATAATAGGTGATCTAAGCAATGGAGTATGGTGTATACTATCACACCTTATATATGTGGCCCTGCTGAGGGGTGATCAGCTTGGTCCCTTGTCGCTGTTGGTGGTCAAAGGTTTGAATCGGGTCGTGTCAGGCCTGATGAGTTGGTGATTCCTCTTTGCACGGAGAGAAGCGGTACTTTAGAGACAATGTAAGCAATAGAGTACATAGTACACTATTGTGCCTTATATACGCAGGCCCGCAAAGGGGTGATCGGACATCCGACACCCTAGCCTCTCCTGCTCCTCCTCGCCCTCATTCCTGGCCACAGAGGGGACGATTGTATATCCCTTGCGGGCCAGGCGCTACTCCTAACCTCCTAGCACTCCCCCCCAGTCCCTGGTGTTGGGTTGGGCTCGGCAACTGCTCGACACATTGTTCTCGGTCACGTGCTTCCCACATGTGCGTTCCTCCAACTGGGGCGCCCGTTCCCCATTGTCATGTGCTGTATGTTGCAGGCTCGTGATGGCCCGACACCAGCGCCGGAGCGGACAGGCCAGGTCTTATCTGTAACAGTCAGGGTCTGGGTCTGGGTCAGGGTCAGGGTCTGGGTCTGGGTCTGAGTCAGAGTCAGAGTCAGAGTCAGGGTCTGAGTCAAGTTAAGCAGACTCAGAGCTATACCTGTGCTCCATCCTACAAGTGGTAAGACCCTACAAGTGGTAAGCAGTAAATGGGAAGAGGGATTTAGTGCTAATACTATTTGAGCCAGGCTAGCCCTAAAGTAACAAAGTTGATATTTTGTGAGTATTTCACCTTCTGTGAGTCAATGGTTATGAATTTTGAATAGGTTTGAACTGAATACTTACTCAATCAATGAAGCTCTACTACCATATACAATATGGAGTCATTTGGTTGACTTTGAATTTTGAAGTTAATTCAATAAACCTTAACTTGTAGTGAAAGTCTGTGGTTTTGTAATCAACCATATCAGGGTTGAAATCAAGTTTGTAGAACTTTGAAATACCTTTCTGACTATATCTAACTTTTAATGAAAAGTCTAGAAACCATTAAGTAATTGGGTTAACAATCTAATAGTCAAAATATATTTTGTAATAAAGTCTGTGATTTTGTATGCAATGAACTTTATGTTAAATACCAGTTTGTAGGCCTATTGAATACCTTCCTGCTCATATATAACATGTTGAGAACGGATAAGAACTCATTGAGATATGGCCCTACCACTATTTTGAAAACTCAGGGTTGGGTCAGTAATTTGCATTTTCTGACTCAACCATTGACTTTGAAACATAAGTCTAAACTGAATAGTACATGTATTAAGGGTTCCTACAATCTGGTAACATTTATTAGAAAGTTTGTGTAAAGTCATTACAAAGTTGTTATCCTATTGACACTAATTATGTATTTGAATATGTAGCTGGAGACTGAACTTGTAGGGTCTACCCGGAGGTCAGACCCTTGGGGTTGACTTGAGGGTTAACTTGAGGGTTAACTTGAGGGTTGACCCTCAAGTCACTGATATACATACAATATCTCTTACAATTTCTCCAATGTATATACTGACAGTTTTAATCACAATTTCTGACATGAATAAATTTAAGATTTCAACAATGATTTCATTGTACTGTAAACCTACAGTTTCAGCAGTGGAGAAATGCAAATAGAAACAAAGAGAATCTATGTGCATTTCTCCACTGCTGATTTTCTTTGTATCATCCATGCTGAAACTGTCAGTGAAATCCTTTATTTCACTGACAGTTTCGCCACATTTGATGCGCGTGATATCATGACCAAATATATGCGCGCAGATATGAACCATTTCAGGCATAGTTTCAGTGCCATAGATAGTTTTCACTTCAGACTTGCTAAAACTAGTATATATTTGACCAAAATCAATCTCAGTTTCCAAAAAGTATATTCTGGGCAAATCTACACAGGTTGATTTGGTTCTAGATTCTACCAGAATCTAGAACAGTTTCTACTTCAAGGGATATTTTACCAAATCCGGTGTGAAGAGGTGTCAAATTCGGGCGTCCAGCCTATGCGAGATCAAACGTAAATTTGATTGGCAGCTCCGGCGCACCGCCATCCATCGCCGGCTCACCACACCAGTTACCTATTGAAGCAACCAAAAATATGTGAGTTAGTCCAAATTATGGACATTTTGACTGTTCAACCACTAGTGCTGGGCTTTTGTCTCCTCCAATAGGTTATTATTCAAACAATGTCATTTCTGGTTGAGCTCCGGACCGCCTCCGGTGGCCCCAAATCAAGCCTGCCGGTCCCGGCCGCCATCAACTTTACGTTTGATCTCGCATAGGCTGGACGCCCGAATTTGACACCTCTTGGATGAAAGTCCAATTACATTCTCTTCGACTTTCGAATGCGCGAACGAATCACAGACCAAGATAGGACTCCTCAGCAACCTTTGAAAACCACATTGCTCGCTCCTAACCACCCTCAACATGGCTTGGAATCAACTCGCCACCCGGCTACCTATATGCCACTTCTAGCCTCAAAAAACTGTTTCGCGGTGGACGCATCGGGCTCTACCGCTGGCGCTGATATCGATATCTCCGTCGGAGTGTCGGTATTTGCGTCTGCTTCTGATTCCGCTATTGTCTTCAAAAGCCAGTCGACGGGCGAGATCTACGTCTTGTCGGCCAAAGGCGCGTTCGAGTCACTTGTGGATGGGTTTATGATCGACCTCGAGAACTGGAAGAGTCTTCCTTTATACCCCAATGAAGACGCATCCTGAAGGACGTCAACATCGTCGGAGTCCAGTGTCGCTATCCTTAGGCTTCGGGATTGGCTGAATATCCTGGCTCGACTATGTAGATTGATCGAGCACATCGCCGGCGAGGACTTTTCGAAGCACGCGTCTGCATTACAATGTGAGCTGTTTTCCAATTGCGTTACTTCCTCAAGTTCTTCGCTGACATTCAAGTTGTTGTAGACATCGCTTTCCAACTCTCCACTAAGGACTCGCATCAAACTCCCAAAGGCTATTTCCAACGAGCGGCTGAAGCAATGTCCATATGCATATTGCTACCACCAAGCCCGAAGACCTAGCTGCAAGCGTTGTAGAGCCATGGCTAACCGCTATGTGGGCTAGTGTCCCGAACGACCTCGATCACTGTTTCGTCACTGCTGACACTATCACGCCGTTTGTCTCGCCATACAATGCTTCAGTTCTGCATTGTGGTCTCAAAGGATGTCCTGTGCGGTTTGACACTGAAGGCACTGACCCCGAGGTGATTCGCAACGCAGCCCACTTCGTCCAAGTATACAGCCTGAGTATCAAAGGTGTTACTCCCAATCCCAATCATGATGGCCACCCTGCGAACACCAACCGCCTAGCTGCACCCACAACGGTCCGTGTTGCTTTTCATGCTGGTGTATCCAAGTCGTGGCAAGCCCTCGATGTTCATGCAAGGCGGCTCAGTATCCTCGCCGGAATCAAATACGGCGCAGACACAAGCAAACCTCTTTGGAAGAAATTCGTCGAGATCACATTTGCCTCCAAAAATATTTTCTTCAAAGCGTTGCGTGACAAAGTCATCTGGGGCCTTCCCAGCTTCTTCGTTGCTCTCCACAATGCGGCAGAGATGAAGGGGCTCACAGACGATGCCCAGCTGGAATTCGTTGAACGATCGCTCCAAGCTAGAATCCAGTGGGAGCTCGATATGTTGGCGCGTCACCGGTGACTTTTAGCATAACTTGATTGAAGCATTGTCCTCATTTGAGATAAGATAACAAGCTGAAATTTCATCTTTGTCTACAAGGGATAGGGATAGGGATAGAATTACAAGGGGTGTCAAGGGCCGCTCTGGAGCCAAATACTTATGGATCAGGTTGCCAAGTGAACGCCATTCTCTTGAATTCAGTTCTTATCTAGCTTGTTCATTGTACCAACGGTGCCTGTCGAATGGAATCCCCCGTCGCCCGTTCCCCATCTTTTTTACGTCTCCGACATCGGATTCGGACCGAACTTCGAATTCAACGACGCGTTATCGCGAGGGAGTTGCGCATCAATTGCAAAACGCCGCCTTGTTGATGCAATTTTTTTTCTTTTTGTACATAAGACATGTTTCCTGCGAATCCTGCCCGGTTGCAAAGGCCGTTGAGCCATGTCGAAAAAGCTAGAGGAGTACCCTCATTCAGCTCGGGGTGAGATAGCATATTACACTTCAGAAGCACGTCAAAGTGGTCGTCATCATCGACGCTTATCTGTTCCGCCCACCTTTACCAAGTATGCATCGTCTTTAGGTCTTGTCTTGTTTCCTACTCTCATGCTTTCGAGTAGAGTCCATGCCTCCCTCGCGCTCACCGGCATAATTGCGACCGCGCAGTCCCCCGAATCTCCGCGAAACCGATCCACCTCTTCATTCGACCCGCCCCAATCATTCTTCCGGCCTGCAGTCACTGCGCACTCTCATTCGACCCCTTCTTTCACATATACCCACCGAATGGAGCCCGACTCAGATGCTCACCATACCACTACGGACGAGGAAGACGATGTCGATGTCATTTACACCAAAGCCGTCCGTCACGCCTCCACTCTTCGTTCACGCATTTTCGGCCCCGAACGGGTCGACACCATATCCACCGACCCAGACTTTCGTGGCGCAGGCGAGACGGAAACAGAGCTCGACGAACCAGTGCGTTGTTTGGTTTCCCCCCGATGGGTAACATTTTTGACAAGGACATATCTTTTGCTTTGCAGCCCTGCCATCTTCCGACCTCCCGAAAACGACCCGCACCTGCTCCCTTAGTCCCCCCAGGCACCCTTGAACAGCGCCTTACCCCGCTCCTTTTCGAACTCTCTCGTCTGCTTGCGATTGTGCCTGCCCTGATCGGCACCGCGTACAATATTTTTATGTTCTACAACCCCCCATCGGGTCCCCGCGCACCAGAACGTATCGACTACCTCGTCTCCGCTCTCTGGGTGAGTTTGTTTTCTTTCTCTTCACATCTTTATCTGACACCCACCGAAGTCAATCCTCACAGGTTACCAATGCCTCGCACTAACCACGGGCCTGCTTACCCGCTGGCGCGTCTACTACCCGCCCCTCGCAACGCTCATCCGCCTGCTCGCTTTGCAGGCCATCTGCTGGCCAGCAACCCACCTGTCACTCACTCTTCTCGACCATACCCGACGGCCAGCCGCAGTCTGGGCCGCAATCGGCACGACAACCTGCATGAGTCGAAGCGTGCAGATTTGGGTGACCAGCAATCTTTGGTGGGATCCCCAACCACGCCCACGCCCGCCCCCGCCGGCCAACAAACCACAGCCGCCCAAACCCACCAAGCCAAAGAGCCACGGAGGCTGGCGTCGGTTTGGCGGACGGTGGGGCGGGAGGAGATGGGACTGGTACGAAGTCGGGGTCCATTGCATGTTCCCCGCTGGCTGCGTGTACTTCGTCATGGCGTGGGCAGAGCAGTTTCGCCGCGAGTGGTCTGGGTGTTGATAGTGTTGGAAATCGATCTCGGGTTTTGCTGTGGTATCTTTATTTTGTACTTCACCTTCGCCAATCAAATTGCTACTAGAAGCTTCCTGAAGCAGTCAATATTGCCCTACAGAATAGGTAAGAATCTTACCCTTAAATGATGACTCGGGATCAAGATCTTATCTCGTATCTCCTCCAGTCCAATTCTTCACCATTGACTATTGGCCAAAAAGATTATGCAGCGGGTTTACACTCGGTGAGGGAGACTTGTCATGGAACTTGATGCCAAAAGATATTAAGCACTAGGCAACTTGGACCAGGACATGTAGTAGAATTGGTATCTTTCGCCAATTTTCGTCCCATTAGCACCTCCAAGGTTAAAACAAAGATTAAATACACCAGCCCACTGCACTAGTCACCTCCCTTACCCCGCGCCGCTCTGATAGTTGTAGCGCAAGATGTAAACACTCTCGCTCCCGTTCTTTCCGCCGCTGAAGCCGATATGCCTTGGCCAAGAAAAACCACACTTCAGGAACATCCCACCCCGGCCCGCGCGACAGATGGGAAAGCATTCCGGCCACAAGATCGACGGTGCTCGGCTCTATTGACGCCTCATCATCCGCTTCCTCGTCGGGCGTGAGGTATATTCGACACAGATGAACCGAGGCAGGGACATGGTCAGGGTTGATGAATAGCGCCTTCTGCAACGCGTCGATCGCATGCTGCGTCTGCCCTAACGCAAGATGGTAGAGCCCAAGCTGAACCCAAACACCTGGGTTTCCCTCGTCTTTAACCTCAGCTTCTTGGATCGCGCCTTTTGCCTGCTCGATTTTGCCTAGTCTCCGGAATGTTGCGGCGGACATAAGCCAAAGGTCGCTTTCCAGACGCGTTTCCCGGGTTGTTGTGTGGTTCCATTTCGAATGAGCCGCAGGTGGTGGTGGAAGGGGTGGCGGTGGAGGCGGTGAAATACTGGGAGCGTCAGACTCCCGTCGCATCAAAGAACCAATCCGTCGTCGGGAATGTATTGAGGATGCTTGATATGATGTGGGTCGAAGCACTGCATGGAAGTCTGAAAAATAGTCGACATCAGTTGAAAATCCTCAACGCTGGATCAACAAACCTGGTGTCGAACTAGATCTCCGCAAAGTTCCCGGTCGCACAACCCCACTGCCAATTTTCTTGGAAATACGGCTTATTCTCGCTCCCCCTTCGTTGACGCGGTTGATCAACTTTTGCTGCATTTTCTTTGACTTCGAAGATGTGTCTCTGTCGATAGAAAGTGAACGATTCCGAGCGGATGAACCGTTTGTCCCATTGACCCTAGTAGGTGTGACAGGGCCCTCCTCCGATATTCGTTCTGATATCTTGTTGTCCGGTCCGTTCCAAGATACCTCATCTGGTGTTGCGGGCTGGACTTGGATAGATATTTGTGGAGGCGGCAGAAGAGCATCCTCGCTGGGTGGCGCAGCAGCAGCAGAAGTCCGGGGCGTTTCTTGCTGATCAGCTGGGCCTTTGTCATGAGAAGTCCGCGACACCGTAAGAACCAGCTCCGAAGGGGATTTAAGGTTATTCATTGGCGAAGGACGACCGCTCTCTGGTACAGCCGCTGCAGTAATGTGAGATTGATCCGCCAAGTTTTGCATTCTTACCCGTTATACCACGACGTTCGGCAATCCATTGGAATACCTCGAGCCATTTGCTTTCGGCACCTTCAGCACCATCCACAACCTCGCTCAAGGCAGCTTGTGACATCCGCAATTGCAGAGAATATTCAAATTTCTCTTGCCTCGACGGTGATGGATGATCAGCCGTAGCCAAAAGCAATGTCGCAGGAGGCGGAATCCCCAACTCCAGCTGTTCCACAAGGAAAACTGGAGGAGGAGCCGGTGGTGGAACAGAAACCCGTTCCATAACAGGGTGGATGGAGTCCGACACTGGTAGCCCATCAATCGGCCTCCCATTCGCATTCGCCGTTAAAAGGTCAAAATTACCATTAGTGAGATCGTCTTCGGGTAATGTTGGCTCGCCCAATGCGGCACCACGCTCGAAAATCTCCTCTGCGGCTTTCCATTGCTCTGAGGCAGCCAAGAGTAGTCCGATCAGATGCCAGCAGCGGATCTCTTTTGGGTCTCCCTCGACGGCAAGACCAGCATTGACGATGGCTTGATCCAAATCGTACGATGGCCCCGGCCGGGCAAATGATAGTGCCAGATGATAGTATGCTGCAGCAGTCGGATGCCCCTCTACAGCCTTGAGGAAAGATGCGTGAGCATCTGCAAGTCGTCTTGATCGAGTGTGGTCATCCCGCTCTGGATAAGTTGAGTAAAGCGGGATCATTCAAAAGAAAAAAGTATACCCTTGAGAACCATGAGTGTATTCCAAACGCCCTCCGCCAAATCAACCATCGCGACAAGTTCTGCATCATGAATGTCCAGTCGGGTTTTTGCTTGGGTTATCAGTTTCCCTGCATCTCGAACATCATTGATACCCTCGGCTTCCGATGCCAAAGACGCGTCTTTGCACAACATGCGAGCGCCAGAAACGAGGGTCTCCACCCAGTGTTTGTTGGTGTCTGTGTCCTCGGTAACAGTGGAGTTGCTCGCTTGCCACGCTTTGCTGACGATTTGTACATACAACTTCAGCGTCCGTTTGGCGAGTGGCAAGTCCCCAGAAACTTGTAGTAGGCGCGTCATATGTCGCATTATGCGATATGAGTTGAATGTCATCCTTGTTGCCCACCACAGGACATCAATAACCCAGCCAGCATAATCGCCTACCGCACCACTTGCCTCCCCAAACGGCAACACAAAGGTCTGTGAACTCTTCGACCTTTGTATTCCGTTCACCCGCCTTGGGAAAACGTGTGCAAACACTTAAGATAGCACGGTAGTCTTGGATGACCGAACGAGCGGTATGAAGCCATGATGGGGGTTTACCCAGGTCTGCTGGGGGGTCGGGCGATGCGTTTCGCAAAACCAGGGCACGGATGTAGAGCACGGAGATGGCGCAGCGATGGTTGGTGCGGAAATTCGGAGGCCAAGAAGAAGTGCAGGTGGAGTAGTGGGACAACCACGTCCAAAGGACGTTATGGGTGTCTTCCCTGTTGATATCGCAGATTTGGGCACCGAGGGAGATGGCGCGCCAAATTATGGACTCGACCCAACGCCAGAGTTCGCGGAAACGCGTGAAGGAAGCGAAATTGAGTTTTCCGGAGGGAGGGATTGGCGCGGAGGAGGAAATCAGTTCGGATTCAGTGATTGAGAGGAGGGGGAGGGCCGAGGAGTAGGCAGCAAGTGCCTTGTCGGGTTCTGAGGGGTATAGTTTCTCGTGCGACATGCCTGCAGCGATGTTAAAAGTAACAAGGTTCCCTAAAAACAGTTTCGCACCTTGAAGACATATACTTCGTAGGGATTCCGTCAAAGCCCACGCCCTCCCATCGTTAGTTTCAGCAGATGCTGACGTAGATGCTGAATTCTGACTTGTACCAACTGAGGATATCGAAGGAGTTGCACCATTATTTCCGGGAACCTGAAGGGACACGGTTGTGGTCCGACTGGCAGGTTGAGGGATATGCTCGTTTATATGGGAAACATCGGGGACTTTTTGGAGATATGCCAAACATTCCGAGGGGTTGCCCAACGCGTATGCGTAGTACGCCAGAGCAAAATTGAGTGTCTGATATGCTGTTAGCAAAGGAAAACAAGCTGGCAATGACACACATCGAAGTTGGAAGACTCGATTTTCTTGAGGACATCATAGGCAACTTTTGCTTCTTGTATCCGCTCCTCTGCCAGCAAGCACTCGCCTCCAAGCTCCAACGCATATCTACCATCAGGTGGCGAGTCATCTCTATCCTGATCCTTCGAGTTTGCAGCCAGTAATAAGGACAAAGCTTGGGTTTGAGACGCGACTTCTGTAATGTCCCTGTTTGCGCCACAATGCTTGTTGAACTTGCGGAACAGCTCGGACCATGAGAGTAGCGTCCCGTTTGGTGCTTTGGCAGGGTATTGAGCCGCCCATTGGCCAGCAGTGAGCGCTGCCCTGAGTTGGTTCCAATAGTGCTTGTCCTTGGTGGACATTCCCAAAAGACGTCACACACCCAACCTGCTTCTTGTAATCATCATCGAAATCGCGCTCAGGCTTTGTTCATATTCAAAAGCAGATGGCCGAGGGCACATTCTCTGCCTCTGGTGCCGATGTCATCTCTCGTCAAATCGAAATAGAGGGTACACCCTCAAATCGCTCCCGAGCGGAGCTGGAAGATTTCTTCGATATCAAGCGGACGATAGCGAGTATTCTTGCAGGAGATTACAAACGAATTGCTCTCCAATTTCCGGATGAACTTCTTCATGAGTCGGTGCCTATTTATCGTCAGTTGAAAGCTGGCCTTGGGGCCAGCAGAGAACTCTATGTGCTGGCGGATACTTCCTACGGCAGGCACGTGGTTCAATAAGCTGCTGAAACGCAGCTTTTGACTGTTCTCAGCTGCTGTGTAGACGAGGTCGCTGCGCAACATGTTGAGGCAGACGCAGTTGTTCACTATGGTTATGCGTGCATGAGTTTGTGAGTCCAATGTGCGTTTTTCCATCGTTTCTTATGTTCTCACAAGGACTTCCCGTTTACCAGTCATCTATGTCTTTGGGAAAAAAGCCAATCGATATCGATGATTGTACTCAGCAAGTTGCGACTATTTTCCAAGGCACAAGTGCGATTTTGAAGTATGATGTTGGCTATTCCCATCAGGCTGGTGCGATTCGGCCTCCTTCTATTCTCACTCATCATATAACGCGGCCCAGAAAATATTGCTACAGCTTTACGAAAAACCCTAAAGATCTCCGTCTATTCCCAACAACTCGATCTTGTTTCTCCGCCTTCGCAAACACTACGTGAAGATGATTCTGACAGAGATGAAGTGTCTAGTATCATCTATATCGGAGGAGAGAGTCTGGGCTTAACGAATTTGCTCATGACGCACTCACAATCTCTAGTCAGTATCTTTTCACTTACTTTCCCTCCTTCATTTCACACAGTTTAGGTTTACTCCTACGATCCTACCTCGCGAATGGCTCGCATAGAATCCTCCCGTACCAACCGCCTACTTATGCGCCGTTATGTCGCTGTCCAAAAAGCACGCGATGCTGACGTGTTTGCGATTCTCGTTGGCACTCTTGGCGTCGCCTCATACCTTCCACTCATCAAACATCTCCGCGCTATTCTTTCCCGTGCACACAAAAAAAGCTACACCATTAGTGTCGGCAAGCTCAACCCAGCTAAACTCGCCAACTTTATGGAAGTCGAATGCTTCGTACTCGTTGCCTGCCCCGAGAACAGCATCGTTGAAGCCAAGGAGTTTTTGCGTCCGATAATCACACCGTTCGAGCTGGAAATCGCTCTTCAATCCGAACAAAGCTGGACAGGGAAATATGTGCTGGACTTCGGGAAACTGTTGGCCGAGAGCAGCAGTTCAGCAGAGAGTCCGGCAGATCCTGCCGACCCCGACCAGCCTGTTTTCTCTGTCGTAACAGGAAAATACAGACACATGAAACGATTCGGTGATGACACAAGGAAACCCGCAGAGGGTGACCTCGAAGCGCCATCTTCCTCGTCGTCCTCCCTGGTTGTGCGGAATCAAGACACGACTTTGGCCCTCGCAGACAGTGCGGGAGCACAATTCTTTCAAGAGCGAACTTTCCGCGGACTTGAGGCACGTATTGGGCAAGATGCCCCAAGTATTCTAGAGCAGGGACGAAGTGGGATTGCGAGGGGTTACGCGGATGATCACAACTAGAGCCAGTACATAGTTTTTTTTGTCAATGTTTAATGACCTTATCTGTTTGAGACCTGGTACTACGGATTGGCCTGAAAGGTGGTAAGACTCTGGCGCTGCTCCAGCAATGTATGAGTAGTTGAGGGGTACAGCATTGACAAGAAAGTATTGTACCTGGGCCGGGAAATTTAAAAATCTTTGGCAGCAAAAGATGATGCCCACTACCCGAGTTGAACGAGTGATCTTGGCATTTGAGTCATACAAGTGCCACGCTGTAACCACTTAGCCAAGAGGGCGTTGCGGTTCCACCTGACATAGCGTTCATAGCCAGCGAAGGGAAGCAAAGTCTCCGACGTCGATCACCCTCGATTTCATTGGACTCCGCCACTTTCGGTTGACCGGTTTAATCAAGTCTGGGCTGGCAAGATCTTAGTCGTGTGCTCTATATCGTTATTGGATGGGGACAGGAGGGTTAGAGCTCTGGGAGCGTTTTATGCAAAGGAGGGGCTATCACGCGATAACTATGCAAGTCTAAAATAGCATCGTTCTCGACTAGCTTGCCACAAATGATGTATTTGTTGGAGAAGTGGTCGATCCACCCTGAGAGCGCAATAAGAATGAGCCAGTCTTAAAGAGAGAGGATTACCTCGCATATTATCACTAAAGATAAAATGAATTCCACTTAGAACGCATACGATAGCGATACTTAAACACGCACATTTCATCCTGCTGCAAGTCTTGAAGTTTATCGAGCGGTTGGTCGATGGGAGTCAACATCTCTGCAATGCCAGATGAGTGTCAGGGAACGGGGATGTGGTTTATAACGCACCGATATCGAAAGACTGCTTCGCCATTCCCCGTGAGGCATCTCGTCCCGCAAAGTTACCGTACATCCCATCTACGAGCCGCTTTGAGCAAAGCACTCGCGGCAAGGAAGGAATGACGGACTGGGGCCATAGAAGTTTCGACCAGCGGTCACGTCGAAGACGACCCCGTTGATAGCAAGAAGAATGCGTCCCCCATCTCTGCCGCTGAAAGGCTCGAGGGTCTTGGGCGTGTATGTCTTGAAGAGGACGGTGGGTGGGTGGGATTTGGGGATCCAAGAGTACCCAGCTTTGAATTCGCGTGGTATGGTCTTGGGCTTGGACACGGAGGGAAAGACGATGCGGCGGACAGAGTAGATGATGAAGAGGAAGAGCGCGGTATTCACGGGTGTGCCCAGCGTCAACGCCATGGTGGTTGGAGAGATGGCCTGAATGCAGCAGCGTCACACGTCATTGACCACCGTGCCTTCTTCCCTCATCCGCCATGATTCTGCTCAGTGAGCCGTCTAACCTTCTGTCGCCCACAAACTAACCACAGTGCTTAGACTCAGAAGCAGCAGCAGTCTTACCCACAGACAATCAGAGGAGCGATGGCTGCACTGAACTGCCAGAGTGTATATTTTCTTCGACACCATAGTATCGGAGCAGGCTGACCATTTTGCAGCTATCTGACTTCGAACCGCTCACAGCCGCCCCGATACTCCCGTGTCCGCAAACCGAAGAACCCACTCACATATACGTTTACTCAACCCGGATTCGGCAACCTGAATGACCCTATGGTAATGGTCCCTCCGTCAGATTCAGACGACCAAGGCCGATACCGCGTTTCCGTTGCGCTCAACTTGAATCCTTTTGTGCCGGTCTCGTATCGCACCACGATACACCGAGTGCAAGAAACCCAAGAAGCGTTTATTGGAGATTTTGAGTGAGTAACCTCCTTGGTTCTTCTTCTTATCGGGTTCATTCAGTCTAGGCTCTCTTTAAATCATCGACGAGCTATCGTTACCATCGGGGATGTGACTACACGCCTCGTCAATGTCTTATATAGCATCAATTCTTCTTCTGTGCGCTGTTTTCTCGCACTTTTTGTCCTGTCAACTATTGACACTTACAATAGCGTCACTGGTCATGGAGATGGGACGAAATCGGTCTACGATGGGATTGTCGAACCACATTAGAAGACGGCTCGCCTATGTGTATCGTAGGACTTGCTTTTCTTTGCATATGTGATTCTAACTCTCAATTCAGTGTTACACGCTTGCATCTACTACCCAGCTCGCAACTTTTGTTCCGCCGCCATTAGATGCACCGCATCCTCTACCAGAAGCTGTCTTGACAATATTTCCGGACGGGCACGAGTTCTTTGACCATATCCTTCTGTCCGCGTTGATTGTGCAGCGCAAGATGGGTTTGGAGTTCTAGCATCTATTGTAATTGTACAGGTACGAGAGTCTATCCAACTCAATGACAGTTTAACTCACCACGGAGTCAGTTCGATGATCATCTTCTAATTGTGTATACTGGGAATCAACACGTTTAACGGCTCAGAGAGCTACCGCGTGTGTCTCTACCGATAATCCTCAAATAATGGAGAGAATAGCGTGCGAAACACGTTCCATACGAAAAGCGACATTGTGAATGCACATATGCCGTACGCAAAACAAATGCCTTCAATGAAGAAGAACGCGGAGAACGAAGTTACTTGGTACAGTGATCAAGCTGAAGACAATAATGCGCTTACGTAACGACTGGAGCTTCTTTCAGCTAGTCGACCTCATCCGCTGGTGGGCTCTTGGTACGGGTCCACATTCTTCATGACTTAGGAGTAACAGTATTTTCGAGGCAGATGACCTTGTCGGGGGGTAGATCAACACTGGATCGCTCAAGGCCACTCAAAAATATCATTCTTCGTACAGCAACTATCTCCGGAGGGAATTTTCCATAATAAGATGTGATGCGATCTCGTCAATGGAACAATTAGGCGCCTTTCCCCGCTCGATGCGAAGCCCCGCCAGAGTAGGAAGTTTGCACGTCCGTATTGGTTATTGTCAAACCAGTATAAATCCGGCGGTCAGTCACCAAACTACTCCAATACCGCGCTCCGCCAACACCGTCTCCCTCTGCCCCGATTCAATTCTCTTTCTATTTCTACCATGCCATCCCGTTCGCGGCCAACTAGCGTGCAACTCCCTCGTACTCTCGAACGACCATCATCGTCCAAAGTCTCACGTGCCGCGCTACTAGCAGCATCTCCTGATCTCGGCCTTCTGTCGGTTGAAGATATTCGTAAAAACCTCCTTCAAAATGCTACATTGTCAGTCATTCTATGATAATTCGCTTTTCCTTACTAACCTCTGGCCACACAGAATGTTAGCAGGCACCTCGAACCTCTCCCCAAGTCATCTTCCGACTGCACTTTCGAAAACGATGCTTCCTCCATATCTCGGAATTCCCCTCATTCCATCCCCAACATCAATATATCCCACACACGTCCTCGCCATCGCAAATACTTCACCGTCGAATGCAACCGATACGCATCTGGTCTTCCCCATCCATGCACCCGTCTTGGCTGCTCATTGCTCTAAACTACCCGCATTGCCACCCCCCAGCTCCGCGGTCGCACTCAGCGCTCCACCTCCCTGTCCTTCCCCTTGTTCTCCCCTCCGCCCCAGCATTCGCTGTTCTCCTTCCTTTCCTATACACACGCCGTCCGGCTCCAGTAATTGGCTCACTTCTCCCCGTTTCTCCGGCATTCTTACAGGCATTAACAAGCCATAAGGCGGTCCGCACGATGCTATCTTCGCCAGCAGACTGTCATGCCATGGCTACCCACGTTTGCGCCGTCAGTGGAGGGAGCGTTCAAACGCTAATGACACACACCGCGCATGTGAAGGAGCTCTGGCAAGACATGGTCGCATTGGGGATCGATGATGACGCGCTTTGGGACACAGTCCATCTTGCCTACGAGATTGTCCTTGGAGCACTCAACCTTGCGGTCATGTCAACCCATTAGATTCTCGTGGCGGACATCCTTTCCAAGCATGAAGAGTCCCAGGATGGATCTCTGTACAATACTCTCATTCTCTCTCAATGCCTCGTTTCAAGTCGCATGGCCGACTATATCATTGTAGCAGTAATCACTCCGCATTGTAACTCAACGCAATCCCTTGTATTCTTTTGTGATTTGAAAGCTCCTAGCCTGCCAGTAGAATGATATAATGCTTTCAAAAGTCTCGTCATGATCATGTGATCACTTATCCCTGAATTTGTTTGTTGCAACATTATCTTCAAGATGACGGCGCGACGTGTGCGGATGGGCGAAATGACTATCTCGCAACGCGCCAAGGAGTGGTACTCGACCCCGTTCACTGTCGAATGGCTGGAAAACACCATAAAGGGGTGCACTAGTTCTCCCGGTAAAGAGGCGTTCGAAAAATGGTTTTTACTGTGCCACATTCCACTTGCTGGGCTTTTGACACACCTTTTAGGGCTATTTCGAAACTAGGTGCGAGTCAAGGAGCTGTGCTAATCGCGGAATGCAATAAACGCTCACCACGGGGGACCTTCGTGTCCGAAAAACCACCTCGAACTCTCGAAGACAAAGTTCTCTTCATGTGGAACTCTGCTGCTGTGTGTTGGCTCATTATTCGAGAAAACTCATGGACTTGCGCGATCTACAGGGATACTACGGTCAGCCGCTTCTGATTGATTGGATGAAGACTTTTTTGAGTTGCTGAATAGGAATGAGTCGACGAGCTATACAAACATTGCATGAACACGCGTAAGCCCAGTCGAGGGTATCGTTCCACGGGAACTGATTGCGAGTCGAGATCGGATATGAATTTGTACCAGCCCGAAAGGACGAAGCCGCCACCAAAACGAAGAAAAGGCGAAACTTCGAGCCAATGGCTCGCTGTGCGTAACTCATTTATACAACTGTGTTCATACTCTAATTATATTCAGAGACTGAATGGTGTGTAACGTTCCCTGAAGGTGATTTTTGAGATGCCTGATGGTATTCACCCCTAATAGAAGAGGCTGGTAACCATAGATGAGCTTGAGGGCTGAGACTGATCGATTCTTTAGCTCGTTGCTGGCCATAAACTCCCTATTATTGACCTGGATTATGCGCGACGCACCGCCATTGCGGAGTATGACAAGACCTGTGATACCCTGGAGCGCTGGAGAACTGACTCGAAACTTTTCTTTGCCGATATTGTGGAAAGAAGCAAGAGTATCATTGTGTCGCCCCAAATCGTCCACCTTGATGAGCGCACTAAGTCTGTTCTTCCACCGTGAATGACCTTTGATTGACTGGCCCCAGAGAACGAACTCGAATTGACGACGCGTTCCGCACGCGCATCAACTTTCTGGCCGTGAGTTTTCTTTAAATGTCTTACGGATTTTCCTTACGCTGCCTCAGTTAACGCACGTTGCGTGGAAGGAAACCGCTCTACTGTTCGAAGATTTAGCCGCTCGAGGATTGAACACACCAGCAGCAATCGAGCGTGCTTACTCGAGGGACTCTGCATTACTCTGGCGGCTCTGTGGCGTAGTGCATCGTGTCGCGTCTATGACACGCAAGATGTCTGCGAACCTCCAACAACTATTGGCTGCGAGTGATTATTATAAACCGATGCTCGTTCCATGGCGGGTCAGTAGTGCTAGCTCGTTCTGTGGTTTCCAACTGACCATTACAAAGGATGATCAAGGTCTTGCACATATAGATCCGAATCGACCTGAGATCGACAAGCGTATACGAAGGGGCGAATTGACCGGGATGGACCAGGTCGTTATCAGCTGGGCATGCTCAGTCGCACCGTCGCCCATGAGCTTTTATCAAGGAATAGAAGCAGCTATCGCGGAGGATCGCTCGGAAGAGAAAAAGTTTTCTGCTGCTGTTTTTGAGGCGATGGGAGATTGGGCTGCTGGTACCATCTTCTTCTTTCTTATGTTAATAGTACCTGCTGATACACAAAACAGCCGCTGAATTGGAGTCTCAATTCTCTCGAACCGAATTTGGCATGCAAATTGTCAAGCAGGCTGGTGCTCTGGAGAAAGCGGGCACTGACCGTGCACAAATGCGATCGATTCTCTATTACATGGATCCCGCGAAACTTTCAGACCGAGGGGCAGAGTATTGGGATCGCGCAGGAGAGGCCTCGCGCTCGATGCGCGCTTTGGAGGTTGCATGGACTCATCAGACTTGGCAGTTGTCCATCGATTCGATTTTGCGGATTCTTCAAATGAAGGCCGCCCCGCGAGGCTTGACAAGTGACAATATTGAGATGCCCATGGAGGTTTTTAACGAAATGTGGCGACATACTGACGAGCAGATGTGGAATATGGCTGCCTCGCTTGATCGCAAAGGGGAGGCCGGGCGGGTGGCCAAAGAATGTGGACTGTGGAATCCTAGGGACCCTAAACGACCTGTGGCGACAAGATATATCTTTGCAGAGATCGAGTTGCAAATCGTGCAAGGTGTTCCGCTCCAACCCAAAACAACGCCAGTTTACACGCCCAATATTCCCGTCGCTGGGCCGAATGAATCCATAGTCCAAAGCGGCCATGCCTTCGTCTCTGGCACCGCCGAAACCAAAGTCAAAGTGAAGACGCGGACTCCAGGCGATGCCTCGAAACAGGTGGAGCAAGTGGAGAAAGTAGAACAAGTTACACTTCCCCAACACCTTCCCACCGACTTCAAACTAGGAAAAAAGGTGTTGAAGGTACTTTGTCTCGTTGCTCCGATTCTCAGCTACACTGCTTATATCCCTGTCAGCTTTTCCATCGCATATTGGAGCCTCCAGACGACGAGAAAGAGAGTGCGGATGCGCCAGCGAAAGGACAAGTGCGCTGGGGCGATTTCGAGAATGTGAGATGAGACTATAACTTCTGTTTAGTGTCGACTTACAAAGCTGAATCCAGGCCATGAAACGCATCGGTTTCGAAGTCGTTCAAACTGCAGGTTCTTCTGTTCGATTCGACCCACCGGCGTTGTCCGCCAGACCAATCACGTTCCATCGAGTAAGGGCATCGGTCCAAAGCTGTTTCCGGGATACCGACAATTTGAATTTAGCCCCACCCAGAATCACTGCTCAGCCCGCATAGCATCAAATGGTGAGTATCTCAACCATCGTGTTGAGCTTTGGCATGACCGGGAAATAGGCTGGGAGCGCGTCTCAGGCGAACATATGGATGGACGACAGCAACATTCCAACGGACAGAGGGTGAGGAGGCTGGATAAAATAGAGCAATGTATGCGTATGCAGTAACCTGACAATGCTTACTAAACAATCAAACTTGCCCTTTCCCCCCAACCTCACACATATACCCACTGATACTCTCACACTGCCTCCATGACACTGTGCTGGCTTTTGGACAAATCAAGAGCTCTAGCGGCACGACTAATAATACGATGTGCGGTGTTCCGGAATAGTTTTTGGCGTGCCGTTTGTGTACCAAATAATATGAGGTGCGGATTTTAATCTTTTGACGCGTTTCCATGCCTCTTTCTTTCTCACTCGTCTTTGGTGTCTCATGCATCGCAGTCGCATTGGCCGACCAGGTGCCATCGTCCTGGAGGGTGACTCTTCTCATTCATATCTCCTTGTTCACCGCTGACGGTCTCCACAGCAAGCCAATATCACCACCTCGGTCGCAGATCGAATCAGTACCGCCAAAGCGGCCATAGACGAGGCTGTTTTTAATATTGACACAAGCTCTGGACAATTCCCTGACCCTGGCGCGTTCTTTTTTCGCTTGGTTATGCATTGACTTACCCGAATATGGCCCCGTCGTTCAGGAAACAGCTATGGTCTTGCGGGAACGTTACTCTCACAGCTCGCCGAATTCGACCACGCTACCAATCAGTCCATCTATCAAGACAAGTTGCTGAACCTTTGGCCAGCGGCAGCGAAGACGGTCAGTGGACTTGGTGGAGTCGTCAACCTCACTGGATCTTTGTGCGTAGATTACCGACTAGGATCCTCGATGACCTGACCTTCTGTCTAGTGTCTGTCACCTTCGCTCTATCTTTTTCGCGGCTTCTGACATTTCCCGCTCGACCATAGATCAATGACGGGCTGTAAGCGCGATGCCATCCAACTTACGAATTCCTGGACTGACGACGCCCGCGCAGTAATTATGGACATGCGGCAGCAACAGCCTACAAAGTCTACAACAACCCGAGCTTCCTCCCCTACGCCGAGCAGTCGTGGTGGGCAGCAAATGGGTACACTATCAGTGCTGCCGATCTGAAAAATGGATCCACGAGTGTGAAGAACTACACCCTGTCGACGAATTGTGTTGGTAGTAAGTGGCCAGCGTTAATCACTGTCGCAAATAGCTCATCTTAGCCCAGTCACAATGGCCGGTGGTACCTTCCGGGTATACTCTGTGTTATCATCTACATTAAAGCTCCACTGATTCTTTTTGAGGCCAAAGATAAAAATGATCCCACCATTAATGCCTTGTCGACGGGGTCAGTCAGATAACACATATCATGCTTCCATTTGCTAACCGTTTCTCGCAGAGGTTTCCTGGCGTATGTTGACGGTTGACTTGGCCATGAACTCTCACGCATGATGATACAGACTATCTGCCCTTCTGGCGGAATCCACCAAGAATCCAATATACCTTGATGCTGCAACACTGTCGTTGGATTTTATGCACGCCCATCTGTACAACGTTCAGAACCTTGTTCAAGACTCGATTTCGGCAGTTGCGAGCCAAGGCTGCTCATCGAGCTCGTTATTAGCTCCACAGAACTCGGGATTAATGCTGGAAGGAATCGCGGTGTTGTACTCGATCACGGGCAATGCAACTCTTCAAGACTTGTGAATTCTACCAGTTTCGAAAAAAGGCTCAATAATAACTTTTGTCAGAGCAGGAAGTATTGTTTCAGCTGCGCTTTCGACAACGTCATGGCAGGGAGCCAACGGAATTATAGCTCCTGGCGGTCAGTTGCATCTCCCGGCCAACGGCCTTCGTGATTTGACGAGCATTCAGATGTCTTTCTTCCTCGTGGGCTGAACGCTGTCTACACCCGAAACGCGCTTCCAACCACACTGCGAACGTATGTCGCTGCTTATCTCGGTGTCCAGGTCTAAATTCCTCTCTTTTTTCTATCATTGACCTGAAACAATCTGTTAGTTCAACGCGTTGACAACTTTGGCCCGTGCAAACGGAAGTAATATATTTGGACCATTCACAGGCCCTCCTTCGACCTTTTCGCCCACGAACCAAACAAATGCAATTTCGGCCCTCATTGCTGCTATCAACGCTAATCCCAGTTCGGAGTCAAAGACGGGGGCGAACCCGCCTTCCTCCCAATCTAGTTCCATAGCGCCTGTCTATCACTCTTCATCTTCGAATACTGGCGCCATTGTGGGAGGCGTTGTTGGCGGGTTGGCTGTACTCGTTATTCTTGGCTTCGTCTTCTTCCTGTTGTGGAGAAGGCGGAAACATAAGCAGTCGACCGTTGAAACCGATCTTAATGACGCATACCCACCAACTCGGGTCTTCCGCCAAGAAGCCACGACGAGTCCGACTCCATTTATGATCAACTCATCCGTTGTCCCTTCGACCACTCTTTCCACATCAGTTCTACCCTCGTCAGAGACAGCCTCCTACCAACCGGCCTCCTCTCACATGAGTGACTCCCAATCGAACAGTGGTAGCAGCGCCGCTGCAGACTCGAATGCACCATTACGATCTGGGAAAGCACGGCTTGCGGTCATTGGCAGTCAACCAAATTCGCCTTCGGATCCGGAGACAGATCTCAGCGGCAGACCCATATCTTCTGAGAACCGAGCGCAGATACCAACCGATGAGCTCGTACGGCTTCTCTACACGAGAATGAATGGACAACCTAATAATGTGGGTCACTCAGGTCAGCAGAATGAGGAGGCACCTCCAGAATACAGCTAGTAATATAGTTGTATTCCCTATTTCCTTACTTACTATCTTTTCACTCGTTTATCCATCGAACTGTACTATTCACTTTACTGAGGTGTAATTTTTCATCGCGCCTGTAATAAGGAGCACGTGTCCACGAAAAGTCCGAGTCCCACTTTGCTAAAACGTTCATGTGTTCACACAAGTGGGCTATAAAAGGCGGTCAAAGGTCACCGACCGGGACTTCCCCATCATGGCCTGTACCTGCATGACAGCTGAGGACTTTGCTGTCCTCCTGGGTAAGCTTGCAGTCTCGATAAAAGGCGGTGTTTCTGACTTTCTTTGCGAGACTTGATAAGGCCCGAAATGCACTCTGAATCCAGGAGTAGACCAGAAGAGGTTGTTGCTCCTCCGCTCGGGCAAGAGTTTGAGCGCAACTACCGAACAAAAACGCTGGTGTGTTTATACTCAACACTGAGTGACACTTTCTAATTTCTTGGGAAGCTAAACCACATCGCGGGCGACGCACACAACAAAGAGCAGAAACTCATAGTATGGAGTACTTTCTCCGCGAAGTACCTCCCTCAGATGGTCGATCGACTGCTCAATCTCCCCACTCCGATGGACAATGATGGTGTCCCCGTCGATTACGCGCAGGACTATGTGCCTTGTAGTCCATGGTACTACATGCTCCTCCATATTCAATACACGCCCTACCTCTACAAGTACTTGCACTCCCCGCACCCACTCGCTGCTTCCAGCAAGCAGCTCCCGCAAGTGATGGCGGACCGGCTCGCAGATGCAATGGACAGGTGGGACGGCAAGCTGCTCAACACCAGACTTGACCGTGAGATGCGGGGCTACTATCTTGACATCGTCGAAGGCTACTTGGCGGTTCTCAACACTCTCTGCGTGGCTTTCATCCGTGTAGAGGATCGCTCGACTATTATCAACGAGGCAACAAAGAAGCGGCTCACCACCACACTTGTTGATTGGATGGGGCGCTACAGGGACGAGCGCATAGGAAGGCAAAGCAAACAGCTCTGCATGTTCCTCTCCGGATTGACCAACTGGGACGAGTGGTTTCACGACATACGGCGGCACTACAAGAACTGGGAGGTATGCGGTTTCGCGAACTGTAACACGCGGCAAGGGCTCAAGGCATGTAAGCGGTAAGTTATGGTCAAAGGTTTCAAAGTTCCCGCACCGGACTAACAAGATGACCATAGATGCCAAACTGTCCGATATGTACGTTCTACTTTTTCTCTCTTTTCTTGTGAATACCACAATACTAACTTTCGATTTCTAGTGCTCGGCGGAGCACCAAAGATTTGATTGGATAGGCATGGGGGGCATCAAGCACAAGCATGTTTGTTTCGAAACGGAATACTAACCCAGAATGATGGTGCCCGAAGTAGTGTTGTCATATACATGGTATTAGTTGGAGAAACTCATGTTCTTCTTTGAACTATACTGAAGCATGGTGCATGATTTTCCATTGCACATTGTTCTTGGTGATAATCTGAGAGAATCTATATTTTTTCAGTGGGCAAATTGCACTTTTTAAATTTGATTTTGAATTTCAAAATAAACAGTTGAATAAAACTGGCATATAAATTGACTAGAATATAGCACAACAAGTATATAGCAGGTATGGGTCATGTTATATTTAATCCCTAAACACTAGTTCCTTTCCAATCAGAAAGTTGATAAACTTCTGTTGTAGTCTTGATCGTTTGATTGCTATGATTTCCATCCACAGTAGTTGTTCCCTCCGAAATTCCTTCAGTTTGAGTGGGTCCTCTCCCAATCTGTATTGTAGCACTGGTGCTGATCAATGCAGAGGTTGAATGTGACCATGCTTTGCCTTGTGCAACACGGAATAGAATTAAGAGTGGAGCAATTCCTTGAATTTGGCCTAGGCTAGGAAGGAGAATGTCCTGTAGGGGTAATGCACGTGCATAGCTGATAATAAAAGCAATGCTCCAAATAGCATAGAGAGCAGCACTTTCTATAAGCATTGCAACAATAGAAACATACTGTTTTGTATGCTCTTTGTTTAGGATTCCTGCAGATTGCCTACGAATCATCCAGATTCGGGCAGAGATCAAAGTAGCAAGCAGAATGTTTAGGCCTATAGAGAGAGACCAGTAGGCAATCCCAAAGTTGACTGTGTTGTTGATAAGGAATGTGTTTGTGGCAACAGATGGGGAGAAGAGTGCAATAGTAAGAACAAGTGATGAGGCTGGTGAGAAAGTATAAATTGCTAGACTCCTTTCTTCAATATAAAATTATATACCTATTGACCCAAGTAGCATTAAGCCTGGAAAGATAGCAATCCAGTATTTGTTGCCAAAGATAACAAAGAAGCGCCAAAGCTATAAAAGCAAATAATATATCAGCTCTAATCAGGCCTAATCTTCGAAGTTCAAGTTGCACATACCACCAGGCCATCTGCTAACCAACTTGAAATGATTGCACTTAGGTAAGATCAGATACACTACTAGCTTAATATTATTGACATACCTCGCAAACCCCATAACATTGATAGGAGTGGCAAAAAATGCATTGGTAACAGCATTAGGCCCACCAGGAAAGCCACGGTAATCAATAAATGTGATTTCGTTGAAACGGGCATTGGCCGCAAAAACAAGTGTGCTCAAGAGAAACAAAACTCCTACATAAAGCATTTGACCTTTCGAGATGCTGGCTCTTGGCTGCTGAATATATAAAGTGGTAATCTGAAAGGTGATGGTAAACAAAATTCCTGGAAATAAGATTTTAAATGTGTTAAACATAATTCTTGAATGTAAACCATAGCCAACTCCAGCAAGCACAACACCATCCAGATTAGATCTTTCCATCCAGAGATCAAAGGAGTTTTCTCCAGGAGGGGCAAAGGAGGTTGCCTCAGTTTGGTTTGACATAATAGCTTGAATGTGAAAGTGGGGGGGGTGTCAATGATACTACCAGTGCTGCCATGCTCTATGTAGTATTTATTTGTCTCCAAGGCCCAGGGTATTATTATCCTTTTGAATCTGGAAGTAGGTAAGATGCTTCCACGCTGTAACTGCCTCAAGTAACTTTCTGATGAGTTGGAATCTGCATCCTGATGCTCCACAAGTTTATATAGTGGAAATCAATCATAAGATTGATGCAAATGAGCAGGTAATTAGGCTAATATTATATTTGTGATTACTATGAGGCAACTTATAGAACTGTGACTGCTCATTGTATATAGTATAAAATTATAAGATGAGTAGAGTCAGACCATACTCAGTAAGCACCATGACTACAGTCTGATCAGTTTAAAAAGTCTATGATGGTTAAAATAAAATAAAAGCCAACAAGTATAAAGCTGGCAAGACTCCAGGGTCATTGACTAACCGAGCCCCTCATGCACTACACTCTGACAACATTTGTCATCCTGGCACTTATATGCTTAAGAACAACTTTAGCATTTCCATTTCCAACAGCAGATCCAGCTGATGGTAATGCTGGTTCACTGGCAGCAGCAGTAACATTCCACACATGCACAAGTATGTATCACTCTCCAGTTTTATTACAAACAGAGCTCTCAACATATTTGCAGGTCCACGGGGAACAGATATTGATGTCCCAATCCATATGAATAACAACAAAGAACGCTGCTCAGCATTCAAGAGGAGCAATGAATATTTGTAAGGCCTCATACAAATCCAAGTAGGCACAATCTGACTGCAACTTTTGGATTGTAGCTAGAGATGCATCAGGAAAACCCAAAGTTACTGGGGTGACCTGGTGGAGCTGGAGAGCTGGAAGACCTGGCGCCAGTGGGCTCCAGAATAGGAAATCGTGCCAGCTAGATGCCAGTACATGTCAGAAGTCGCTACAATTTTAAAATAAAATTTCATTTGCATGGTGGTCTATGTATTTGTTTACATGAAAAGCTTGAAAGGCATCCAGAGAATGAATATACTGCAAGTCCCGGGGAATATGATGCTGACCAAAAACAGGAATTAAATGGACACCCCGTAGCATACTGTCCAGGTGAACGATGGTAACGATCCGGGTGGTGGAGCCCCGAGTCCGCATTTCAGGCTCAACAATCCACATGCCCGTTGCATCATCGGGAGAACGTCCAACCTTCTTGAACCACTCGACCAAAGCGCACGGGTAGTATGTGCCATCCAGGACAAATGAGAACAAGAGTCGGACACAAACAGCGCTCATCCCCGCAAATCCCGGCTTCCCGTCATCCTCGACAAGAAGTGCGCAATCACGTCGGGCACCACGCTTGCGCCAGGATGGTGTGCACCGAATATACTCTCGCTTCATACCCCGAATGCCAGACGGATCACTGGGGGCATAGAATCTGGCGACAGCAGAGTGAAAAACCGACAGCTTGATGGTGTCAATTTCGGGATCGTTCTGCAGTGGAATATTGTCGATAATATATGCATCAAGCAATCGGGGGGAAGTCGGGGAAACCAATGTGAGCCGCAAGGGCATGAGCGGAGCGAGGATAAGACGGCTCTGCATACCGATCATTTCAATAAACAGAGAATTAAAGACTTCGCCTTACCTCGTGTACGAGCGAGGACAACCGTGCCTTCAACACGTGGTCCATCATCGATTCCATCGTCATCCTTGTCGTCGGCCGTCGGTAGCTTATCAGGCAAGGCCTTGGTGCGGACCTCAAGCATGCCACGTTGCTCGAAGTCCGCCCGTGAAGCTGCAAGTTTGTCGAGCCGCTGATTTGTCAGTAGCATCTGGCCTAATGCTTCAAATCGGCTAGACCGGCGCCAGGGCTTTTGACAGCAGTAACGTGTCTCGATTCGGTAATAGATGAGCAAACACCATACGGCGCACCAAATTCACGGATCGAGTGAGCGTAGTGACCGATAGAATGTTGTCGAGGAAGATTGAAGTCAGTGCGGACACCAACATCAACAAAGACCTTCCGTCGCTCTCGAAATTGGTCAACAGTTGTCTCGATTTGGTCGAGTGTCGACTCGTCAAAGTCCTTGCGTCGCGAGAGATAGCAAAAGTCAAGAAATGTGCTAATCACTTGCACAATCTCGGTAGGGAGAAGGCCCTTTAGCGCCGGGAGATAAACCTGAATTGAATTCAGACTTGCAGGTATAGCAGCGCAATCGAGAGGCACGACATACCTTCATTAGAGCCTTTGAATTGTCTCCGGTCCACTGCTTGAAGCGCCGACCATCGCGGAACCGCCGCAGGCCGGGGTATGCTGGGGTTGCGGCAATTCTAGCATCGATGAAACCACTGTAAATCCCTGTCTTATTGCAAGAACATACCGCTTATCTATTTCATCCATTATGCTGTTCGCCTCTGCCTCGTTGTGGGTCAAGTAGAGATAGTCAGAGACCCATTCAACCAGATGGTCTTTGAACGAGCCCTTGATCAGTTGATGGAGGATGTCGGGAGATATCATTTCGTGAATATCTGCCCGCGGAAAGTCGTTGGTGAATGGCTGAAACCGTAAGTCTGTGTGTCAGTTTCGATAAATCTCAACGCACAATTATATCCGCATTGATCCCATAGTTAGTCCAAAGTACCTTGGGGTCGCCATCGAATGCGTCAATAAGCTCGTTCGTGAGTTGGTGAGTCCGTCTAGTGCCAATGTTATTGTCGAGATCATGCACTGGGTTCGTACATCTCAAATATATAGCTTAGGAATCATAGCGATGCAAGAAAAGAGGCAAACTTACTTGGTGCACCAGCCGTAAACAACACCGGCCAGAGTAACCTGCTCAGGGTAGTCGGCGATAAAAGGGCCGAAGTCGAAAATAACTTTGCGGAAGTGGCCATCGGGGCAACGTCGGACACATGGCGTGGTCATGCCTGGTTTTAGAAAGGAGAAGATAGCAGCGAGGGAGGCATGGTAGAGTTGCTGCTTGAAAACTCTGAATGCTTTGTCGTTGTCGTATTTTCGGTCGCCTTTCAATGACATAAGAGCCAGCATCAGGCCAAACCCGAACCACGCACTTTTCGGTATCGCCAGAAAAATGAAAGGTATCACACCATTGCGATGCCCGCAGCGAAAGCTGTTGTGGTGGTTTCCAAGCGCCATATACCCCGGATGATATTCGATGTCCCCCGTTCCAACAGAAACAGTAGTCTTGTCAGCGCCAGCAAAGATCGGGACCAGGCAGGCTCCCTCAGTCGAAGGATCGTCCTCGTAGATCTTGTCCTACATGATTTAGGATCGTAGGTAAGGAGAAAGATGGGAAATAACTCACTGCGTGCCTCCATGCAAAATTTGCCGACATAAAGTTTGACCAACGTCGTTTGTTGTTTGCGTCTGTCTCGACAAACGGCACGTAATCGAAATGACCGTCGGCAGCTGGGTTATCGAGCATGTTTGTGGCAACAGTCTCCGGATTGCGATACCAGACCGTATATGACCGTCGGGCCCATTCGGGGGCATCAGCGCCAGAAGCCAGTGGCTCTGACTCCAAGCAATGCCATGGCGCATCGCCCAGCTTTGTCGCGTCAATGGCTTCGTAAAGGTGGTCCGCATTTGCGAATGGAGCAAGATCGTCGTGCTTGAGCTTGTCGAGAGCCCAGACCTCTAGGAGCTCGTTGATATTGCCTCCCGAAACCTGCGCTTGACGAAAGAGGATTTCGGCTGTGCGGAACTGTACTTTGTCCTCGTAAGGGGTCCAGTTTGTTGGAGAGGCCGCCCGACGAGGAGGCGGCGGCGTTCCAGGCAGCAGATCGTTCCCATCTTCATCGCAAGGCCGTGCTGAAACAACTTAACAACAGGAATAGACGGTTCAAAATGACGCACCAGAGAGGTGTGGGTGGTAATGACGGTGCCAGCCAGCAGGGAGTTGCGGCTCAGCATGAACCGGATCGGGTTCCTCATTGCTGTCCTGGCCGGTATCCGAGAGCACGTCCGGCTGATCATATTCCATCTCTATGTCGTCGTCCACCACCCCGACAGAGTCCCGATCGTTTGGCGCAAATCCTACAAGTGTAGGATTTGAATGGTCAGTCCGGACGTGGTTTGTAAGCCCCCCAGATGTTTTGAAATGACGGCCGCATCCCACATATGCACATTTCAGCAGGGCAATTGTCTTCCGCCCACGGGGCCCCACAGCGCGAGTACGAGGACGAGTACCTTTCGCCATGAGAGTGCGGATGAACGGGCAAAATGTGTCAGCAATTTTTACCACAATTTGTAAATTTTGCAAATCACGAAACACGACACATGGGCTGGGCGGTGCATGGTAACGACCTCGAAACATCTTTTCCCCCTCCTTTTCCCTGCTCTTCCACCATGATAGGTCGTCCTCGACGCTATGAGCCAGGAGACGACCGCTCCCGACCGGCCAAGATCATCCTCGATAACACCAGCAAGCGTCGAACTCGCGAAGAGATCGAGCGAGATGCCAGCGAGAAGCTCCGCGCTAAACAGCGCAAGGCGCAGGCCGCTGAAGCCAAGAAAGCTGCCCAGATTGCCCGCGCAGCAGCGGCGGAAGATGCGGTTCGGGCGCAGGATGCGCTGGCCAGTGAAGCAGCCAAGCGGCCAGACCTTGTAACGAAAGCCAAGGCCGCAAAACGCCCGCAGAAGTCCACAGTAGATGACGAGGGCGACGGTGCTGATGAGGGCGAGGTCGCTGACGAGAGGAACGACATTGACGAGGGTACTGGCGCCGGCACCGGTAACGGCGAGGGCGAGGGCGAGGGCGAGGGCGAGGGCGAAGATATCGATTCCCCAATTGACCAGCAGCAGCGAAACAACAATCGCGACGCGGTCCTCACCAGCGACGAGAGTGGCAGTGAATACCAGGACGAAGGTAGCCAACCAGAGAGCGAAGACGATGTCGAGCAGGAGGGGAAGGATGAAGATATTGACAGGCAAATTGCGGCACTTATGGCGAAGAAGAAGAAGAGTCTGGGAGCACCGGTTAAGGGCAAGAAGGCAAAGAAGGCAAAGGCAAGCACGCACCATTTATCCTCGCTCTTATTTCCAAGCTATCCAGGCTCCTCTCCGGTCAAGCATCTCCGCTGCTTCATCCACCAAGCGCAAGAACTCAACAGCCGAGGCTGCTGAGAGTCCCGCGTATGTCGTGCAATACCCCGTTCTCCCCTGCTCATAAATCCAGCCCCAAAAAACCTCGCGAGTCCCATAATCCACCCATGTACGTGTCGCATTGCTGTGGCTTTGTGTTTTTTTACAGTTTTAGCAAAAGCAAGCCCAGGGCGGCCGACGGTGGGGTCTACGCAGACTGGCGCAAGGCTGCTGGGGTCAATAAGCCCCCTGCGAAGTCTTCGACATCGTGGACACGCACCGTTAGCCGGCTATCGACTTCATCTGCCTCCAGCGGGGTCGAAGGACTTGAGGAGCGCAACGAGACCGACATCGTGGACCCAGCAGTGATGAGGGAGATAGTGGATGCATCGATGAAGGCGCACAAAGGCGCTACGACTGCCCAGGCACGTAGTCGTTTGGGTGAGAATACCGCTGACGTGTGACAGATGGGAATCACCCTGGTCAAGCGGACACCCACTACCGTCCCAGAAACTGCCCCGCGGCAGCGCAAACTGAAGGTCAACCACTCGCATCTTAACATTTCGAAGAAGGACGAGGAAGAGTGGCGGGTGACAGTGATGGGCGGCGTCATCTCGTGGGCTGGTGGACAACTGAAGCCCTGGGCCAGTGCCTCCGAGCCTTCTTTCAACGCAATCGTTGATGAGGCCTGGGGGAACGCATTTGGGACAGGTGCTGATGCTAAATACCCAGTCCCAGAGCATCTCTACGCTGTGGTATGTGGGCTCTTCCCCTTCACAATCATTCACGCTCTCATATTCTTCAGGCGTCGGCAGACCTTGATACATGGCGAAGCACAATCGGAAAACGGGCGCTGGTGGCTGTCGAGGCACAGATTAAGGCCCCTGTACACGATGATGATGGTAACAAACTACCGGCGGACCAGCAGCCTAGTCTTTCGCCCGCATTACTCGCTTCACGAGTTCGGGCTCTCATTGACGATAGCAATTTCTTATATAAGGATGCCGATAACAAGGTGCGTGGTTATGCAATTGGCTTGGTATCTTACCTGACAGTCAGTAGCGCGAAGTCTACCGATCTCCTATGATTCTCGATGTCTTCGGCTACCACCTTCACCGGATTATCCAGTATGAACCTCAAAACACGTTTGGTGCATTGGCACTGTGTGCTGCAGCAGTCGGTACAATTTTTCCTGTTTTCCCCATTCTCACAAGCTATAGATTGAGCGAGCGCTCCTGCTTTGGGAGACAGGCGAGCTTGACGAGGAAGGCATCACGCGTGGGCGGAAGCGGCCGAAAATCTTCAATTTCTGTGCCACACAATGGGCGGAGAAGACCGACGAGTACCTGGCCGGCATCCGAACGCTATCACCTGCGTCATATTCCAAGGTCATGAAGCAAGCTGAGGATTTGCGGCTTGGGAGAGGAGCTGGTCAGGATGACGATGACAACGCATTTGAGAGTGTGCCAAGCAGGGCAAACCATCGATTCGTTCTTCATCTGTCGGACGACGAGGAGGTCATTGGAGATGATGGTGGACCAGAGAATGCTGATGTTTAGGGATTGCGAGCGGTTGAAGTGTGGGGTGCAAAATGCGTATATATCAATGAATCTATCTATTTTACGACAATTCTGGCGTGCAAGTAAGATTCTGACAGTAGGTCTGTAGCGAGTTCTGTCGCCAGGACATATCCTGGCGGCAGTATACGTTCTGACGCATACTGGTGCGCCGACGCGTTTCTGGCGTCAGCTCTACTTCTGGCAAGCTGGCAGAGCTGACGGACCTAGTCCCAGCTCCGCCAGTTCATTCGGGAATTCCTGATGTGATATTATCTTTCCCTTTCAACTGTCCAGTACCTTGCGTCTGTAGTGTATCTGACAAATTTCAAGTTTTGATTATTGATAATTGTATAACTTACATCAGTTGTACCGATCCGACTTCAAGTTGAATGATTAGATTCTCGAACGTCCGATTAGTACTTGTAAACCAATTGTAAACTTGAACCAAAAGTCGGTATCGAAGGGACCGGGATCTCCCGACAATTCTAGAGTCCATAATGGTTCGTTCGGGAGGCTGCTGAGAATATTCCGTGACTCCCTCAGGCTCGATTGATCCTCGCCTTTTCGTCAAGTTGGTGCAAAAAGCCAAAGCCAAGTTCTTTCAAGTTACTAAGCTTTCTATGTGAGGCCAGGGACATAGGGAGAAGGAGAGTATGGTACATCTTGCACGTCTTCCCGACCAGATACCACCACGAGCTTCTCGCCGGTTTCTGCAGTGGGAAACCACATGCAAACTGTAGATGCCTCTGTAGCCTGGAAGTCACATCCCATCATGATGTGGATAGCAAGATTAAGAGAAATCACACTCACTTGATTCAACTTGAAGTTCGTGGGCCGGCAGTCGTTTCCGGACCGCACTTCGCCAGCGCATCAGCACTTTTGACTGCCGCAACTTCCTAGGTTCGTAAAGCACATGCAGTCCCGAACAGCTCATAATTTGAAAGTGGTCGTGATTAGGCAAGAATTTGAAAGTGGGGCTGCATCTGAAGACTGGGAGCGTGGCGCGTTCACTGGCATAGTGAGATGCGTCGGGTCTTGCTTCCACACGAGAGATCGGGATTCGGGAGCACGGTTCGCATTGTTTGGGTGAGGCGAGTCACGGTCCTGGTAGAAACAGCCCACATGCCGCATGTCACTGTGTGACATGGTTCGAATTCAAGGTTTCCTCATCAACAACGGGCAACAATCCGAGTCCTTCGTATCTTTGCAGACTGTTTTTGAAACTCCAAACCTATACTTTCAAGTTGCTGCCTTTTCACGCACCGTGACGCACGGCCGGCGTACTCAGAGCTTAGTACTACTAGTACTCCCTTGATGGCCTCTTTCACTTGCTCTCGCTCGCTACGACTAATGCTTTGAAGTACAAGTACAGCAAAGCAGAAATCGCCGCTGCCAATGGTCGCCCACGTCTAGGCTACAAGCCTGGGGTCCGCAAGAAGGGAGCGCGAGGGTCGTGACTCGTGACTCGGAAGGACAACTCTGAACAGTACTAGTAACTTGAACAACAGCTATCCTACTAAGCAACCACGTCAAAAACTTTGAGAAACGAAAACGAATCACAACGCGACTGACCTCCATTGCGTCCATGCTCTCCACCATCTCGCTACCCAGATCCTCGCATGTGCCCGACCGCATCTCCAAGCCTGGCGCAAGTCCTATTGCGGCACAGTTTTTTACTCAACGCGCACTTGGTCACCCACGTCTGGGCTACAAGCCTGGGGCCCGCGACAAGGGGGCGCGAGGGTCGCGGAGGACGGCCCTTCCCCAGGAAACGATACCAGCCATACCAAGCAATTGTGGCAGAATTTTTGGACTAAAGTGGATTGTGAGGTGACTAACCTTTGTTGCGTCCATTCGATCCACCATCTCGCTACCCAAATCCTCGCATGTGCCCGACCGCATCTCCAAGCCTGGCGCAAGTCACATCGGCACAGTTTTTTACTCAACGCGCACTTGGTCACCCACGTCTGGGCTACAAGCCTGGGGCCCGCGACAAGGGGGCGCGAGGGTCGCGGAGGACGGCCCTTCCCCAGGAAAACGAGCACGTGGCCCAGCAGCTGTGGCCTGCGTGCTGTGCCGCGCGCCGCCCCCCCTCGGAGTATACCGGATACGGCGTACGCGAGGGGTCGGAACGGGACACGTCTATTCTTACATCAGCCAAAACCGTGAAGAGAAGTAAACACGCACCGGAATGCGACACGGATCCCGCCACCATCTCGCCGCCACGAGCAGCAACTACGGCCGCCCACGCTGCCGACCGCATCTCCACGCCCAGAGACCGTCATCCGTCGCCCGGCCCGCAAATATAAAACAAGCCGGGGAAAAAGAAACCTTGTCGATTTAGGCTCCCGGCACGGCACGGCCGACGGCGTGTACGAGCGCCCTGAGGACGCCTCGCTTCGGCGCCGCCTTCGAGTGTTGTGGGCCCGCGTCGATCAGGTGGTAGGTCGCGGGAAAGTCGAGGCCCGTCGCCGGCGGGATACACGTTCGTCCCGCCGGAAGCTTCTGCAACATCGTCAGTAACACGAACAAGGCGAAATCACGGTAAACACATACCGCGCGCTTCCCGACGACCTTCAAGTTGGCGCGCCTGCGCACTGCCAGGCTCTCCGCGCTCCGGCCCGGGCGCCGCCCCGACGTGGGGAACGGCACGCGCGTCTGGTAGGCGTAGATCGTAGTAGAGGGCATCGTTGTAGTCTGTAATCGCAAGGAAAACGAAGAGTCAAGACGATAATGCGCTCGGGGCGGCTCTGACGAGTGGAGGGAAAGGCGGGCGGATAGGCTTTTATACGCGCTGGCGGGTGGAGCTGAGACATGTTTTTTGGGGAATGGAGGCGTGTGTGAACCCTCCCGCGAGCGGGTGTGGCTCTGTACCCGCGATCCGCGAGTGCACGTGAGACTCAGACTCGGGCCCGTTGTGTGTGTTGGGCGCGAAGGGCGCCAACTTGCTGATGTCCGCGCTCATGATGTCTCCTGCCTAGCCTTCCTTGTGTATTACTCCATCATTAGCACCGATGACAATCCGACCAGCACGAACAGCAAAAGACAATCTCATTGTCCAAGAACTCGCACAAAAAAAGGAAAAAACGCGCCGCATTAGGGTATCTCGCGCTGCCCAACTCCCTCCCTCCCCTCTACACCCTCCCCTCGGTGCTCATCAGCTCCTCGAACCTATCCCGGAACGCCTTCACCTTGTCATCCAGCTCCGCGCCGACGGTGTGGCCATGGTCGAGCACGAACACCTCGCAGTCGCGGATGAACGCGTCGAGGTCCTTCCCGCGCGCGATGCTGTGCTCGGGCTCGTGCGAGCCGCGCACGCGCGCGAGGTACGACGCGACGATCGTCGACATCCCGCCGAGCACCGCCGTCATGATGCTGATCTGCGGCACGTGAGCGCGTCGTGGCGAGCCTTAGTATTGGGACTCACCTTGTGCCCGGACAGCGCGGCGGACAGCCCCGTCGTGAGCGCGCCGAAGACGACTTGCAGGCCGATCGCGGCCTAGATGAGATGAGATAAGATAAGATAAGTAAGTTAGAGGAAACGCACGTTGAGCCCGTATCCGGTGAGCGTCGCGCGCGTCTTGCACTCCCTGCGCTCCTTCTGCGCCGTCTCGATCGTCGGCCGCAGCCGCTCCTCCACCGTTTTGGGGCGCTGCACATCGCGTTGATTAATAAACATCCATAAGAAAAACAGACAACGGCCTCACCGGCTCGCGCACGGGAACGATCCAGTCGAGCTCGGACCGCGGCCGCGTACTCGCGGTCGTATTCGCCGTGTTCCTCCGATACTCCGACATCGGCTTCGGCGGCGGCTGCGGCGGCGGGCCCCCGCCTCCTCCACCCCCATTCGGGACCGCCCCATTGCCCGGCGGCGGGCCGGGCGGGACCGCGATCGCGTACGGCGCGGGGGTATTAAATATGCGGGGGGACCCGGCGGCGGGCGCGGACGGCGGCGGCTCGACGTCGATGCGCTCGGGCGACGCGGTGCGCACCCACGTCACGGGCCGGCTCTCCCGGCCCTCGCGCAGGATCGGCCGCGGCGGGCTGTCCCTGCTGCTGCCCGTGCCCGCCGCCGCGGGGTACGCCGGCCCGGGCTCGGACCCCGCGCGCCCGAGGACCGGCCGGCTCTGCCCGGACGTGTGCTGGTGCTCCTCGGCGAGGTTGAGTGACCGGCGGCGGGTCTCGCGCTCGAGGGTCGGCTGCGACTGCGCGTAGGCGTGCCGCGTGTTGGACCGGGTCACGCCTGTGGCCGGCGGCGGCGGGGGCGGGGTGGAGCGGGCGGTGTAGAAGCCTTGGGGCGTGACCGGGGACCGCGCCGAGTCGGAGCGGTACACGTGGCCGTGGCCCCCGGACTCCTCGCTGGACGCGGGGTCCGCGGCGGTGCGGGGCCCGAGGAAGGACGTGCGCACGCGTGGCGGGGAGTCGGACGAGCTCGCGTGGGCAGAATGGGGAGCGGGTGCAGTAGTGTCGTCGGGCTCGGGCTCGTCGGGGGTGAGGTCGACTGGGGGCAGCGGTGAGTTTTCGCGGATGGTGGCGAGGCCAGGCGCTAGTTGCTGCCCCTCTCCGTGGGAAGACACAACCTCAGGGCCCTGTCCTTCAGCTGTCTGTCTGCTCGGCCCTGCTGCTGGTGGTGGCTGGGTAGAAGTAGCGGGTGGGGGTTGTGGGTGGTGCGGGTCCATCGCGGGAGCGAGAGCGAAAGCGTCGTGCACGCGGGGACGGTGCCTTTTCCTTTTCTCCTTCTTCTTCTTTCAGTGCACGCAGCGGGGCTGCCCGGGCGGGACACAGACAGCTCCAACGCAGCGACACCTGGCAACCAACACAGAGAACCAGGACGCCTGTCGTGGAAGAAAAAGCAAAAAAACGACAAAAGGCCAGACGGCGGGAACGTGCCGCGTGGAACGCTCTTCGGCTAGCCAGCCCAGCCCGCGATTGCCAGCGAAGCGAACATGTCGACCGCCAAGAGCCAACTACTTCACCAACTCTGAAATTAAGTACACTGAAGAAGTAAGCGCCACGGCACCAACACACAGGCTGGCAGCTGCAGGCCCCAGAAGCCCAGAAGCGGAGATAGGCTTCGCAATCGGATCGAAGCTCGGCTGACTAAGTGACCACCAAAGGATGACAGTCGACGGTGGCGTCGAGGATCGTGACAGCGATACAAAGCACTGCAGGAGTTCGGGAATAAACGGTGCCCCTTTCGATCCATTATACACCTAAAATCAGTGTACCAAAAAAAGAAAATTTTTTATACCTCTATTTGCACCCAAAAAAGATTGTTCCAAATTTGCCTGCTTATATGAGAAATAGATGCTATAAACAGACTCAGTTTTGTCCCCCGGTTTGGGGGCAGATTAAACACCCTTTTCTAGACTAGCTTTTGCATCAAAATAGGGACCAAAAAATATGGTCCAGGGCCCTGATATATATCATATAAGTGAATATATGTGAATATTTTTGGTTCATGTTTTGATACAAAAACTGGTCTAGAAAAGGCTGTTTGATCTGCCCCAAAACCAGTTGACAAAACTGAGTCCATTTATAGTATCTATTTCTCATATAAGCAGGCATATTTGGAACAATTTCTTTTGGGTGCAAATAGAGGTATAAAAAAAATTCTTTTTTTGGTACATTGATTTTAGGTGTATAATGGATCGAAAGGGGCACTGTTTATTCCCAAACTCCCGCAGTGAAGTTCCAACACGCCCTTCGCACCGTTGCGCCGCTGCAGCTATTCAGTCTCCGATCTAAATTGCCATCTCCATATATTCCCGCAATTTGTTGTCGGAGACTTGCAATCCAAGTGGCGCCGGACCCGGAGATGCCCACCAAGGAACGCATGCAGCGAGGACACGGATTCAAGAAGAAGGAGAAAAAATAGAAGAAAAAATAGAGCTCGGCAGAACGCAGACGCTGCAAGTAATACAATAACCCAATAACCTCTGGATCTAGCGAAGCGACGACGGAGATAGCGCGTCCGGTCCTGCGGCGCAGTGCGGGCCCGAACTGCTTATCTCGAGGTGCTTATCAGGGCCAGCTTGAGATGATCTGCTCCAGGTCAAGCTGCTTCAAGTTATTGCTATTATAGCACGCACAGCAGGAGGGCGGCCGGGCGTTTTCCACAGTCTGCGATTCAAGTTAACGTCGACGTTAATCGCAGACCTAAACTCCAGTCAGTCGATTCAAGATTTCAGAATCTGTTACAGGCGATGACCAAAGATCACAATCTATCACCAATCGCAATGCAACCTTGTTCTCTCTATGGATTAATGCATATTCTACAAGTCCTAAATTTCAAGTTGCTTAGCTCGCGGGTCACTTGGAACTTCACAAGTTCACTGACAGTTCTCCCATACCAACCTCATTTTTCCGCCAGTGTCGGCCCAAGTCAATACTACTAACTGCGCTCGAACCAAGAACGCTTCTTCGTCTTGTTATGTACATACAAATAATTTTCTGCCTCTCCTTCAGCCCATGACGCTCGCCAACAGCGCCATCCGGATCTGCAGCGACGATAAGCTCCAGCCTAAAGAAAGAAACGACACGTACAAACAGCCCATAGCGCATCTGCCGGAAGTAGACCGCCCTCCTCGAGTCAAAGTCGACCTCGGGGTCGATTTCTGCCCCAACATCAGTACCATATCAAGGAGAGACTAAATAACGCACCGTTCACGCGCGGCAGCGGGTGCATCACGATCATGTCCTCCTTTGCCCGCGCAAGCACCGCGTGGTCCACCCGATACGCGTCCTTGACCTGCGCCCACGCCGCCTCGCTCTCAAACCGCTCCTTCTGGATCCTGGTCACATATAGCACATCCGTGTCCGCCAGCACCTCGTCCAGCGACTCGCAAATAGTAACCGGCACCCCCGCTTTCCGCGCCACGGCCACCACGCTCGCCGGCATCGCGAGCGTGCTCGGGGAGACAAAGTTGAGCCGGACCGAGTAGAGCGCCAGCAGCGTGACCAGACTGTGCACCGTCCTCCCGTTCTTGAGGTCGCCCAGAAGGGTGATGGTACGCCCGTTCACTGTTCCAAGCTCGGATCGGATGGTGTAGACGTCCAACAGCGCCTAATGGATGTCAACTACGAAGCGAACAAGGAAAAAAAACACTCGCCTGCGTTGGGTGTTCCCCAATCCCATCCCCCGCATTGATAATCGGCACGGGCGAAAACTTGGCCGCAAGCGCCGCACTCCCCATCTCCGGGTGCCGCATCACAATCGCGTCGCCGTAGCACCCAAGAGTCCTCACCGTGTCCGCCAAACTCTCTCCTTTCACCACACTCGACGTGTCCGCGGTCACCTGCACGACCTCCCCGCCACAGCGCTTCATCGCAGCATCAAACGACGAGCTCGTCCTCGTCGACGGCTCGTAGAACAGCGTGCATAGGACCCGCCCCTTGAGGATGTCCAGTGTCCCGTTGCGCTCCACCTGCAGCCGCATTTCGTGGGCCAGCGAAAAGAGGTCGTACATGTCGCGATGTGTGAACTGCTTCACAGACAGGATATGTCGCCTGTGGAAGGCTGGATGCGGAACAAGAGCATGGAATGGGTGAGGAGCGGGGGTTGGTTGAGTCGTGAGATGCGACACGGCCAGAGACATCACGTGCCCGGCCGGGGCCTCCGGTTCCTTCGCCGGCGCCGCGGCGACAGCATGATGGATCGTCGCACTTGAAATATCCCGCCCAAACGGCACAGAAAACAGCGACCCGTCGAGAAACGCCGTATTACCATGCACCACCACCCTGTGGATCGCACCAGTAACGATCTTATCCTCCAGCGGCGACCAGCATGTGTCACGTGCGCCGAACTTGCCCTTGCGCCCAATCACGACCTCAACCTGGGTATTGGCAAGCTCGGGGAGGCCAAAAATGTGCATCGGGTTGTCGTGCAGACGGACGCGGACATCCTCCAACGTCAACCGGCCCTCCTGTACCGCCGTCAACAACAGCGGCAGCGTCTCCTCCAAACCACACCACGCCGACACCTTTCCCCCCTTCGCCTGAGCAAGCCTAAACGGTGTCGCGCCGACCGAAAACGCGTCAATCAGCTCCATCTTCGCCCACAGCGCCTTTTGGTCCTCCACAGCCGGGAGGAACACGCAATCCGGGTACTCCGCGCGCGAAAAGAACAGCGCGTATACCGACACGTCGCACGTGACCTTGAGATGGCGCGCTTTACTGAGCGCGATGAGCAGCAGATCGTCCTGTGCGCGCACATTTGTAACATGCACACTGCGATTGTGCAGCGAGGCGAGCAGGAGGAGTGACGCGAGGTCCGAGCCCTTGGCGTCAGTCACGATGGGTTTGTCGGTGGGCCAGGCGGCAAAGTGCGCCGCCACGGCTGACAAAGGCGTCGATAATGCACTAACGTCGAACGGAATGAAAAGTGCTTTGGCCTCCGCCTGCAGCTCGTCGTCGAGGGATTGTGTGTTGTCTGCGGTAGCAGCGATGCTCAACGCATAATTGCAATGAGCAGTACTGCCAATACTTGCTTTGGCTCGCTCCAACGACGCGCGATCCGAGATACAGCTGCCCAGATCAGCAGGGATGATGACTGCAGTTGCAAATCCAGCGCTGACCGACGCCTGCGTGGCCCGGGCGAGGTCTGCACCGAACTCTGGAACAAACGCAGCAATGTTGACTAATCCGGGGAAGGTATGAGTCCGATGGGAGCTCTTGGAATCGATGCTGGACACGTCAAGCGGGAGATTGCGCACAAGCGCCTCAGCAAGAAGTTTCGCGTTCTTGATATTCGTGATGAGCGGCACCGCAAAGTCGACCGCCATCCGGCGCGTGTGGTACCCCTTGCTGCTGTAGCTGGCTGGGCGGCGGTAGTGGTTTTTGGACGGGAGGTTGATGTACATGTCGATGAGGTTATTCGCAAGATGCTGCGTCAGAGAGTACTCCGACTTTTGCTTGTCCTGCCCTCCTTCTACCAAGGTTTCGAGGTACTGCAAGCAGTTAGATATGGCTGACATAATCAACGACAAATACCTTGCAAGGCACATTATGCTCCGTGAGGAAGTCCGCTGTCCCCGAAGTAGCAAAGATATTATATCCCGCAGCGCTCAGTTTCTGCACCGAAGGTAATATCTCAAGCTTCTCGCGATAACTCCCCACTGAGAACAAAATGTTCTTCTTCGGCGGGACGATCCCAGTGGATATCAGCGCCTTGAGGTACGCTTCGTATTTGTCACGTCCAAAACATGCGACTTCGCCGGTGGACGCCATCTCCACACCCAGGACAGGGTCCGCGCCAGACAGTCGACTGAAACTAAACTGTGGCACCTTGATTCCGACGTAGTCTGCCGGCAGCCCCGCATCTGGGTATGCCTCTACGGGTAAGCCAAGCATGACTTTCGTGGCCATCTCAATCGCATCGATGCCTGTGACTTTGGACACGAATGGGAACGACCTGGCTGCCCGAAGATTGCACTCGATAACCTTGATCTCATTGTTCTTGGCGATGAACTGGATATTGAATGGGCCCGTTACATTGAGCGCGTTCCCGATCTTGGCCGTCGCGTCTTCAATTTGGCGAACGGTTTGTGGATCCAAGTCCTGTGGCGGATGAATAAGCGTCGCGTCGCCCGAGTGCACGCCCGCGTTCTCCACGTGCTCGGAGATGTAATGCATGACCATCTTGCCGTCCTTTGCAACCGCGTCCATCTCAATCTCCTTCGCCTGCTCAATGTATTTTGTGATCACGACCGGGTGGTCACGTGACACATCTGTCGCCTGCGTCAGGTAGTTGGCGAGGTCGTCCACGGTAGACACCACATTCATCGCAGCGCCGGACAGCACATAGGAAGGTCGAACGAGTACAGGATATCCGACTTTTTCGCAGAACGCCTCCGCCTCTGCGTGGCTGGTGAGCTCCTTCCACAGTGGCTGATCAACCCCGATTTCGTCCAGCAGCCGCGAGAACTTGTACCGGTTTTCGGCGGTGTCGATCATCTCTGGCGAAGTCCCGTATATCTTGACATTCTGGCGGTACAGCGGTAGCGCGATGTTGTTTGGCGTCTGCCCACCCATGGACAAAATAACTCCCCGCGACCGCTCTGCATCGTAGATATCCAATATGGTTTCGAGACTGATGTTCTCAAAGTAGAGCCGGTCCGCCTCGTCGTAGTCCGTGCTCACGGTCTCCGGATTGTAGTTGACCATGATCGTCTGGAAGCCCTGGTCCCGCAGGGTGCGAATAGCCCGGACCGCACACCAGTCGAACTCTACAGACGACCCGATCCGGTACACTCCCGACCCAAGCACCATTACACCCCTGTCGTTGAATATAACGTCGTGCTCGCTCGCGTTGTACGTCGTGTAGAGGTAGTTCGTAAACGCAGGGAACTCTGCCGCAACAGTGTCGATTTGCTTCACCCAAGGCGCGATGCTATTCTCTTGCCTCAGTCGGCGAACAGCAAGCTCCGTCGATCCCATGCCTGCCGCAAGCTGTCGGTCAGAGAAGCCCAGCTGTTTCGCGTGCCTCAAGATAGTCGGGTCAATGCTTGATACATTCAGCTCACTGACATAAGATCAATCACGTGGTCGCGACAAGCGAAAATGGCTACTCACGAAATGTGTTGCTCCATCTTGAAGATGTATTGCAGTTTCGTGAGGAACCACTTGTCGATGTTGGTCATCTGCCAGATCTTGTCCACACTGTATCCGCGATGGAAGGCAGTGGAGATGGCAAATATGCGCTTGTCGGTGGGATTGACAAGCTCTTCGTCGATGTCGGCGACGAAATCGTTCTATGAGTAAGATTAGACATGACATAGCAGGTACAAATGATGAATACCTTTGCAAATCCCAGAAATTGGTCATCAACTGCACGAATCGCCTTCTGGAATGTCTCCTCAAACGTGCGTCCGATGCTCATGACTTCGCCCACACTCTTCATGCTGCTGCTGAGCTGCCGACTCACACGCGTAAACTTTGTCAGGTCCCAGCGCGGAATCTTGACGACAACGTAGTCCAAACTCGGCTCGAAGCATGCTGAAGTTACTTTGGTGACCGAGTTCTTTATCTCGTTGAGCGGGATACCGAGACCAAGCTTCGCGGCAATGAATGCAAGTGGATATCCAGTCGCTTTAGATGCAAGAGCCGAAGACCGAGAAAGACGCGCGTTAACCTGTTCGCAGATTAATGGAAATAATATAGAAACACAAGTGAAATTACCTCAATGATGCAATATTCTTGGGAGGCAGGATTTAGTGCATATTGTATATTGCATTCACCGACAACGCCGAGATGGCGAATAACATTGACCGCGGTCGTCCGAAGCATGTTGTAATCCGAGTCCGAAAGTGTCTGCGAGGGAGCTACGACTATCGAGTCGCCTGTATGAATCCCAAGCGGGTCGAAATTCTGCAAAAAAAAATCAAAATCCAATCAGAAAAAAAGGCACAAGACCAACCTCCATATTGCACACAGTGATGCAATTGTCTCTGCAATCGCGAACGACTTCATACTCGATCTCCTTCCATCCCTTCATGCTCCGCTCCACCAACACCTGCGGGCTCGTTGCGAACGCCTTAGCACAAAGCGCGGCTAGCTGCGTCTCATTGCCGGCAAAGCCAGAGCCTAATCCACCCAAAGCATACGCGGCCCGCACAATAACCGGAAAGCCGATGCTCTTCGCCGCGGCGAGCGCTTCCTCCAAATTCGTCGCCGTCGCGCTTTCCGCGCACTTCTCCCCGATCTGCGCCATTGCCGTCGCAAACAGCTGGCGGTCCTCCGTTGTGATGATCGTCTCAATCGGCGTCCCAAGAACTTTGACGCCCAGGCCCGCAAACTCGTCCTTCAGCTTGATGCCCACGTTCAGGGCGGTCTGCCCGCCAAATGTCACGTAAATTCCGTCTGGTTTTTCGTACTTGATAATGCGCCGCACAAACTCAGGTGTGACCGGGAGGAAATACACCTTGTCTGCGAGCCCCTTAGAAGTCGCGATTGTCGCAATGTTGGGATTGACTAGGATTGTGTAGATGCCCTCTTCCTTGAGAGCTTTGATCGCCTGCGACCCGGAGTAGTCAAACTCGCCAGCCTGGCCAATGGACAAACCACCCGATCCAAGAATGACAACCTTGGACACGTTCGCACGTGGGACGCGGCGGTCGTTCTCTTCCCGCTTCCCCCCGGGCATCGAGATAGGTACAAGCACGCCGCTGGTCGCGGCACAATCAGCGACATTGCGAATGAAGACATCAAACAGGAACTCCGTGTCGCGCGGGCCAGGGGTTGATTCCGGATGGAATTGGACACTGAAGAACGGCTTGTCGATGCAGTAGATGCCCTCGTTGCTCCCATCATTGGCGTTTTGGAAGAGTTCTGCCCAGCCATCTGGCAATGTCGCAGTGTCGACCTGGAATCCGTGGTTCTGACTCGTGATATAGCAGCGGCCGGAGAGTGCATCGGTGCAGGGAATATTGTGACCACGATTGCCGTATTTCATTTTGGAAGTCTTCGCACCAGCAGCAAGAGCAAGAAGCTGATGACCGAGACAAATGCCGAAAATTGGATGGTCGGCTTTTTCGAGGGCTTTTTGAAGCATTTCGATAGTGGGCGTAAGCAGAGATGGATCACCGGGCCCATTGGAGACGAAGATTCCATCGTAAGGTTCTGGTTCCGAAAGGAAATCGTAATCCCATGGAACGACTTTTAGGTCGACGCCTCGGTCGATGAAGCAGCGAATCTGATTATATTTCATGCCCACGTCAATGGCAAGAATCCGCAAGGAACGGCCAGTTGGATGAACGCGGGGCGTAGTCGTACTTTTGAAGAGTCGCGGAGCAGTAATAGAGACAGCCGCAACCAGATTAGTTTGGTTTGGGTCAAAGAATGGAATGTCTTCGTAATCTTCGCGCCAGGACTGGGAAGATGGCGGGGAGGATGCTCGTGAAGGGGCACGAGAAGGGGCTTGCGAGCCGGGGACTAGCGGCCGAGCTCGACCAGCGGGAGCTCCAGGCCTACGTGCGAGTATTTTACCCAGCATTGAGCCCTTTTCGCGAATTTTCTTGGTTAGCGCCCGTGTATCTACCCCATAGATTGCGGGAACGTCGTTTTCTTTAAGCCAGGCGCCAAGCGTTGACTTTGCGAGGAAATGGCTGTAGTCTTCCGAGTGGTAGCCGATGACCAATGCTGCGATATGGATTCGGGAAGATTCGAAAGCCAGAGGAAGGTCATCGAGAGGGTTTTTCGGACGTTCTGGGACTCCGTAGTTTCCGACCAACGGATAGGTGAGCACGAGGATCTGACCCTCGTAGGACGGGTCCGTCAACGATTCGGTATAGCCGACCATGCCTAATTGCCCGTTGGGAAGGAACGACAACCGACAAGTCACTGACCAGTTTGGAACACGCACTCGCCCGCGACGCTCTTTTGCGCCCCAAAGGAGATGCCCCGTAACGCTGACCCATCGCTGAGCTCGAGAATCGCATCTTCGACAACTTGCGAGTCCGCAGAGGAGACGATCGGAGGCAAGGGGTCGGGAATGGCGGTCGTCATACGAGAGAGGATAGGCCGCGTCATTCTATTGCAGGGTAGGTTCCCTTCCACGTTGCGTGGAAGGGAAGAGGATTTGCTCGCTTTGGTGGAGCATATATAGAATGATTTGTTGACATCTGTTTTTTTCTGATGACGACGCCGTTATCGATTCAGATAATCAGACGGACGGGCTCGACGGTGTCACGATTGGCTTGACTTTAAGTACTCTCACCCGCAGTTGTGCGCGCCATGAAGAACACGCAAAGACTGCCCACTCGCTCATAGTTTCGCTCTTTGGAACTATACGCAACACTTTGGCGCGAAATTGGATCGTTTGTGAACCTTAGCGGTTGGGTGTGACGCCAGCGTGACTGCCCGGATCAACAAGTGTTGACACTCTTGTTCTTGCCCAGCATGGCGGAGAAGCCTGTTGTACGAAACTGCTCTCGTACGCAGGCGGCCGGCCTTATTTGCGTCTGCGCCAACGCGTGGGGGACCACACTTAGTCGATGTTCGAAGTGCAAACGCGTCTATTATTGTTCTTCGGCGTGCCAAACTCGAGACTGGCCACACCACAAGACCGAATGCAAAGTCCTCAGGCGAGTCAATAAATATGACGCGGATAAGGGGCATACTTTGTCTGATCCTAGCCTGCGACTGGCTTACCATGTCGCGGAGGAGGTGAGCCGTCGCTTCTTTTTCATGTCAAGTCTCCCAGCTCACCCAGATGATTCAAAGCAAGCACGATGTCGGGTCATTTCAGACTCACTGGGACCAAGCCCGTACAGTCAAAATCCACCGCTTATAACGTTCGTCGCTTTTTTGTCTGACAAACCTTGCTCAAGCAGTTGCAGCTACGGTATGAAGTGTCAAGTCTGCTTTCGAACTCCGTTCCACGACATCAACGCTGTCGAATTCACGCCTTGCCCGACCTGCAAGCTTGCCTGGTGGTGCTCCCCCGAATGCGCTTCCGCATTTTCCAAGACCGCACATACAAAACAGCATTGCGAGGACCTTGCATGTGTTGGTGCTACGGATTCGGTATATTCCGCTTACATACACTCACGGAAAAAAGGATTGCACCCAATAGTTCTTCGAGAATTAGAGATGACCCAGCCGGTTTATATCCCACCATCGTCGTTAACTGGCTGGGCCGACTACAGAAAACGAGTCTTCCCTCGATTCGCCTTGGCCGCAGACTTTACTGCACGAGAATTCAGCCATGTCCACCCGCAAGCTACTCGAGCGGTCGAAATGCTCGCGACAGAGCCCACTAGCCTCATCGTTACTCTCCTTCGTGGTCTCGAGATCGCACTTCCCGACCTTCCCACCCGTAAATCGTTGTGCATTCATTTCGTCGGCTCGTCTCTGTTGGAGATTTCGTCCCAGGCAATGAACGAGGAGCTCCTCCACTATCTTCCCCACCTCAAGTCCCTCAAAATGGTCTACGTGGGGCCAGGCGTTGCGTCGATGTCTGAGGGCCAGCCTGAACACACCAATCTCGCCTGTAATGCATGTACAGGCCGCAGACGACTTCGGTTCTCCATCCTCCGTGATGCCACCTATCACGACTTTGCACAAACCTCGACCTTCAGCACACACACGCCGGATTTGATCGCAGGATTCCACACGGGTATGGGCGAGGTCGACACAGACTCGTGGCGCACGTCCGTGTCGCTCATCCTCGCGAAAAAGATACCCGCCCTCTTCACGACGTACTCTTTGCCCGAGGCCATGCACGACACCATTCTCCTGCGCTCACTTGGTGCGGTCTTTGTTAAAGAGCTGGAGCGGAATATCTGGCGCGGCGAAATACCCCACCCGAGGGAACAACAGGACTTGGTGGCGATGGAGGCCAGTCATTATACTAACAACTATTTTTTCATTGTCCGTGGTTCTTCTAATACTGCTTAAAATATGCAGCGCTCCGCTGATACTTCTGACGAAGCACATGCCGCGAGAGTGCGCTCAAGAAACTGAGCAATATGACAAGGAAAATTAGTGAATATGAACTGGTGAAATGGGTCCAGCGGTCGCGATCATCTTGGAGATATCATTGACGATTTCAAGTTCAAGCTGTTGCAAGCAATTCCTCCATCTCCCCGACAGGCTACAGCAAAGAATAGGTCTCAGTCTCACGTGCATCCGCGGATCGCGGGTGCAGAGCCATACCCGCTCGCGGGAGGGTTCACCCAGTCCCTCCATTCCACAGAAAAACATGTCTCGGCTCCACCCGCCGGCGCGTATAAAAGCCCGCCCGCCCACCTTTCCCTTCACTCGTCAGAGCCACCCCGAGCGCATTATCGTCTTCGTTTTCCTTGCGATTACAGACTACAGCGATGCCCTCTACTACGATCTACGACTACCAGACCCGCGTACCGTTCCCCAAGTCGGGGCGGCGCCCGGGCCGGAGCGCGGAGAACCTGGCGGCGCGCAAGCGCGCCAACTTGAAGGTCGTCGGGAAGCGCGCGGTATGTGTTTATCATGATTCTGCATCATGATTGTTCATGTTACTGACGATGTTGCAGGCCCCGCTTCCGGAGGGATACGCGTTCGTCCCGCCGGCGACGGGGCTCGACTTTCCCGCGACCTACCACCTGATCGACGCGGGCCCACAGCATGCGAAGGCGGCGCCGAAGCGCGGCGTCCTCAGGGCGCTCGTAAACGCCGTCGGCCGTGTTGTGCCGGGAGCCTAAATCGCTAAGGTTTCTTTTCCTCGGCTTGCGGGCCGGGCGACAGATGACGGTCTCTGGGCGTGGAGATGCGGTCGGCAGCGTGGGCAGCCTTTGATGGTTGCTCGTGGTAGCGAGATGGTGGCGGGAGCCGTGTCGCATTCCGGTATGTGTTGGCTTCTCTTCGGCGGTTTGGCTGATGCTAAGAGCAGACGCGTCCCGTTCCGACCCCTCGCGTATCCGGTATACCCCGAGGGGGGCGGCGCGCGGCACAGCATGCAGGCCACAGCTGCTGCGTCACGCGCTCGTTTTCCTGGGGAAGGGCCGGCCTCCGCGACCCTCGCGCCCCCTTGTTGCGGGCCCCAGGCTTGTAGCCCGCCCGGACGCGGGCGGGCGACCAAGTGCGCGTTGAGTAAAAAACCGTGCAGATATGACTTGCGCCAGGCTTGGAGATGCGGTCAGGCACATGCGAGGATCTGGGTAGCGAGATGGTGGATCGAATGGACGCAACAAAGGTTAGTCACCTCGCAATCCATTTTATTCCCAAAATTCTGACGCGATTGCCCGGTATGGCTGGTATCGTTTCCTGGGGAAGGGCCGTCCTCCGCGACCCTCGCGCCCCCTTGTCGCGGGCCCCAGGCTTGTAGCCCCGCCCGGACGCGGGCGGGCGACCAAGTGCGCGTTGAGTAAAAAACCGTGCAGATATGACTTGCGCCAGGCTTGGAGATGCGGTCAGGCACATGCGAGGATCTGGGTAGCGAGATGGTGGACCGCATGGACGCAATGGAGGTTAGTCACCTCGCAATCCATTTTATTCCCAAAATTCTGACGCGATTGCCCGGTATCATGGTGGTTACTGTTCCTGGGGAAGGGCCGTCCTCCGCGACCCTCGCGCCCCCTTGTTGCGGGCCCCAGGCTTGTAGCCCAGACGTGGGTGACCAAGTGCGCGTTGAGTAAAAAAGCGTGCCGCAATAGGACTTGCGCCAGGCTTGGAGATGCGGTCGGGCACATGCGAGGATCTGGGTAGCGAGATGGTGGAGAGCACGGAGGGAAGACAGGTCAGTGCTGTGCCATGGCTCGGTTGGTGACGCGGTTGACTGTTCGTGCAGGCAACCTGAGTTCGGCCTGCAAATGGGGAACCTTGAACGCTTGGCTATTCAAGTAAGTATGTGTTTGTTCCACATTGGATACCGCATGTATGTAAGCGTAGCTTGAATGTATAACAGTTTAACCTGCAGCATGATATGTTTCGAACGCACTGCGAGTCAGACTAGTACTCCTGGACGTCCGACGCATGTTGGCTTCGCTTCAAATTGACTGAGAAGTTGGAGCCTTTCCGCTGCCGGTGAGAACGACCAAGTTCGAGTTGTACCAGTGGGTGTAAGTATGTGTGAATCCGGTTGTCGGAGATCTAGATTCTAGAGAAACAGGAGATTCAATAGCGCTCTGAGCGTCGTGGCTGGTTGACTGTTGTTGACGAAGGCTGTTACGTCACGGGTCACACGTAACATCGCGATTCGCAAGTGGCTCTTGACAATGACTGTGAGTCCTGTTTCCAGTGTATTGAGTGTGGAAGACAAATGGACTCCACATAATAAGCCTTTTGGCTACAACATGACCTACAGCCTGAGCGCGCCGGCGGCCGGGCGGAACGCGGGCTTCCACGGTCTGCACGGGGATCGACGCGTCAATTCATTGATTGCCGACTGTCGATAAAACCAGAGGGCCTCTTCTTGGCTCCGACCTCCATGGAGGCTGCGTCGTCGACCTCTTCCTGGCCGAGCAACACGCTCTCGTTCAAGCGGCAGTCGGACCTGTGGTACTCTGATGGGAACCTGATCATCGTCGCGGGCGCGGGCGGGCTGGGGTTCCGGGTGTACGCGCAGTTCCTGGCGGCCAAGTCGAAGACGTTTGCGGAGATGCGCCCGACGGACGTGATCGAGGGCATCCCCGCGGTGCGCCTCGACGACGCGGAGGACGACGTGGAGCAGTTCCTCAAGGCCATCTTCGACACAGAGTGCGTGTCATTATTTCTCTTTTTTATTTGGCTAATTGATATAGCCACTTCATGCCCCCGCCGTCGCCGACAAAGCTGAGCACGGTCCTCGCGGTGCTGAGGCTGAGCCACAAATACGATGTGCAGTTCCTTATCCGGCGCGCGCTGCGCCATCTGAACGCGGTCTACCCGACCACCCTGTCCGAATTCCTCGCGATCCCCTCGCCATCACACCTCGAGTACCCCGAGCCGCGCCTCGCGGGGCACGTGCGCGCGCTAAAAGCGGCAATGGACGTCGACGCGCAGTGGCTGTTCCCCGCGATCCACTACTCCATCTCGTGCTCCCCATTACGCTCGATCCTCGCCACGCAGCCGTCGTGGTCCGCGCTGTCTGAGCAGACGCAGTTCTTCATCGTGACGAAGCACGCGTGGCGGCTGCACCGCTTCGAGAAGGTGCACGAGGGCCCGCTCAACCCCGTCGACGAGGCCACGTGCGCCGACCCCCGCGCCTGTCTCCGCACCCAGGCGACCTACGCGACCCGCCTCGTCGCCATCATCGGCCGCGACCAGCCCCTCGACGCCATCCGCTTCTGGGACGAGCCCGGCATCGAGGGATACCTCAAGCGGAGATGCGACAACTGCGCGAAGGGCATCAGGGAGCGCATCAATATTATGCAGGGCATGGTCTGGGACGCCCTCCCCCGCACCTTCGAGTTCCCCGAGTGGAAGATCCTCGTCAACATGCGCGACCTCGCCATGGCCCGTGTGGATTAGCTCTGGCAGATTCTTTGTCTTTCTCTGAAAAACATGCTAATATGTGACCAAATTGTGACCAGGCATATCTGGCCTGTTTTGTTAAAAAAAAAATCAGGCCTCTGCCCGGATTCTGCCCCACATTCCAAAACACGTGACTACTAGGACAAAATCCGGGCAGCCATCAAACTGCCCAAGGTTACTGGTGTGTAGAGTAAATTCCAGTTAATGTATAGTGTTATACCAGTGTACCCTCAAGTCAAGTGCATAAGCTCATCAAGGCATTTGCAAACCATTCTTGCTGGATTTGACTGTAACTGACCATGATAATAAGTACATGACCATTACCTTCATAAGTTATTTCTAATTTAAAAAAGTTACATGCCTATAGGCAATGGCCTCATCTAGGTAGTGCAAATAGTTAGGTACTTACTGTCATAGTCTGCTACAGCTTAACCTATACAAAAATACAGAATACAGTGACTATTGTTTTTTTAACTGCTTTTCCAAAAAAGGCAATCACTAATAAATGCCACATAAGTCCCAGTATGTAACTTTTTTTAAGTTGGGAATGCCTAGGGCTGTAGACCATACCGTATACGGCTACGGCCATGTACAGTACGGCCTCTGACGGCGGCGGGACAGCCCCACGCCGGACCGTAAGCCCTCGAGTTCAAGGCGCTTACGGTACGGGATGGTGCCGTCACACTGTATTACAGTGACAGTACGGCCGGCCAGGTCACACGGTGTGACCTGAGCCAAAGTCGAGCTCCGAGCGACCGGGCCGGGTTGGGCGATAGTGCCAAGCATTTGCCTGCAGTGCAGGGCCACCTGAGTGCTGGCCTGGCCGTCTTGGCTGACCACCAACAGCCGTTGGGCCCTAGCAACGGGCGCCTGGGGGTCCGATACCAGATGGATCGTCGATCTCCGGATCAAATCCCGGGCTAGCCGAGGTACGCCGTATATATGGCTACCGTCCCCGTATACGGGACGGCCCTTACGGCGTCACCGACGTCCCATCGCCGTACCGTCAACTCGGTCCCCAAGGGGGTGTTGACGAGCGATGGCGCACCAGGTATTTCTTTATCTTATCTTATCTATTTGCTTATATAGCTACTTCTCCTGTCCATCACCCTCAGTCTCTTACCACGACGACTGAGGGTGAGTCTCCTTATCCATACTTACTTGTCGGGCTACTTACCACTACCATTAGCTTACTTCTGTTTCTTTACAGGTACTAATATGAGTCTCTTACCACGACGACTGAGGCTTAAGTACTTCTGTTTCTTTACAGGGGGCTGATGGTATGGTTACGGCCGACGGCAACGGCCTACAGCCCTAGGAATGCCTCATGGAGGTAACATATAATTTTATAGTATCATAGTTAGTTCCAGTCAAATCCACCGAGAAAGACAGTGTAAATATCAATTAACTATCTATATACACTGAATGGCTGTATGATATTGCATAGATAGTGTTGAATTCACCTACTATACTGGAGTATTGTGAATGTGATGCTAAGTTTGTAAGTATAAGAGTAGGTAATATATTGTTTCATATTATGATTTGATATTTTCACATGGCTACTACAGCTCTGTCATATGAGGACAACATTGATGATCTCAGTTAAAGTTACTGAAAAAGATTAGAGCTGCCAGAAGCCACCAAGGCTACATATGGACTGATATACTTAGTCACCAAAACAGTCAATCAACAGATATTGTGTAGATCAGGAGGACAAGGACTCAATCTTTATATGGATTATGGATATGGATATTATTAATAACTGAAGTATTTGATATGTTTGAGTGCCGGCCTGGATGATGAACTTGAACCGGCTCGGGCCACTTATGATTTACAGAGAAGTCGCACTGTTATGCAGAAAAGTCGCGCACTGCAAAAAAGTCGCGTGCTGATAGATAAATGTGTCGCTGAACATTCACGCAACTCTTCTGCAAAGTTTGTCATAAATTTTATTGCGCTACCGAAAATGTGCAGAAAAATCGCGCAAAACGCGAAAATTGTTACAATATGTAGTGGGGGAATATTTCCCCAAAGTGGCGTTGATCTCGCCAGCGCGATCCGGGCCGAGGAGTGCTCCATCCACGGTCAAGCGCTGCAGCGACGGGACGACAAAAGACTGCAGATGATCGGTGGGCGGCGCGAAGATATACGCAGACACGGGCAGCGGGTAGACGGTCAGGACGAGGTGCTGGAGCCGCGGCAGGCGGATATCGGGCTCAGGCTGCGCGGCCGCGGGCGGCTCTTCGAGGTCGCACAGAGACAGTTCGCAGTAGATGAGATTGGGCGTCTGCTGGAGAGCGGGCGTGCAGATCCTTGCAGACCAAGGCGAGCACCGTCAACTGGTGCCATGGGAGCAGCCACACAAATGTGTCGAAGTCACGTGCATGAATTTCTTCATTGACAAATGAAGAAGTCCTTGTTGTTCTCTTCCTTATTGTTCGTCTGTGTGTCCATGGCCCAGCCTGCTTCTCTTACAGACTATCTCACTCAACCCGTTCTCAAATGGTCGCCAATGACGAATTGGGCCACTACATCCCACAAACAGGTGCATTTGCGGTCCTCACAATTGACCCTGTAGCTTGTGTGGACTACCTCGAAGACCCAGAAGCAGCTGCTGCATGCTCCCTGCTTGTGAGTAGAGGCTACGTCGTCTATATACGCGGTGTAAGTCCACGCGAGTCCACGCGTTGCCCACTGACAATCGTTTTGCTTACTAGTGGGGGCCGCTATTCGATCCGCGCGCCCCTTTTCCGTGAAGAACGGCCATACTTCGTTATGCGAGGAGTCCCACAGGACATCCCAGACCAATGCATCGAGGCGCGCATGTCCGTTCCCATTACCCCCCCAGTCGCGCTCCATCGCCGACCACCCCTCTGGTCGGCACCCGCTCAAGATATCTGGCCCAGGCAGCCCGTTTCCGTGGCCGGACTGTTACTTATCCGCGTTTTCCCACGTGTCTGTGCGCTGTGCCAATGTGTTGACTGTGGATCCTATGGTATGCGAGCTGGACAAAATGGAGCGATTTCGGTTCATTCATCTAGTTGGCGATGACAAAGAGCGGCTGGACGAGCTCAGGGCGGCCCAACTGGAGGCTGCGAATCCCGGAATGCACACAGACCCTGTCAGTGCAAGTGATGCTACTGCATCCAGCGAGGATGTGGACTCAGAAGATGATGTTGAAGAGGAAATAGAGGAGGAGGAAGCTGTTGCCGTTTTCCGTGGCCTCTTTGCCAACCAGGCTTCAGAGCACCTGCCCGCAGTGAAATTCACACATGATCTGTCTCAAGTGAAAGAGTTCAACGACCCCAAAGGGTACTTCCAAGAGCTGGCCGTCATTGCCCAGTACGTCCTTCAATGCTCACGTATGAGCCATTCCTATGTAGCTCCAGAATAATCAGGGCCTCGCTGGCGCGGAAGGAAGCAGCCAAGGCCCTCATATCTCAGAAGGATGCAGCGCGTTATAACGAGAAAACAGGTATGTCCGAATTTTCTTATTATTACTTCGTGCTCATCCGTCCTAGCCGAATTGCTGCAGGCTCATCAAGCCTCTCAGAGCCCCGATGTTTCTGTCGGTTCAAGTCAGGCTCATGCATCGCCTGCTTTGGCAGGCAAGCGACCACTGATTCCTCGAGCTCGGTTTTCGCGAGTCGGGCGTCTGCATTGCGCGGATTAAGAAGCGTCTTGGTCGGATTATATGTCGATCTATTGACTCGCATGATGCACAACTCTATTCGCCGGGGTGGTCTGCTAAGTAGTAGTACCGTGCATGCTTGTAATGACTTGATTCTTGAAAGCTAACATTGACTCGGCAAGGAGCCACTGAGAATAAGGTCAAAAGCCCGTTGTTCTATTCGTAGTACAAGAGCAGCAGGAAACAAATACCGAGTCACGTGCATTCGTCCTTGTTGTTCTCTTCCTTATTGTTCATCTGTGTGTCCATGGCCCACACCGCTTCTCTCACCGACACACTCACCCACAACACTCTCATACCATGACCGCACGAGCGAACGACGCCTTGGCGGACTACATCCCGCAACCCGGTGCATTCGCGGTGCTCACCGTCGATCCTGTCGCCTGTGTGGCCTTTCTCGCGGACCCGGGAGGCGACGGCCGCCTGCGCGCGCCTCCAGAGCAAGGGCTACGTGGTGTATATGCGCGCGGTAGGTCGATGCTGTTCTGCGCGGCTTCTCACCTGACCTGCTTACTTTAGTGGGGGCCGCTGCTGGACCCGCGGGCTGCCTTCCGCGAAGAGCGGCCGTACCTCGTGATGCAGGGTGTCCCCGCAGGACATCCCGGCGCAGTGCAACGAGGCAGGGATGTCCATTCCCATCACACCCCAGTCCCTCGCCGGCGCCGACCGCCAACCACTCAAGATATCGGGCACCCCATTTCCCTGGCCGGACTGCTACCTCTCCGCGTTCGTGTACGTGTCCGTGCGCTGTGCGAATGTGCTGAGGGTGGACCCCCGTGGTGTCCCAGCTCGACGAAAACGAGGAAATCCGGTTCATTCGGCTGGCCAGACGCGATACGAATCTTCGGGCCGACCTCAGAGCGGCGGCGCAGGCGGAGAACGCGGGCGCGGGTGCCGATGACCACAGCGATTTCGGACTCCGCTGCCGATGCTGACTCGGATGGTGGAGCTGAAGAAGGGATCGACGAGGAGGAAGCTGCCGCCATCTTCCGCGGCCTGTTCGCCAACCAGACTTCGGAGAACCTGCCCGCGGTGACGTTCACACATGATCTGTCGCAGGTGAAGGAGTTCAACGACCCCAGAGGGTACTTTCAGGAGCTTGCCGCTATTACCGAGTAGGTTGCGCAATGCTCATCGGTATGATAGCAATCTTCTCATGCAACTCTAGAATTGTGAAAGCCTCGCTAGCGCGGAAGGAAGCAGCGAAAGCTTCTGTCGCCGAAAAAAGACGCCGCGCGTTATGACGAAAAAATGGGTATGTCCGAATTTTTCTTATTACTATTCCATGCCCATGCGTTCTCGCCGA